GGAGGTAGATGGCGGACACCCGGGTTCAGGAGACCACAGACCGGTTAGCACAGCAACATCCTCCTCATGTACGATCTGTATAGATATGTTATCTTCTTTCACAGTGCGTATCGATAGCACCGATAACAGCTCTTGATAGGCCTTCCCATCCTTCACAGTAGCAGCCGCAGTCACAAGTCAGGCTTGACAGGAATCATCCAATAGCGGATTCTTTGCACTTCTTGAAGCCTACAGTGGATGTCCTGAGTGTCCAGGGAAAGGGCGACACCTATGTGCACCTTTGGTCATATTTTTACAAGCCCGTATCTTCCATGATTATCTTGCCGGTACCACATCAAGGACGCATGTATCCCGCTGATGCCTCTGCTCTTCGCCACCGGGTATCTGCTGCACACCCTCATCCTATCTCCTGCCCCTACGCTCTTCATCCTTCTTCAGCCTCTTGCGGCTCTCATCAGCAATCATCTGACTAAGGTCATCTTGATCAACACTCGTGCCCCACGGGTTCTTCTGCTCCTGCCTGCTCGACTCGAACTGCCTCCTGACCTCATCTTTGCTCAGCCTGTCTTCTCTTTCGAGCGCATCCACGTCCACAGAAACATCCACGTCACCAGCCTTGCGTTTCCTCCTGTTGTCGTCTTGCCCAAGCACTGGCAAGTTCTGCTGCGCAGCCTTAAGATCATACGCACGCTCGCCGCCGAAAAAGCCCTGTGCCCTGATACTGTGCTCCGGTAGAACTTGATATGCAGACCTTGGATGCGTGCTCTCTTCCGTCTCGGTGCCCCTCCGCTGTTTCCTGAGCGTGAACTCGCCAGCGACACTCTCGGCACCTCCGAACTCCGATGGAACAGTCGAAGCCATGCCGCTCGGCGTCTCCAAGCCAGAAGGCGTCTGTAGACCAGCTGCAGCATCCTCTTCGTCCCCACCTTCTTCCTCTTCATCCTCCTCCTCTTCTTCTTCCTCGGACTCCTCTTCTGGCGGCTGTAGCTCGCCCCACAGCGTCTTCTCCACAGGCTCGCCTGTTTGGTGCGGCTGCTGCTGCAGACTGCCGGTACCGAAGACATCGCCACCATAGAGAGGTCGGTTGAGTTCATCTACTGGCGGCTTGCCGTAGCCGCCGGGATGGAAGCCCCACTGGCCGCCAGGCGGCGGTGGAGCGTTAAGACCAGGAATCTTGAGGGATGGATATGAGGGCGGAGGACCGAAACGTTGCTGGTTGATGAGCCATGGCGGCGGTGCACCGGGCGGAATGTTGAGCGCTTCTTTAAGCTCCTCGCTCAGCTCACCGGGACGGAGGTGGCGGAGGTTGGTTTCGTATTCTTTGCCCTCGTAGTAGACTTCACCGTAGCGCGTGAGCTCGGGCTTGGTCTGGAAGCGGAAGAAGGCTTCGTAAAGCTTTTGGTAGTCGATGTCGAGTTTGCCCATCTTGGGTTGCACTCGTTCGCGCTGTTTCTGCTTGAGGGAAGCCTGGTCTTGCTTCTCGAGGACTGCGTCGCGCATCTCGGCAATGCCGGTTTCCTGAATGAATTTGGGTAGGGCGAATGGTGCCTTTTCGACACCGCGCTTTGAGGAGAGGTACTCGCGCTTGAGCGACCAGTGTGCAGGGACAGGGACAACGTTGCGATATGACTTGATTGACACGAGGAGGCGTGGATCTGGCGCTGAGGTGTCCGTCCAGTCTACCAAGTCAGGCCGCTGGACCAGCGCTTTCAGTTCCGCTATCGAGAGCTTGCTCTGTGCCTTCCTAGCCTTCTTCGATAGTTTGGGCTGTGCTTCCTCATCTTCATCTGGGATGTCTTCGTTTTCATCGTCGTAATAGATTTCGGGCTTCTCGGGCTCTTTGGACGCTGGATCTTCCTTGTCAGGCTGCTGGAACTTCGCAATTACATCCTTGAACTGCTCATACAGCGGGTTGTCTGGAGTCACATCTAGTTCCCATGCCGGTTCGCTAACAGGCGCGGCGACCTCATTGTCCGTTTCAGACTCAGAGGGTGCTTGTGCTGTTATCTCGGGCGCCCCGTTTGGGGTAGGTGGTTCTGCGGTTTCGGTGGCCGGTGTTTCTGGGGCGGGCGTCTGGGATGCCTGAACACCGTCAGTAAGCAGTTCGCTGTTCATGGGCGTACTTGAGCGTGCCTCGAGCTTTTTCGCCTTCTCCTTAGCCCTTCGCCGCTGATTCTTAGTCTGGTTCTGCTTCGCGACCGCGCCCGGCATCGTGATGGGGGGAATGAGCGCTCGAGTTCGTAGTGAGTTATGAACCAGGGACTGAAGGGCTTGATGAAGAGAGTGTGAGGTGTTCCGCGGTCGTTCTCGCTGTTGGTTTGTGATTAGGCTTCTGAGGTTGAAGTCAGCAAAGATTCGCGGTGCACCGATCCGCGAACACCGCCAAGCCCTGCTCACTTCACTTAAGTGCTCTGCGCCTCAGGCACCCATCGTCATCCGCTAAACATCAAGCAGTACAAGATGATGCAAGGTTGGGGTGTTTCCTACGGCACGACGTGCCAGAACTAGATTTGAAAGGGCATGAGCACATGCACGCTATCTACATCACATGACATGCATATTCAATTCCCAGATTGACTTTTATATCAAGGAGTTGAGACGACCCTAGCTACTGATTCAGGGCAGCGCCTCCATCTAGACTATCCTCAAGCTGATTTACTCTCGAATAGTCATCGACTAGGTTTTATGCCATCCGATATTCTGCAGCGAGTGGCAGTTTCTCCCCAATGAAGCTCTCTATCAAAGCATAGCCATGCCAACAGTTCCTCACGAGCGGTCATTAGCATCAAACTTGTGTGTCCAGAACCCCCTATAATGCTTTTGCTCTCCCTTCTCTTTGATCGTCTTAACTTCAGTCGGCGTCAGCTTGAAGGTCGCGCATCTCAAGTAGTCCGACAGGCGTTGCTCCTGTTCTCCAGCGTCAGCATCCGAAAGGTTATAAGAAGGTGGTCTCAGTTCATCTGAACCACGAGGTTGGCAATCCTACCTTTCCACTCGTAGTAATAGCAACGATGTCCTGGTCGATACACCACCTCAAACTGATCTCCGCCGCAGAAACCGCATACTTCTTCTCCAGCGCCTTCATAAAGTCATCCACCGGCCCCGGCGAGGCCTTCGTCACCGCGCTGAGCGGGCCATACGCCGCGGTGGCAATGCCGTGCTGCTTGTGGAACGCGAGGAGCGGCGGATGTTGCAGGTACGGGTGGAACTCGATCTGGTTGATGGCCGGGACGACTTCTGCGGTCTTGAGCGTCGCTTCGAGGTGCTGGGGTAGGTAGTTGGAGACGCCGATGGATTTCGCGAGACCGGAGGATTGGACGGCTTCCATCTCTGCCCAGGCGCGTTGGAGGTCGGAGTCGGTTTGTGCGAAGAAGGGGGCGTGGATGAGGTAGCTGGGTGTCAGTTGTCAGTGAGGGTAACACAGGGCTAAGAGGGTGTGACATGAGGACGAACAGATCTACGTAGTCCAGTTGCAACTTCTTCAAGCTCGTCTTGATGGCATTCTGGATGTCGGCGATGTTCGTAATGACCTTGGTGGTCACGAACAATTTCTCCCGGGGTACGCCACTCTTCTTGATGGCCACCCCAAGCTCGGGCTCTGTCTTGTATACTATCCATGCCCTGTTAGCACATTGGAAAAGCCTGACCAGCTGACTGGTGATGGGGGGAGGTATCAAGCGTAGCGAGGACTGAAACTTGGCTAGAGCGGAATAGTGATGAGAATGCCAATTTATAGGCGCTGAGATGAGAGTGGATAGTAGGATGCTTCAGCGAACACATAATCCTCATACAAAGCACGAGTATTGATAGACAAGAAGCTTGGTTGACGACGCGAGAAGGGAACTGGTAACCACGAAGATTGAAACCCGAATGTAATACACTTGCGAACAAAACCCAAGCCTTAACCTACCTTCCGCGCCATCAAGATGGTAATACCCCAGCTTAATCGCCGTCTGAATACTCTCCACCAGCTTCTCATCTATCTTGTCCTCGTCCCCAGACTTATACCACGCAGTGCCTGTGCCATAGCCAAGCTATCACAACCACAGCATCAGCATTGTCAATTCACCCTTACACCCACACAGACGGCTCACAGGTCACCCATGCAGGAAACCTGTAGTCGGCAGGCCAAGACACGGGACAGAGAAACACACCATTGGGATAGAATTGCCATCGTTAAGTTTCAAAGCCGGGATCGGCGTGTCGATATTAGCCATTGTGCGGGTGTGTTTTCTTCTGGTGGATGCGTAGAGGCGTGTGCAAAGGAAACCAGCTACGGATGAGGACGGTCTCGCAATTCGTTGACAAGGACGCAAGATATGAAGGGTCACGGAGCTGTGGGTCAACATCAAGAATTAGAGCCGCATGTGCCGAGTTCTCCGAGGCGTGCGCAACGGTCGAGTAGCTTGACTTCCTGAACGAGGGGAAGAGGGGTACTCGAAGTGGTGATGACGTCAAGGTGAAGGTGGGATGCTGAGGGCGTGCTGGACGGAAGAAGCTCTCACGAGCTGCTTGGCTACATTTATGAGCTGTGATGATGTGATGAGAAGCATGCTGCTGCATCAACGAAGCTTGATGTGAGCGAGAAGTTTCGTGGACAATATCACATCCGAACCTGATAAATGGGTTTCCCAGAGTGTGCTTCGATCACTGGGCGGCTTCGTCAAGTTTAAGATCATGTTCAGCAGCTATGTATATGGAGGTTGTGAAGCTTTACTGCCTTGACGGCTCGTAGTGCCATTGCGGTTACTGTCATTCTTCTATCCCGCAGCTGGAGATGTAATATTGTTCATACCTCCATGATTATCAGCCAGCCCGATACATTGGTGAAGCCTTTGGAATCATCCAAGTTTGCCATGTCAATGAAGGTTGTTGTGTCTGTGAGGCCTGATGCACCCATGAAGCTTGCTACTCGCCTGAAGCCAGTGGTAGCCGTAAAGTCAGCTGGGTCAGCTGGGTCAGCAGTATCATATCATTTTTCAGCCGGAGGCTGCAGATTGGCTCGATATGGGTACACTGTACAGATATCACCGTGAAGGTCAATCATGCGAACTGCCAGTGATGGCAGTGGAATTCCGAGGAAACCTCACGGCGGGAGTTTAGACCACTGAGTTGCGCGATTATGGCTAGAACAGAGATCAGAAAGGGGCTTCTCGAGGCCAAAGTACAACCACAGGCACAGCAGAACACATCTAGGGTATCTTTTAGATAGCGTTGAGTTCTATGAATACGAGTATGTACACATCCCTCAATGCCACAGTATTATGAAGACACGTCGGTAAAAGAAACAGGCAATTAGCGAAACCGGAAAGGAGCGTCGCATGTTTGTGCTCTCTCCTAACCAGAGTGTTTTACAGCCGTCGTATCCACATCAGTTCACCGATCATCTCACCCAGTGGTAATCTTACCCCTGCCGTTCCTCCGATAATCTCACCTACGGCATAAACCCCCAAACACCATCGCTTGGTATATCCTGAGCTTGCAATCTTTATGCGGTCTTCTCGTGCTGGGTCGACACACGCTGGAGTGAGACAACTGTGGGGGCTGTCAGGTGGTGACTTCCAGTAGGGGACACGAATAGCAAACTTACCAAAGTCTTCCAGCGAGCGCTGCTTCTGGTCCTTCTTGGGGCTCTTGCCGTGCATGAGGTTGTCGAAGCCGATGCTGTCCTGGAGTAGGTAGTAGACGCCACCCATTACACAGAACACCTGCAAAACCGTTAGAGCAAGATAGGATAACTCGACAGAACACCTCTACGTACCCCGAACGAAAAGATCCACACTCGAACAACGGCGACGATGGAGGTTTGTCCACCAACTGTATACTATATTAGTATATTACCAACAGCCTGATGCTGGCGCCAACTTACTGAACCAGCCGAACAAGCAGAAGAACGTAGCGATGATGTCGACGATCAAAATCGCGCCGGAAAGTTGCCAAGAGGGAATGCTGCGAGTTACGCTGTTAGCAGGCCGTTCTTACTGCATGCAAGGGACTGAGTGACAGTACCTCGACCAAAATGGTCCATTGGCTCTCGTAATGAAGATTAACCAGTTCTCCGTGAGGGAGATCTGGAGGAAGAGGACTTCATCGCGGACACCGAAATTTTGAACTATACCACCGCGGACACCCTGGCCAGGATGGGCGTTGAGAGTACCATCTTGGTACGGGAACATGGTCGTGAGCGTGCTGTAACAGTGTGTTAGCCATGCTCTACCAGAGGCAATGCTTAATCGAATACAAAGCGTGGTAGAAAATGTATCATCGAGTGAAAGAAAAGTTGGTTGTGAAAAAAAAGGGGGTAGTAAATATACTCACATCCAGGTACCGACGGCGAGAATGACACCGAGGAGAGTCGACATGCCCCAGAGCTTGGGGAGATTCCACTTGACGGGGGTCTTGGAGAAGGGCGCGTTGTCGTAAGCGATGGCGAGAGTGGCGATGTCGGCGAAAATGGCGATGAAGACGACCAAGTTCAAGTCCAGGGAAGTGTTGAGAATGGCAATCCAAAGACCGAGGAAGATCTCCAAGTGCAGCGACAGAGCGATACGGTAGACAACGTAGGCGTACATGCGGTGGAAAATCTGGCGGGAAGTCTTGAGAGCGTCGATGATGGCAGAGAGACCGGGAGCCAAGAAGACGATATCAGCGGCAGAGCGAGCGGCATCGGAAGCACCCTCGACGGCAATACCAGTGTCGGCCTTCTTAAGAGACGGGGCATCGTTGACACCGTCACCAGTCATGGCGACGAGGTAACCACGCTGTTGCAGAATCTCGACGACGTTGTACTTGTGTTGCGGGAAGACCTCAGCGAAACCATCGGCAGCCTCGACGAAATCGTAGACCTCAGAGCCGGGCATCTCCCCTCCACCGCCGAGACCGAGGCGCTCAGCGTTGTAGACGTTCGTACCGAGACCAAGCTGACGAGAAGTTTCACGAGCAATACCGACGGCATCACCAGTAAGCATCTTAATGCTGAGACCCAGAGTCTTGGCTTCGTTGATCGTACGGGCGGTATCGTGGCGTGGCGGATCAGAGCAAGGCATGATGCCGAGAATCTCCCACTGCGAGTTCTCCCTCTTGCGGGCAACACCAAGCGAGCGGAAACCACGGGTAGCGAACTCAGCGACCTTGTTCTTGTAGGCCTCATCGATGTCCTCGGGAATCGGGTGGTCTTCCTCGACGGTCTTCAAGACGAAAAGCGGGGCACCCTTGGTGCAGACGATGCGCTCACCCTGAGGCGACTCAACAACAGCCTGGACCTTCTTGGAGACAGGATCGAAGGGGTGGAAGTCGAGGACCTTGTACTTGGACAGAACGCTCTTAGCCCTTGGGTAGTACTTGAGCGACTTCAAGAAAGCCTTGTCGATAGCGTCAATACCCTTCTTCTTGCGGCTGGCAGCCAAGCAGGCAGTAAGCATGAGGTCTTCAGGCTCAACACCGGCAACGCAGTACGGCTCGGCGAGAGAGAGCTTGTTCTTGGTCAAGGTACCAGTCTTGTCAGAGCAGAGAATCTCGACACCGGCCAGGGACTCGATGGCAGACAGCTTCTGGACGATGGCCTGCTTCTTGGCGAGGTAAGCGGCACCGACGGCCATGGTGGTGGTGACGACAGCCGGGAGACCGACAGGCACACCGATAATGGTAATGGCCAGGGTGAACTCCAAGATGAGGACGATCGGGTTGGAGCGGTAGAAAGAGGCGACCCAGACGACCAACAGAGTGAAGATGACAAGAATCAGAAGAACCGTGCCGATGCCGTTGAGGACCTCAGTAAAGTGACCAGTGCCGGCGGAAGCAGAGGCGACCAAGGAAGCAGCACGACCGACGAAGGTGGAGTCACCAGTGGCAGTGATGACCATGAAGGCCTCACCACGCTTGATGGCCGACGAAGCATAGCAAGTATCACCCTTGTGCTTGTCGACGGCGAGGGATTCACCAGTGATAGCGGACTGATCGACTTGAAGGAAGGCGTCTTCAGTGACAACACGACCGTCAGCGGGGATGATAGTACCCTACGGATGTTAGCGGGTGATCAACCGATGCAGACGGATGGCGAGCATACCTCTTCAATCTGAAGGATGTCACCAGGGACGACTTGCGGGGCGTCGATCTCAGTCAGTGCACCGTTACGGAGGACGGTAGCCTTGAGAGCGAGGGTCTTCTTGAGTCTGTGGTCACGTGAGCCGAGGCCCCAGTCTGCCCAAGAGGTTGGTAAACTTACTCCTCGACAATTGACCCAGCCTGGAATTCCTGAACGAAACCGACACCAGCGTTGAGCAAGAGCAGGGCGCAGATGACACCGAAATCGACCCAATCTTGAAGACCGGCAGCAAGGACAGCGGCAGCCTCCATGACGAACTGGATGGGACCGACAAAGTACATGAGGAACTTGAGAATCAGGTTCTCCTTCTCCTCCTTCATCTGATTGAGACCGTACTTCTTACGGCGGGCGGTGACTTCAGCGTCGGTAAGACCAACGCGAGTATCTGTGTTGAGCATCTCCTCCGGGACCGGCTTAGCGCCACCGGGCTGGGTGGCCTCCTCCTCACCCTCAGGATCGATACCAGCGTCCTGCGACTCGAGCTCCTCGATCAGAGCGTCCATGTCCTCTTCCTCCTCCTCCTCATCGTCGTCCTCGACTGTAGCGTGCTTAGACGGCATGTCGTTCCCAGCGTGGGTGTTGCCATATTCCTTCTTCTCATCGAAGTGGCCAGAAGGGACGTTGGCGCCGAGATGGTTGGGAGGGGTGATGTCGGAGCTGGTGTGCGAGCCATGCTCACCCGGATGGTGGCCGGCGTGGACACCGGTGACCGTGTCCGTCATGGTTGCGCGGATTTAGTTGGAAGCGTACGTAAGACTAGAGACTTGAGTGTGAGACTTGAGCGTAGGAGTTGAGGACAAGGCTTTAGTATATGGCTGTGCTGTTACAGTCGGATACGATGCGAAGTGCAGATGAGAAGAGAGAAGCAGAAGGCGAGCGCTATATATGCGGGGGAAACTGAGATACTGGAGGCCGCCGTGGCGCCGAAGCCCAAGCCGTGGTTGATCTGCAAACTCGCACCGCGAATATCGAGAAGTCTGAGCGAGGAGCTGCGTGGAGAGGGTGGTTCTGAGTTTTGTTGTTCTCATCTCCGCGCAGGGCCTCGCTAGCTCGATTGGGCGATGGTCGCAGCCAGCAACCCCGGCAAGTGCAACAGCTCCCACGGCAGAGCAGAGCTGCAGCTTGCCCGCCCACGGCTCGCCCGCCAGCAGTGCGGGAAACCCAGCAGATGTCCAATGGTAGAGAAAAACTCACCGGAAGGCGATTAAAGTTAAGCTTGAGAAGCAATTGCGGTGCGCAGACCCGGCCGCGCAGTCTGGTGGTTGCTTTGCCGTCGAGGCAAGCTGAGCGGAGATGCAAGCGTCGTGGACACAGAGGAAGGATGGAGGGGAGCTCGGACGGACGATGAGTTCGATCACCTCTGAGCTGCAAAGAGGGGCGGGCAGAGCTTCTTAAAAGAAGCGGCAGGGCAACACCTGGGTAGACCAGCGGCGCACTGTGCACTCGTGCCAATGAGTGCGAAGGCGAGAAACCCGGTCGACGCTAACTGCGACGGCCGGCGGTGGTGAGCCAATGCTGCTGTGCGGGCTGCCCTATCTCTCCCTCGCCCGCTCCTCTTCGCTGAGGCTTTTGTTCAAAGCTCCGATCCCGCGCCTGGCGATCAACCAGCCCCTTCGGCCAGAGATACGCACTCTCAGGCTCCGCTTTGCAATGCTCTGCATGCCCCACGGCTGCCCGTAGTTCTGCTGCAGACTGACTTCACCGCAACGCGCACGTGGAATCGCAGAGAGGAACTCATCCAGCGTTGCGCGTGGTGTCGATGATGGCCGCATCGGCAGTCGGCATCCCCAGCCATCCCGCGTCTGAGATTCCATGGCCGCTGCTGGCGAGCTCTTTGGGGAGGGAAGCTTAGACACGCGCCGGCTAGCCTGGTACGGCTCAGAACAGCGCGGCAATCCATTACCTTACAAACTTACGCCATCTCATGGGTCCCACGGCTCAATGAAACAACCCACTCGATACCCTGCGGGATTGTCCGCCTGAGCTAGGGTAGCTTGACGCGCACCGCCCGGGAAAAAATTCACTGCTGCTTCGACTGCGCGCATTCCGAATATGAGGCCCGTTTGAGCGTTGAGAATCGGAGTCTGTTGCGGCTGATACGAGTAGCCGAGAGGAAGCGAAGTGGGCTTCAACGGCCTTGAACCAGAGTTGTGGTCTCGTTGTGAGTCGCCCACAGAAAAGAGTTTCTAGAACCGAATGCGCGATTTTCTATTTCTTGACCGCAACAGACAAGCCGAGTAGCCGTTGCCCACAGCTTCTACGAGCAATGCTCTGTGAAACGCGAGGCCTCTGGCCAGGCACCTTGCAAAACTCTGCCTTCAGTAAAGACCCCGTTGATTGTCGCCCTGCGTAAGGTCCCCCAAAGAACCCATTAAGATAAAATCGGGAGATATTCAACAAGCATGCTCACATGTCGTCTCTTTCATTGTACCTTTAAGCATTGAACGCCTCTTGACGGGATTCGGAGGGGTCCACAAGACCCTCCGCGCGCTCACGTCCTCGTCTGCTATTACCATAACCCTCAGAGGCACCAGTTGCTATCTAATGCTAGTCCGCGTTTGAATGCAGAAAATACTGTACAGAAGCGGCTGCGAACTGCAGCCAAGGCCGTTTCGCACTCTGCGGGGGATGTGCATGCAGGGCCAAGACACATCCAATGAAGGCCGAAATCTCTTGTCCCTCCGCTCCCGTCGTTCGAGCCTCTCTCGCATCTTCAAGAGCTCTTGGCGGTGTTGCTGGCGTGCAATTGCATCGCGCCGACAACTCATCGCCAAGTGCACAAGCTCGCGTGTGCCCAGGTGTCCACGATGCCACTTTTATGCACGAGGCTCGACATCGCCTTCAACGGCGCTAGCGACGCTTGGATCCGGCGCATCCCCGCGCGATAGCGTGCAGAGCGGCCGAGAAACAGCGAATCAGCGGCGCCGCCGTTCGACATCGTTTCATCGCTTCGTCCTCTCATGACGGAGAGGCTTGCGGGGCTGCTGCAAGCGACTGCGAAACTCACCTCCAAGGGTCAAGAACTTCCCGTCTCGACCGTTGCGGGAGAGGTTGACGTCGTGCTCACAGCGGGACTGCAGAAGCAATCAACGTGACCGCGCCGCTGATCGGAAAGACGTCACGGAGGCCCTCCATCGATTGAAACGCTTTCTCGGCCTCCAGCTTCCAGCTGCGCTCTCCAGCCATCATCTCCGGAGCTCAGCCGATATGAGGAACCTGTTGTGCGCGTTTTCCAGTCGCGGTCCCGGAAATAGTGAGATCTGGCCAGTTGTAGCTACGCCACGGACTCAACCCGAGTCTGACCGGGAAGGGCTTGTTTCCTGTCTCGTTCTGTAACTTGCACTAACCCAAGCTGCAGTGCGATAGTGCGGCTGGAGTTGCTCTCGGGAGGCCTATCCAAGCAGCTGCAGGACAACACGGCTGGATCGATCTGAATCTATTAAACCACCCGAGTATCTTCCATTCGGATCGTTGGCATGGAATCTAGCTGGATGCTCGCAAGGAGTGTGTTGTTTCAATCTGTCGCCAGCGGGCCGCGAGCTTTCCATCGAATGCGTGTGCTGTGTCTGGTGTCTGAGACCGTAGCGGACGCATTTGCTGAAGCGAGATGGAGACTTGGCGCCTTTGAGAAGGATACGATTGAGATGTGGTCGCGAGCAACCTCCAACTGCAGCTCAAATTGCGACTTTCAGCTCCAGACGTGGCCTCACTTCATTTACCGTCCTTGCGTTGTTTGTTTTCATCTCTTATCTCTCAGCACTAGCTCTGGTGGAAATAAGCTCGGTACCAGCCGGAAGTACCGTTACATAGGGCTATCACCTGCATGAAGTTTGGCCTGGTGCTCAAGTTTTGCCCTGCGCTGGTGTGTCAAAACTATGGATCCTCCGCGCACTTCTTTCTGGAATCAAGCCTGGAAGCTTCTCAGAATCCTCACCGCTTGTTATATCTTGACTTCGTAGCCCTTCGGCAACAGCCAAGGATGAGTAGCTTGTGTTTGTGGTGAAAATAAGAAAGAATCACATCTCTCGGGGGCTCTCCTTCAGAGATACCGGCAATAGATAGTAGCATGCGTTCATATAGCAAACATGTTTATGAGAGGCACCGCAACCACTGGCAATTTTGGGTTTGAGGAGGGGTGATTTCTAGTTCTCTTCTTACAGTTCCGCAACAGGACCACACGCTTTTGTTTAGCATTACACCTTGAGCCACAGGCCCGCTTCCTCTTAATTGTTCCTGGCTGCAATGACGTGAATATTTTCTAGAGGCCTATGGTTCCATTCCTGTACTCACCATCTATCACAGTCATGTGGTCTTCTTTTTCCCACGGTTTCGAGCCGGGACGTTTTTCCACTGTTACCATGGAACCGCACTCAACGGCCACGGTGTCTGGTCCGCACAACCTTGGTACTGCGCCTTTCCCCAACTTCTTGAGAGTGAAATAGAACTTCACCATTCCATCAGGGTAACTCGGCAACGACGGCAAGTTAAACACGGTACAACCCCTTAGATTGGCTTCTAGAAAGGGGGAACCAAGGCGCGGAGAACTTCAATCCGTGGAGACCCCATCGGCAAGGGTGGGGTATATTCTCTTTCATTTCGAAACCCACTCTAGTCTCCGCAGCCTGTAGACTTTGAGAAGCACGCCCCTACACACAACTCCGTGGACAGCTATCACCTCCTTACAAGACCAGCACCCTCGAGTATCACAGTATGCGTACTCCCCAGAAAGAAACATTGACGATGTCAACGATGATGCACCCGCTCCCTCTCCTCGCGACGGGCGCAACCATCCCCGGCGCCACAATCATCTTTGTCCTTTACATCGTCGTCCTCCTCGCCTTTACCTTCGGCGCCGGTCAGATCATCAAACTAATTGCTACGTACCCCGCCACTACGGCAGTCAACCTGGGCGACAGCCTCTGGGACAATGTCTTGATGGCTTGTGCAATAACTGTTGGGATTGTAGGTTCTATGTATACAGTAATACTCTGGTTCATCCTTGAGAGGTCATGGGTACCGGTGCAGGTTTTTGTGGATTGCGGCGTGATCATCTGTGGGATGGGAGCTGGACTGGTAGTGGTTGCTCTTGTGCTGCGGATTGTCTGGGAGATCTTCAGCGCGATCTACTTCTAAAGCGTGCATATTTCCTCAGCCACGAAAACGGCGAGACAGTCACATCACAACTCGCAATCTCCTGCGTAAAGATTTTCAGCCAGGGAAAAATCGCATGACGGGGGCTGCGCTGCGCAATCACACCTTGGTAGACGACCCTCGTCACTGTAACAGAAAAAGCAGGAGCGAGGGAGAGGTGTACCAACCGTAGAGGTGCGCTAGGTATATAACTCTTTCCTCGCCCGCAGCAGCTGGTCAACGCAGCATCCTTCGCCTTCAGACTTTCGTCCCGGTCTTCTGATCTCAGCAAGCTGAGCGCTCCACCACCAAGAAACTCAGACAGCCCACGAACCATCGCATTCGAGAAAGACCTAAGAGCTATAGAGATGTCGCACGCCTCCAGACCGATCACCTACAAAAGAGTACCGGACCGAGAGTACCCTCACGGCACTGCTACAACGAGCGACTTCGAGAAACACGGCGCCAACCCGTCCAACGCTACAACCACGACGACTCCCAGCCCTCTCCGCATCCTCCTCACCCAAGCCGCATCCGTCGTCTGCTGCATCAGCACCATGGCTGCCACAGCCGCACTGCTCTTCTCCATGACCCTCGGTACCGGCTACGCAATCAAGAGAATAATTCAATATCCGGACTGGGTTCCTTCCGACATCAACGGGGACGTAAATGCAATTGATTTGCTCGTGGTGCTCTTTCCACCATTCGGCGCGCTTGTCAGAGCAATACCGGGCTTCTCCCTCTGGCAGGCTCCCGAACGTAGCCGCAAAGCCACCGTCCTAGAGGTGTTGATGGACTTTGCACTCGTCGCCGTGGGGATGGTCACTGTCGTCCTTTTGGCGCTTGTCTTTCGTCTTTTTTGGGAGCTGTGCATTTGGGTTCTTCAGATGTAGAAGCGAATGCGTGCTTCCTGAAGTTCGTTAAAATCTGCGGATAGCGTTCACTCAACTTGATCAATGGTTCATGTAAGGAGGATAGGGGCCTGTTCAGGTACCGGTGGAGCGTGTCATGGTATACCTACTCTGGAGGAGCCTGAGAGGGTAGCCTGTTTGGCCTTAGGTTTCCATTCCTAAATGAGTTGTCCAGTGCCATTATTTCACGAAACCGATCACCATGAGATTCAAGTCCAGTCACAGAGCTGCATTTTAAAGCAGCAAAGATGCCGCAAGAACACTTCAGAGTCTCTGGAAGAGAAATCATGGTCAGCCGCGAACTGCAAGAGCCACGTAACATGCTTTCCAAGGCAACAACTGACTATCGTGCTTAGACACCTCAGTCCATGGTTCAAGTTTTGAGTCGTCAGACCAGAGGCCAGAATTCACTACGAGGACACGAGGAAAGTATATATCCACCTCCCGCACCTCCAATTTCTCTCTTTGGCCTTTCATCACAGTGCCGCGAGCGACTTATCAGCACCTCTCAACAACTCCAGCAAGCATTCAAATACCTCCAAACGCCGCCGCCATGTTGTGAAAGTACGATTGCACAACCTACTACGCCGAGGCCGACCAGGTCGCCGCGTGGCAAGGCTGGAACCATCATGATTCCGGGAAACAATTGACGGGAGCTACGACACCGACTGCTTCCACTACTGCATCACCGCCGCCAGTTCTATCCCAGCCGGTCACTCTTGTCGGCTCCTCCACAGCATTTACAGCAGCATTTACAGCGGCATTGGCTGCGCTGACGACGGTCTTCTCCTGCAGTCAAGATAATCATCCAGTACCCCCCCGAGATCACGGAAGCCGACTGGAGTCCCAACGGCGTTGAGGGCAATATGGCGCTCTGCTCGGTTGTCTTCGCGCTTTGCGTCATCCTTTGTGGGTTCGCCACTGTCACCGAGGAGGAGTCTGTGTTCATACGTCGCGTTCAGTGTGAGCTTGAGAGTATGGTGTTCCTCAGTGCCGTGCTTTGTGGATCAATTCTGGCGACTCTCGGCTTTCGGTTGCTCCAGGAGTCGTTCGAAGTGCTCTTCTACCAGCAGGGAATGTACTGGCGGGAGAGATTGAGATACTGGGTATGTGCGGTATTGGAAGATGATGATGGAGGGTATGGAGGTTCACGGGCAGTAATCATTGATGTAACTAGCATGCATTAGTCGTCTATTATACAGATGATTATCGGCTTTGTAATTTAAGGCAATCGATACCACGGCGAGCTAGGTTCTATTGCAGAGAGCCCAAGTCCCCAAATGCTATGAAGTCCGCCAATGATTTGACTCCTTACACGCTCTCACTAGGCGTCCTTACTATGCCATGAAGTCTTTCAACCCTCTCCACAGGGGGATACACGGCTCTTAGAGTAAAGCTTCAAGAAAATCTCGTAACCCAGTTTGCTCGTGACCTATCGATCATGAATTTCCAATACGCGCACATTTCCTCGCCCATGCCTCATCAGAGACTCGGACTAGGCAACAAAGCTTTGTTGGTTCTGGCAAGCAAGTATTCAGGTGAGTGTCAAGGTGGACAGATTCCGCCAAGTACGCCTCCATTGACACAAGACGACACAACATGGGCAGTGAAAGATCGGCCTTCCAGAGCTCTCAGCCAAAAACACCCAGACCCACAGCGCTCGATAGACCTTCTTCCTCCGCTAAGCACCGGAACCATAGAGAGCATTCATCCCAAGATCGACCCTGGTGCTGGAACCCTCCACGCAGATCCATACTCGCCCATCTGTTCCGTGGCACAGGGCAAGTACAGGCGGACGGACGGACGGACGGAAAGACTTCCGGTCCTGAGCACGAAGTGCAGCTACACAATCGACGACCAAGTCTTTGACACGAGTTCTTCTGAACAGGAGAAGCATCGTCCACGTGTACACCGTAGGTTCAAAGCACCGACCAGCGTGAGCCGCTACGAAGAGAAGATGACTGGTGATTTTACAGTTCAACATCATTTCTACAGGAAGAAGTAACCACGAATCCAGCCTGTGAGGAAGGGACTGGTGGGTAGAATGAGTGAGCTTATAAACAGACCGGCACTAGCGAACTCTCATGGTGGGAACCGCGCAAGCTGACTGCTGGAGAGATATTGAAGTGATGACTCCGAGTTTCAGCATGGGAGGTAAAATTCACATCAAAGGAAGACTCATCGAGAAGTATCCTGCTATACGACCTGGCCATATGGTACCACAAGCTAGGACCTCGGTGGAGTGACTATAGGAGATGCAGCCTTCAAAGGCAAGTTTTACGTTGCGAATCTAATGCTACATTCTTCAGCCTCAGGGTAGGATATCCTAGAAGGAAAAGCGTCCGTCAGAGCCAGAACGCTCACTCGGTCCAGCTCCAAGCAATGCCAAAGGACCGAGATGTCCGGTCCTTACAGTATCCAGCACACAAGCGCCATGTCAGACCCTATACTCCGATCCCCATGCCTGTTCAAGCAATCCGAAGCCGCTCTCGAAGCCGTCACGCAGCCCAGGTTAGTTCCCAGCAGCTCGCAGCTCGTAGCCTCATAGATCCATGCCCAGCAAGCCTGGCATATCCACGGTCTTTCGCCTTTCCGCATCACTCACCTCTCATCCCCTCCTCCGGCCGCAACGCCCAGCCTCGCATCTCTCGCCCCCTTAACAGCCAACGCATCCGCCGCCACATTCCCGGGATCCTCCACATGGCCCTTACACCACTCAAACTTCGTCTCCGCGCCACACATCCTCCTCTCCTCGATCTTGCTGATGAGCGGCTCGATGAGGTCCTTGTTCTCGACGGGCTTGCGCGAGCTGTTGATCCAGCCGTTTCTCCGCCAGTTGACGAACCACTCCGTCACGCACTGGATCGCGTACTTTGAGTCGGAGTAGATGGTCACAGGGCGCGTTAGGGGGGTGATGTCGAGGGCGCGGGCGATGGCGGTTAGTTCGGCGCGTTGGTTTGTTTGGCGGGAGCCGGGGAGGGGCTCGGAGACGTTTCTGTAAGGGTTTACGGCGTTAGTGCACGGTGTTGAAGAACAACGTATGGGGAGTGAGGATGGATGAGTGAGCGTACCGCTTGTCACCAGGCCCAAAGAACACGCCCACGCCGGCAATGGCCCCGTTCTTCCCGTTCCCAAGCGAGCTGCCATCTGTGTAGATGCGCAGCATGCTGTTCTGCGAGTCGCCCTTCGCCATCTTCTTCTTCGCGTTGAGTTGCTCCGCGGTCTTGTACTCGACCTTGCCAGTCTCGGCGTTCAGTATGATGCGCCTGTCGAAGCCGTCCTCTGCGTCCGGAGGCAAAGGGCCCGTTCCCGCTTCCGGCGGTTCCTCTGGCGCGCCGTTCCCATTCTCAATGACTGGCTCTGCTGGGGCGGGCGTAGCGGTCTTCTTCTGCTTCTTCGCTGCTGGCGCGGCGCGGTGCTCTGCCTCCTGCGGGTCGCTCGCCGCATCTTGTATACCCGCCACAGCGACCGCTAGGCCTTCTGGGGGATTTACCTGGATATCCAGATTCTGGTTGCCCGGCCCTGCCTTGACGAACGCGATGGCTTCAGTGGTCGTCGGGAAGCTCTTGTGCTTCGGCCCTTTCCAGCCGATGATCTGGCGCTGTGCGGCCGGCCAGTCCGTGTATACACCCGGCACGCGCCCGTTGCGGATCGCGTAGTATTTCTGCAGGGTCGGCTTGGGGGCTTTGAGGGAGGTTTTGTCGTCGATGAAGGCTTCGGCTTCGGTGAGGGAGGGGAAGGACTTGACTGGTTGACGATAGCGCGTCAGTGATGGGACTGTGGGGAGGAGGGGGGCTGACTCACAGGACGCGTTCTTGAAGCCTTTGATCTGCGCCATGCAGTCCGCCCAGCTGTGGTATATGCCGGGTGCGTGGCCTACCCGTACCGCGTAGAACTTGGGGCCCGTGTCGCGCTTCCGCTTCGTGCCAGAGGATGCGGTCGTGCTTGCATTGGACTTTGTGTCTGAGATGTCTTGTGCGGGCGATGATCTCAGGGACGCTTGGGCTAGAGCGGATGCTGGCGCTGGAGATGCTGAAGCTGTTCTGGCCATGGCTAGGATCTGGAGCTTGGGAAGCTTCAGCAGCAGAGGAAGCGCTTCGACGCGTAATTTGAGAGTAGGTGCGAGCTTGGGAAACGGGGGCAGATGCCTTGCGCAAGCCCCTAGCTGTGCAGTGGCTGCCCAGGTAAGGCGAAGCTGTAATATGCGAGGCGCAATGTTGCCTGAAGGCAGGGCGTACTGTGGGTGGAGACGAGAAGTTGTACGCCCGAGAGACGCGCTTTTGTGCAAGACGTGGGGTGCCTGGTGAAGGAGGACGTGGGGTCCTGCAGGTCAAACACGTCAGCATGGGATTGTTTGCGGTGCGCTGTGACTGCTGCTGCTGCTTGACAGCATCACACCAGCTGTATGCCTCACAATTGTAGCTTTTATATCGCGCTTGCTTCGTATGTAGAAGAATCACTCTACTCCTTAACTGGATGAGGAGGGGCAGGCTGTTGGCACGATTCGACGTAAGGGCAGGGGCACAGGGGTTTATGAAGGTGGAGGTTGCGCCCAGTTGAGAGGGGGTTGCCAGAGGGGGTGTCAGAGGGGGTGGGAAGGACGGGGGTGTGGGGGGTGCCATGGCCTCGGCGTTGGAGGTGCTCGCCCACCTCACTCCACGACAAGCTGGTATCTCTGTGGGGGCTCATTGTGGGTCTGAGAGCTCATGGCCTGGCTTTCGAAGGCAAAGACAGTCAGAGACGAGGGTGGAGAGGTAGGTCGCTGTCGAAATCATAGTCGACCATCTCCACGATGATCGTCTTGGCCTGCAGCTGTCGTGTCGCGCATCACGCCAGCGCGTACCTGATTTAGGTCATTTCCCTAAGTCTACCAATAATGTAGAGTTTCTGAAGTCTTCTTCAGACGCCGGGAGACACATCTTAACAGTGACTAGTATCTTAGCTGACGACTGGCCATCATGTTCGAGGTACGAAGCAAGAATTTTTTTATATAGCACGAGTTTGAAGCTCACGAGTAGTCACAGGGAATCCACGCAGCAGACAGATACCACCTCCGCCTCCACCGCGCCCGCTCCGTTGTCCTCACACCTAGCGAGCTCGTCGAGATCCGCGCCGCTCAGAGGACATTCGAAGGCGCCTACATCCGCACCGCGCTTGGCCAGTTCTCCTTCGCGCTCGTTGTTCTCAAAATCTTCACGGCAGAGTTCTACTCCATTGGCGCGCTGTTTGCCGTTTACGGTGCTGGTGTGCTGTTCACGAGCTTGTTCAGGCGGTATCAGGGGAACAAGCAGTTCTTCGCCGTGGTCGGGGACGATGGCCTGAGTCGCAAGAAGTTCAGGACAAGTGGGAATGTGGTCTCTGTGTTGACTGCTCTGAGTGTAGCGGCCTATGTCTCGCTGCTGATATTGACGTTGCGATTGGAGGCGTGAGATAGGTGGGGAACACTGACTGCAATCGCGTCTGAGGGATTGGTGGTCGAGATCCTACCCAGGTATTCACTCTATTTCATCGCTCTAGAGCTCGACAGAGTCCCTTCGTATACCTCCAGTCGTCAATCATGCCTGTATCAAAGAAAACTCCTTCCACTATTATAGACAAACGGAGAGTATATAGCAGAGTTTGGGGACACGTTGCGTGCTACTAAACCTCTGCCAGCTGTTTAACGTACTGGTGGACGTAACTGACTCTGCACCATCTGGCCGCGTCCACTGGGTAGTTCTCGTGGTGGCCTTTCTGTTTTATAAACAATGTCTTTATTCATTGGTTGATCAGAACATTGAGAAAGACGCCGTAGACGCGCTCTCAACCGTTCAGCCCTTGATCCAGGAGTCTAAGATACCTTATAGCCACCTGCAGACTACCCATCGCAGGCGGCCAGGTGGTGTAAGGACCGGAGATGCTCAACTGAGCCACAGCTTCAGCGTAACATGTCACGCAGGGCCGGATCCGATTATTACAACCTCTTCACTCATCCCTTCAGATATGTCGTCGTTGTCTATCTTACCCACTGTTTCCGTGCTGCGTCGGGAACAAATGAAGCAATCTGGAACAGTCAGAGGGCGTTGGATCTGTCGATGGATGACGTAGGTGTGCGTTAATTCCGAGACACCGGCTCTCCCACGTCGCCGGGCATCGCACAGGTCCAGTTTTCCGGTCAGTTGCAGCCCTGTTGCTATGATTCACAGGGCACACCTAGAGTAAGATATCGTGTGAACTGATGTAAACATAAGGCGGCACGGCGGAAAGCTATCTAAAGCTGCCTACTAATCGAGTAGCACTAAGGCGGCTCCGGGCATGCGACTAGAAACACGCCTGACGATTTCGTGCCCGACTGGCACCGATTGATTGGAGGGCTAAAAATTGCGGCGTGGGGGAGCCAGCGGCGGGCTCTCGCTCCTGGCATGCTCGCCCTGTCGCAGCCCGCCTGACAGCGGAGAGCTGGAGGTGAAGGACACGGGAGCGTTGACGATAGAGTAGCTGCACCAAGCGGAAACGTGAATCCGCCGGCGGTTCAGGCTCTTACTCTAACCCTTTTCTTTTCTTCCCTGACCTCGCTCTGACGGATCCCACACGATAAAGCTGCGAGCATTTCGCCTTCACCTCAACAATCCCTTAGCCCTTTCCGCCCTCCCCACCGCAACTTTGCTAGCCTGGTGAAGACTTCTCACTCGCGCTTTGTACTCGGACCCCAAGACAGCATCGACACAAGTTCGCCGCCCAGCGTCTTGTCACCCAGCTTCAGGATATTTTCAGCTTGCGACCGCGAGGCTGAGTGAGCTGAAATAAGTCAAGCCAAGCTCCGCTCGCCACCAGGGCCACCCGCAGCTTCCGCTAAGCTAGGACGCACGCCCTGTTGACGCCAGGCGGGCGGCGCATACAAATCGCCATGCCTCTGATGGAGGATCCTGTTCAGCATCCTACTACACGCCGGCAGTCACAACCTTTTGATCAACGCAAACAGAGCATACAAAGCCAGCATTCTGTATACGCTCGAGCTGCTCTCATGAGTCACGCAGAGCAAGTCCTCCTCGATGGCCAGAAAAACGCACAGACAGATGCGCGCCGTGAAAGCGCGCCAACTTCGAATCCAACTTCCGATCCAAGTTCAAACGGCTCTACGACGACGACGATAGGCCGACCTCACGCTAGTACCGTCTCAGGCCATGAAGGTCATCTACACCAACCCGATCTTAAGCCTCCACCCTACGCGAACGGTGGTCATGCCGCACACCGTCTTTCCAAAGATGGCGTCGGCGATGCGCTCAGCGACACGCCTCTGCCGTCCGGCCACAACTCCCCTCGGATTGGCGCCATGAAGAGCGGCTCTGGAGTCTCTACGCCTCGGGTACGCCCTACCACGCTCGACATCCCTGGACTGACCAAGTCGAGGGTATCTCCTGACGGCCGGATAGCACAGCGGGATCTCGGCTCAAAGCTCGTCATCGTCATGGTCGGCTTGCCCGCGCGCGGAAAGAGCTACATCACGAAGAAGATGGCCAGGTACTTGAACTGGCTGCAGCACGATACCAGGATCTTCAACGTTGGAGAACGGCGGCGTGTTGCCGCAGGCGGCGGAGGCCACCGCCTTGAATCAGTCGCACTGCAAGGAAGGCCTAAGGATTCCGTTGATAGGCAGAGCATTACCACAGGAGCGCCGACTGGCGTCATCTCGCAGAAAGAGAAGCTCGATCCGCCGCAGCTCGCCGCACAAATACTCATCAATGGAGAGGCAGCGAACATAGACTCTCCTCCGCCATTGAGCCTTCCTGGCGCCGCTCATGAATGGGATTCCAAGTCCTCTAATCAGCACGGTCCAAGCGACTCGCAGCTTGAGCAGCTTGACGCGAAATTCACCGAGCTCAATAAAGCATCGGCACCAGAAGAGCTGCCTGAGACAGAGGCGATGGACCAGTCCGCTAGCTTCTTCGACCCGAACAACAAGAAGGCCGCGATGATCCGCGAACAAGTTGCATTGGAGTCATTGGATGAGCTCCTAGATTGGATAATGGCCGGTGGCTCCGTTGGCATCCTCGACGCAACGAACAGCACCCTCGAGCGTAGGAAACTCATCATGCGGCACCTTCGCGAGAGGGCCGGCAACGAGTTGAACGTCCTCTTCGTGGAGAGCCTCTGTCAGGACGAGAACCTGCTGGAGTCGAACATGAGATTGAAGCTCTCAGGGCCAGGTAAGACATAAGAATCCCTTCTTCGCCTTCAATAAGCTAATGATGTATCAGACTACAAGGACAAGGATCCTGTCGCCGCACTCGAAGACTTCAAAAAGCGCGTCGAAATCTACCAGCGCGCCTACGTCCCCTTGGGCGAGTACGAAGAGAGGAACAACATGCCCTACGTGCAAATGATCGACGTAGGCCGCAAAGTGATCTCGCACCAGATCCACGGCTTCCTCTCCGCCCAAGCCGTCTACTACCTCCTCAACTTCAATCTCGCCCCGCGCCAGATCTGGATCACACGGCACGGCGAGTCCATGGACAACGTGGCCGGCAAGATCGGGGGGGACTCGGACCTCAGCCCCAACGGACGCCGCTACGCGGCCGCCATGGCGAACTTCCTCGTCTACGAGCGCAAGGCGTGGGAGGTGCGCCAGCGCGACAAGGCGGCCAACACGCACTTCCCGCCGCACCCGGGCGACCATACCCCGCCGAACCCGCACTACAACACCGACGACGGCGAGGCGCCGGAGAAGAACTTCTGCGTCTGGACAAGCATGCTGAAGCGCAGCATCCAGTGCGCGGAGTACTTCAACGAGGAGGACTTCGACATCAAGCAGATGCGCATGCTGGACGAGCTGAACGCAGGCATAATGGAGGGTATGACGTACGAGGAAATCCGCACCAAGTACGCCGACGAATTCAACCTCCGCCGCGGCGACAAGATGCAATACCGGTACCCCGGCCCGGGTGGCGAAGGATATCTCGACGTCATAAACCGCCTGCGCCCCGTCATTGTGGAGCTCGAGCGCATGCTGGATCATTGTCTGCTCATTACGCACCGCAGCGTTGCACGCGTGCTGCTGGCGTACTTTTTGGGGCTCAGGAGGGATGAGGTTGCTGACTTAGATTGTCCGCTGGGGATGCTGTATATGCTCGAGCCGAAACCTTATGGAGTCGAGTTTAAGGCGTATCGGTACAATCCGCAGACGAACTGGTTCGACTACCTTCCGGATTTCAAGCTGAGGAGGGCGGAGCAGCATGTTTATGAGTAGGCAGGATGCTGGGTTGGTGTGGCTGGGCGAAGGGGCTTTTTGGTTACTGGATGCTTTTTGTCGCTCACTCATACCCTGATGCGATGCTTTGGCTGCTGCGGCTCACTCATTGCGGTTGCTTTGCGGGCGGATTTTGCATACACCGGTGTTTCTCCTGGCGGCAGGGAGAAGATGAGGCTACGGCGAGTTCTTGACGATGGGCGTAATGGGGGGTTTTGCTGTCTCTTAGCGGGTGCTTGGTTTGATTTCGGGTGGGTTTGTGCTTTTCAAACACCATCACTGATGCGATCACATGGCTTCATGGCTGTGTTTCTAGGCAAGCATGGCGATGGACTGTGCTTGCTGGGGCTGCTGGGGGAACTGGATGACCGAGGAGTTGAGCTAGGGACGGGAGGTTCTGCTGTACACATAGTAATTACTGCTTTTGCGGCCCAATTCAAGCGCGATCGGTATAAGCTGTGCTATTTACTGTCATGCTGTGTGAGAGACGAGAGCTGTCCAAGGTTTTTAGCGCCTGTCGCAGCCTTTTCCATTGTCGAAGCAGGACCCCTTCGTCATAGCTGGTGAAGTGTCACTGCAGAAGGCTGGAGGCGGCACGCGGAAGTAAGGTCTTCCAACTAAGAAAGAGAACAGTGGGCGTGCAGAGTCATATACGATACAGCCCACGAAAAACTTCTAATCGGTCGCTTAGCTCAGTTGGTTAGAGCGTGGTGCTAATATCACGTGACATCACGTGACCTAAACGCCAAGGTCGCGAGTTCGACCCTCGTAGTGACCAGTACCCCAATAACTTTTTGCATTTTTTGTGCCGCAAAATCTTGAACCCTTCGATAGGCCTCTGCTCCCACGAGAGTATTGCAGTAGAAGTTCATTTTGCATCTGTTTTATCAAACACGGAACATGCTGTCGATTAATTCTATCCTAGCCGAATTTTTTGAAATGACTTTACAAAACAACTTTGGTAACCCGTACCCGTAAGTGTCTTAGCACCTAGTGCGCCAAAGCCTACGCGTTCGAGTCGATCTCCCACCATGCTAATAACGATGACTCCGGGTCCTGATTCATACGATTGCGTCGGACGTTCAGAACCGAGAAGAATTCCAGTACACGATCGACCGGCTAATGGCTCGCTTGTCGTCGCATAGAAGAGCCAGTGGAGTTGGGACCCATTCTCCAATTCGAGTCTGGCTAAATAAGTAGGTGCCGACGTGTTGAAAGTCGTTTGGCCTTTAGAACCCGACGCCGTCTGCTTGAGTACGTGGATCGAAATAGTCCACGCCGAGATATGGAGATAGGGGGCAAAATACGGCGGACGATTGAATTCCTCGTAGTGTCGCAGAAATTCATGCCAGTTTATGATCCGGCCATCGTGGAGCTCAAGACAAACCTCGAAACCAGGATCAAAGTTCCACGTTGAGATCGATCCATCGATGATCCAGTGCGTCCAAGTGATAGAGCCAACCCAACCAGTCCAGGACCAACTGGGGAATCCCAGTCGCCTGGTTGACGGTTTGTCGTTCACCCAGGATAGCCCGACAGAGATGATCACTTCGGTCGCGAGTTGTATGGTCGGAAACCACGGAGAGCTTAGGAAGGGAACACCCCAACAATGGCGAAATCCACGTCCACTTGCCTCAAAAACCCGCAATATCCCCAGAATGCCGTTGAGGATGTCCGACTCATATGTAAGTGATTTCCGCGAGTATTCCATAATGCGTACACTGGCCTCCGATACATCCTTGCCGACTCCATTCTGAGGAAATAGGGTTTGATTGCGGCTAGTGTGCCCATGTTGAAGGTATCTTGCTTTGAAGTGTTGGCCGCCCTTCGTGTGGAGTTTCTGCAAAGGAAAGTTGAGCGCCTCACAGCAGTACATGCCGTAACACTCGAAATAAACTTGCTTGTCGGTGAACACCAGGCGTCGCCTAGACAGCAGGCCTTCTTGGTACGTCCATCCTCTGGTCATCCATGAAGAAGTTCTGATAAAAACCTTTGGATCCACTAACGCGGAGACCAAGAAGTTTTTACCGATCTTTGCGCAAGGTTGCGGAGTCCGCCGCCGATGTCCGATGCCAGGGAGACCATATGATGGGTCTTGTCCGGCGATTGCTATGATGGTGATTTCAGAATTCCGGTATATCAAGTCCATTTGTCGGATCTGGGCATGAGCCTCCGCTGAGTTCTGGTTGATGCAGTAGCGGTCAATCCACAGATATCTAAAGCCAAGATTGCGTGTGACCGTGATCGCATCCTCGATTGTGTTCGGTAGATCATCTGGTAGAAGCTCCAAATCTTCGTTTGTGCTGCCATTTTTCTGCTTCGGACCCCACAAATAGCTCAGCGTCAAGTATTGGTGATCCATGGCCGGAACAATCCTACGGGTATCACAATCGATCAGTCTAAGAGATGGAACTGAAGAAGTCGTTCGGGCGCCGCATGTTTTTGTGTGACCTTGACAGATGCGTAACCAGCTCAAGATGACGTTAAAGTCGATGGAATCCTCCTTGAGCAAACGAACAGAGTCTGCATCCTGGGAATACGGGACAAAGAATGCATTATTATGGTCAGGACTAAGCTTCAGTATGACCGTGTTGGTCGAGTTCCAGCCCATCCGTGCGACTTTACAACTGGGATATGACCGCAGCGAGTGGTGAGTTCCAGAGCCGCGACGGTGCGGTTGATATAACGTTGCAGCTAGCAGGCTGCACATGGAACACGAATCTATAGCCCAGTTCGCAGTCGGGCCCAAATGCTCCACTAAGTCGCCTTTGCCCGTTTGATGCTGCCTTGAGAAAACTTCCTCGAGGTTGATCTTCGCGCATCGTGCACAAAGCCGGTCGTTCTGTAAATGAGGGCCTTTTTCTGTTCGTCCGATGATTTCAGAAGACATAGGCTCCGTGACCATGAGCTGGCGACTGTCGCACTCGCTCTCCGCATCTTCGTTACGCTTTCTTTTCCTTCCTGAAGATTCCATGATTATGGCAGTAGATGAGAAATTTGCCCGCTACCAGGTGGCAGATCCAGAACAGATTAACGCTGGTGCTGAATAAGAGGCTGAGAGCTGCGGCTGAACTCCCGTAATTCGTGGTAGATGTCTGGTTCGGACAAGAGGATCCTCCATCAGTCTGGAAGTGCAACGCGAAGCGTTAACACTGGCTCGTCGGCTGATCTCGTCCCGCTCGAGGTGCTGAGCTGCTTGAATCGGCAGCAACTGGTCGAGCTATCCAGGAGTTTGTGCATGCGGATCCAGTGGCTAGTATGGCCTTACGAGTACCGGCGGAGAGCAAGGAACAGACACCTCCTTCACATTGTTAGTTGAAGCCTTGAAGACAACGATCGACCTAGAGATTCTTACCGAGCTACTAAGAACACAGAAAATAACGGTAGATTAGTTTCTCAAGCCGGTCAGCTGAGGGAACCAAAAGGGTAGATATGTAGGGGTAAAGGTGGCTGTGAGTCCGTAGGCAGAGCATGGCTCGGCGGCTCTCCAGCGTGGCTGAGCTGCTGCCACGCCGCGCATGCAGGAGAGCAAGATGAGACGAGGGTGAGCCGCACACGATTGGCGTCTGACAAGAGCTGCACAGCCTTGTTACGGGTACTGCTCAGCAAAGTGACTGGTTGATCCTTGGAAACATCCATACGTTAGTGATGGACATTGAGTCGAAGTCGCTATCCATATAATCGACTGTAGTCTTCCGAGTAAAGAGTTTTGAGCGAGTTTAAAACGAGACTCAAGATTCAGCCCTGCTAGACTCATGAGTGGTATAGACATCACGAATGAGCACTGAAGGAGCCTTCGTATACGACCGAGCAAAATCCTTGGCCATAGACGCAGTGGCTGAGCACAAGGCAAAAAGGTTAGCGGATGATGCAGAAGTGGCTCCTGAAACACAGCTGTCCGCGAGTGACTCGTTCGACTTGTAGCATATATCACTGTATTTATCCTGGAGCGATGCTTCGAAGAGTTTTGTCAGGTAAATGATGACTCGTGGTTAAGAAAAGGCAGCACTGCAATCCCTTTGGGACAACACGCGGTCAAAGTCAAGAAAATCACATGATCCCCGCCCTGTGTCAGCCCAGGCTGCATTCACCGCCAGCCAAACGCAGCGTCTGGAAGCACTTCCCTTCAACAATCCCACTTCCAAGCAAGCAATACGACAACCCACACAGCCATTGCCCTTTTCGCCCAGATTCTGATCGCTGATACAGCAGTTTGACCGACCCCCTCTATCAACGACGCAGACCGCTGTTGCAGGTCTGCGGAAGGAAGCCTAGGGCATGGCGAACGATGAATATGATGTGAGGAAACTCTCCGAATCCAAGGCGGAACGGGAATACTGACACATCCACAGTTCCTCTTCAAAGGTATCTCTATACGCGCCCACCGTCCTCCCCTACCCCGCTAACACCATCCCCCAGTCGTCCTAATTGGAGACTCCGGCGTCGGAAAGTCCAATCTACTGAGCCGCTTCACGCGCAACGAGTTCAACCTCGACTCCAAGTCGACCATCGGCGTCGAATTCGCCACACGCTCCATCCAGGTCGACGCCAAGACCATCAAAGCGCAGATCTGGGACACGGCGGGGCAGGAGCGCTACCGGGCCATCACGTCGGCGTACTACCGCGGCGCCGTGGGCGCGCTCCTCGTCTACGACATCAGCAAGCACCAGACGTATGAGAATGTCACGCGGTGGCTGAAGGAGCTGAGAGACCATGCGGACTCGAATATTGTGATTATGCTTGTGGGGAACAAGAGCGATTTGAGGCATCTGAGGGCGGTGCCGACGGAGGAGGCGAAGCAGTTTGCTAGTATGGATGCCAGGACTTGCAACTTACAAGAAGGAGAGATCGGCTGACAGGTGGTGGCTACAGGCGAGAACAACCTGTCGTTCATCGAGACCTCTGCTCTGGACGCCAGCAACGTAGAGCTAGCGTTCCAGAACATCCTGACTGGTAAGTCATATTCCGTATATAGGGTGGGCTGGCGCGTTTCAGAAGAGCACAATGGCTTACAAGATTATAGAGATCTACCGGATTGTCTCCAGCAAAGCCCTTGATCAAGGCGAAGCCTCCCAAGCGCCGATCGGCACACGCCAAACGCTCCAGATCAGCCAATCGAGCGACACCGAGGCGAAGAAGAGCGGGTGCTGTTAGACGTTTCCTACAGTCCTGTCAAAGTCGTCCTCTACGGTGTCTGCGCAGTTCTGCTTCGGCGGCAGTGGGTAAAGGGGCAGTGGTTGCTTAGATCCTTTCTCACAGCAGAGCTCTGTTACAGGCGTCTGAGATATCTGGTCCTTCTGTTTCTCTTGCTCGGTTTGTACTCTGGGGGGTCGGTCGGATGGTGCATGTAGTTTTTGATGCTGGATATGACTTGAACTGCATGTTGACATGCTTGCCTCGAGAGTGAGCATTCCGCTGGGCTTCCTTCCTGCGTGAACTCCAACTTCTGTTGTCCGTTTCTCTGAACCACCGCGGTAATTGGCAGAACGCAGCCACTTTACTTGGTTGATCTAGGTCGTGAAGAGTAGTGATGAGGACCGATATATGCAGCTGGATACAACGTTCTGACCCCTTCGATGCGGAGCACATGTAAGTGAAGCCACTCTTTTCTACGCCTATCAAATGCAGCCAGCAAGAAACTCCAGTCCGTCATTACGGCCCCTTCGCTATGCAATTAGACCTAATCGTCGTGACCCATCCACACCTCGGTCCTATATCAGACAATGCAATTCTCGCACCTCGAATTCTAACCCAGTACCGCTGATGCTACACGACACTCAGCTCCACCCGCTCCGCCTACGCCGGGAACTCATCCTCCAGCCTAAACGTCGTCTTAATATTCATACTCATCATCTCCTGCACGAGCAACTTGGCCGCATACGGGATCGTCATCTTGACGACCCCCCTGCTCGTCTTACAAGTCTGGCACCAGCCCTGATACCCCATCATGCCGCAGCGCTCACAGATATCGACCTCATGCGCATCGCTACTGATCATCAGCCGCTCCAGCAACAGCTGGCTCGCCCCGTACGCGATGAGGCAATCCCGCTCCATCTCCCCCAGCCTGAGGCCGCCCTCGCGACTCCTGCCCTCCGTGGGTTGGCGCGTAAGAATCGCACGGGGCCCGCGGGCGCGCGAATGCATCTTATCCTGGACCATATGCTTGAGCTTCTGGTAGTATATCGGGCCGAAGAAGACATAAGCCGGGAGCGGCTCCCCCGTAATACCACTCGTGAGGTAGTCCTTCCCCGCATAGCTAAACCCGTGGCGCAGGAGAATGTCGCTCATATCCTCAACCCTGGACCCGCCAAACGCGGTGCCATACTGCAGCTCGCCAGCCAACACGCCCGCTTTTCCGGACACGAGCTCGAGCATCTTGCCGACCGTCATGCGCGAGGGAAAGCCGTGCGGGTTCATGATGACGTCTGGGCAGATGCCTTGGTCGTTGAAGGGCATATCTGCTTGCTCGACGATGATGCCCACGACGCCCTTTTGGCCGTGGCGCGAGCTGAACTTGTCGCCGAGCTCTGGACGGCGCGTTTGCCGCATTTGGACTTTTATCATGGTCGTGTCGGCTTCGTTGCCAGTGATCAGGATCTTGTCGACGTAGGAGGGGTCGGGGAGCTTGTAGCTCATGTTGACGTCGCGGCGGTCGTTGGGGTTGGTGGCTGTGCTGCCGCCCACGCCCGTGGCGGAGGTGTTCATGGGGGACTGCTTCATGATGTAGATGTCGCCTTGTTCGAGCTTGGAGCCAACTTCGACCAGGCCGTCGCGGCCAAGCTTCTTGTGCCGCGAGTTCTTGGGGTCGTAGTCTTTGAGCCCGATGCTGTCTTGCGTGCCGTTGGCGTACTTCTTGAGCGCTGTGGTGGCTTTTTTGAAGACCTGGCATCGTCCAAAGCCGCGGTCGCAGGAGGCTTTGTTGAGGACGAGCGCGTCTTCTATGTCGTACCCGCTGTAGGACATCACGGCCACGGTGGCGTTTTGGCCTGCGGGCAGCTTGTCGTATTTGATGAGCTCGATTGTGCGCGTCTTGACCATTGGCTTTTGTGGGTAGACCATTAGGTAGAGGAGGGTGTCGATGCGGGTGAACTGGTTGTACGCAATGGCTCCGATGGCTTGTTTACCCATAGCGCATTGATATGTGTTTCGGGGTGACTGGTTGTGATGAGGGTAGGGAATGAGACCTGCAACGGCACCGAGGATAGTGAAGGGTTCGATTTCGAGATGGGTGGTTGACGCATTGATGTCGGGCTCGTAGATAGCAATGTTGGAGTCGTTCTCCTCGTTCACATCAAGGTACTCGACAAGGCCGCGCGAAAGGAAGTCGTCGAAGTCCATAGTGCCCTTTCGTAGCGACTGGAGGTAGCGGGCTGTGACCTTCGACTTGCCACGCTCCACAACAATCAGCGGGCGGCAGATGCGACCTTCGTCCGTTGCGATGTGGACAGCGTTGTGATGGTGATTGATGTAGATGCTGACAAATTCCGAGACCCTTCCCATTCGGCGAAACTTGCGGAAGCCGTTGAGGAACTGCTTAGGTTGGCGAGTAATACCGACAGGCGTGCCGTTGATGAAGATAATGTAAGCCCCGTCGCCGTACACCTCCATTCCGCTAGCGGTCGTGACATCTTCAGCGCCAAGCACGAAGACCATCTTTCTCACGGGGTCCTCGTCGTCGTCGGTGGTGATGTGCGTCATGAGCGCCAAGTTCTTGACGAGACCGCAAGCCTCGCCTTCTGGTGTATCGGCCGGACAGAGCATTCCGAACTGAGATGGCTGCAACGCTCTTGGACCGGATACCTTGCGCGTTTTCTCGAACTGGCTGCTGATACGGGTCATCATGCCAAGGGCGCTGATGTAGCTGAGCCGGCTGAGTACGTGGGTAACGCCCGCACGTTCCATCTTGAAGCGCTTCAAGCTCCAGTTTCCTGTGGCGATTGCTCGCTCCATGCCGGCGGTAATGTGATTGCCGTGGCTTTGAAGGTGGAAGTACGCGTCAAACTCTTGCGTCCGGTTCTGTTTCTTGAGCACTTTGTCGATGTTCAGTTTGAAGTCATGGTTGAAGCGCTTGAAATGGTCCTCAAAGAGTAGCGACAACATCTGACCAGCCAGCTCTAACCGTTTGTTTCCCACGTAGTCCCTGTCGTCGACTAAGCTAGGATCGTGCATGGCCATTAGTACCCTGCGAACCATGAATGCGATATACAAGGCTTTGGGCCTGAAGTTTAGACCGTGGACCGGAACGTGAGTGATGATGAGCGTGGAGAGTGCCTCGATAGCATCTGCGCGGTTATCACGCCGCATAGGGCCTCCAACAGGCTTCTTCATGAACTTTACTCGAGCGCCGATATAATCCAGTGCTTGTTGCTGGGTGTGCACGCCTTCCGTAGCGCAGGCTTCGAAGTTGAGGGCGAACTCATCCTGGTAGACACTGTCGTCGCCGGCCACGAGCAGGAGAATCTCATGGTCCGACTGGACTCCCATTGCCTTTAGGATGAAAGCAACCGGAATATCCTCTTGTAGGATGTTGTGCTTGAGGTATAGACGCCCCTTCTTCAACAGCACGTAGGTCTTCGATTTTCGCTCGTGGGTGGAGCTTGTGACCGATGCCTGCACGATGCCTTTCATTGACTCGACAATGACACGGTTCTTGCTCAATTGTTCTTGAACCAGAATGACCTTCTCTTGACCCCTGACAATGAAGTAGCCTCCTGGATCGATCATGCATTCGCCCAATGTGTTCATGTTTGCCGGGGAAACCCCGCTTAGCACACATTTTGAACTCCGTAGCATGATTGGCATGCGACCGATCCGGACGTTGCGTCTTCTTATCTTGGTCATCCCGCGCCTGTATTCGACGTCGACTACGATCGGTGCGGCGTAGGTCATATCGCGTAGGCGGCATTCGTTCGGTGTAATGGCGGACTTGTTATAGGACAAGTCATCTTCGTCCAGACGGTTCGGTGCGAGGACACGGATATCAAGATATTTGAGGAAGAACTTGTCGTCAACATCGCTGTACACCGTCTGGTTCGCCTTCACGATGTTCTTGAGCTCGGTCTCGACGAAGAAGTTGAACGAATCAATGTGCTGCTTGACAAGGCCTTTGACTTTAAGGAATGCCGGAAGGAGGTTCCACTTGTCCTTCGCCGTGTTGATCGGGTCGGTCAAGGATTTGCCATAGTAGAAGGGCTCGAGGAGCGCCTCAAAATCCTCATTTCGTCCGCCGTGCGGCTTCTTTTGCCGCGCATTTGTCCGCGTTGTATCTTCTGGTGGGAGAGAAGCTTCGGCTGGCTGTAGGGGAGCTTGGGGATCATGCTGTGTGGTCGGAGGCTCGACATGAGTAGTGCTCTGACTGCTTGGGGCGGTTTTCGCAGTGGGTTTCCTCTTCGCGGGCACCTTCGCCTGAGGCGGGCTGTTAGCACCGATCTCTCAAAGTGAAGAGGCTAATCTGCTCACCTTCGCAGCAGTCTCAGCAGCGCCAGAGGCCTCAGCAGGCCCGGTCTTTCTGGCCTTTGGTGGCATGGCTTGCTGTGTGATCGACTTTCTTGCTCAGCCCTATGAGCACTCGAGAATTCCAGGTTCGACAGCGACTCTGGCGGCTTGGCCTCGGTTTCAGCCTCTATCGATAACTCACCCCCGTGAAGCCGCTAATGCCGCCTTGAGCCGACGGGAATGCTGCATGACGGAGCTCTCACAAGGAGCGGTGAAGAACCGACCCGTTGGGAGGGAGGCCCGTGGTAAGTAACTTGTCCATCTGATGCGCTTCTAATTTCTGGAAAGTGTCATGGAAGCGACGGCGGAGGCAAGCAGGTAGCATTGCGCTTCTGGTCCTGAGCTTGGAGACTACACTATCTGGTTGCAACATCGGAAAGGACCAAGGATATCATGCATCCCACCACGCCCACTCTGACCAAATCTCCAGCGGTGGCTGCGCAGTATTCCACTTTCGGGGTTGATGGTCCCGAGTAGAGACCGTTTCGGGCCCGCTGGGTTACTGCATCTGGAACGTCTTGTCCCCGCCCTCAACATGCTTATCACGGAGGTTTCCTTGTACTGAAAGCTTGAGAGACGCTCGACTGCCGAGAGGCATAGCAAGGAGCAGCTGGCCAGGCTCACAAGCAATGGCTGCTCGTTGGAACTGCACATGTTCTCACCCGTTGTGCCTCCGCTAGCCTGGCGCCGAAGAACGGGAGAGGGCGCGGGCGACACTTCCTTACAGTATGGCGTGCCAGCCTGCTCCACTACTGAACGTTGGGCCGATGCGCATTGCTAGGCCTCGTACACTCTACCCCGAGATCTAGGCGCTCTTTCGATATCAGCTATGTGGAGAAAAGCGTCTCAGCGCTCTCTGTCCAGCGCTCCTAGACGAACACATTGACCTGCCCTTTTCGCTCGTAGGTACCGTGTATTGTAACAAACCCGGTTGACCCAGGGTGAATTGTCACTCGTAACCTTAGCCCGGCAAGGCACCCGAGGTCCCTGACGGGGCCAGCGTCAGGGTCCAAGGAGGCTTTCCCTGGCGGCTGCTGGGTACCGCTGGGTACTTCCCACAAACACATCCGCACCACTCTCGCCCTGTAGTTGTGCCGGAACTCGCGCTTCTGGCAGCTGTAATCCCCCTTTCGATTTGCATGTATTGGTCGCTTGGTGGGCCGCTAAACTAGCTTCACCAAGCTTTCATCACCGGGCCGTGCGTCTGTGGGCTGGCTGGGTTCTGTGTACAACGTTAGTGGTCTGGGGTGTTCTCCAGGACGAGGTGGACGAGGTGTCTCAACCCTCCTCACCTGCTCTGCGACTGTAAGATTTCGAGGGCTGCTGCCTCACTGTACAATATGGCTTCGAATGTAAGAGAGCCCGCGTCCCGAATGACTGCTCCGTTCTCGAGGACTGCTCGTCGTTGGGCTGGGGAACCTCCTCACCGCCGAATCGTGAACCCCACGTGTTGCTCGAGGGCAAGGAGGAAACAGCGTGCTGATGCGCCAGGAAAACCTACAGAGACACAGTATGGGCTTCCAAGGCCTCGGTGAGCGCACCGACGACACACGCTTCCGCAACCCGCAATCTTCTCGAGAAGATACGTCCTTCCTTCGAGGCATCGGCAGCCAGATGCAAGCGCAAACCCCCTCAGCGAGCGACGCACGAGCGAGCCTCCACAGGCGCTTCACGACCAACACCGTACCTCAATTGTCTTCCCTATCACCGCTTTCACCGATTGCTCAACAGCGGAGGGCGGCCGCCGAGCCTGTTTCGGATCTTTCGTCTGCGGTACGTGGGCTATTGTTGCGACGATACCCCCAATGCACCACAACAGCTTCACAGCTGGTACCCCTCAAATGTTTCAATGGTTCTGGGCAGGCTATTGTGGTGGCACAGTTGCGCGATCCAGCGTCCGACCTAGTTTCCATCACATATAAACCCCTTGCTTTCGTTCGAACTTCTGCTCGTTTGCGCATCCATAAAAAATATCACTAATTGAAAATATTCCAGACGTTCCACAAAGTTCAATTGGTAAGGATCTCCTTATCTCCTAGACCCCTCTTCGGCGCTGCGTCCCCTCCCTTAGCTTGGTTGCCAAGTTTCACTCCGTCGTCGTGGACACAGGCTTCCTCCGTCACTGTACTTTCAACCTCACAAGACACTCTGCCTCCCACACTTCAACAACCTTTCCCACCTTTGCATCGTTGATCCTCGCTTCAATCAAGTGGTAGATCTTACTTGCCGCCTTGTGCAAGAAGATCTTCGATTGATTGTACGGTTTGCCGTCACGCCATTTCGACTAGATCTTCCAGCTCTCTTGCTTTGGGCAACACCCACGGCGCCAGATCTTTCTCATTTGGCAACTGCTAACGAGGAAGAACAGCTTGAGAAGAAGAAGCTTGAGTTTGAGTTCCTCCGCGAGCAGCGTCGCCGTTTCGCTGCTGAGATGCAGTTGATCGATCTTCAATCCAAGCGTGAAGAAGACGAAATGCACCGCCTGGCTCAAGACCTCTCTCATATCCGCACTTCTGGTCACCAGAGCGAGCCAACAACGCCGCCGGAGTACCGTGACAACGGCTTCCCGTCCGCCTTCTCTCGTCCAAGCCGTTTCTCGTCTGCGAGCATGACATCACCTCCAGGCAGTAGCTTCCTCTCAAACCGCCCAAGCCGCGCTGGTTCTCAAGTCACCTCACCTCCACAGGCGTACAAGACGCAACCGATCTCTCACATCTCCTCAAAGTCCATGCCGGGCTCTCGCCGCAACTCTGACGAAGAAGACGACGAAGATCTCTTTGACTACGCTGTCTCTACTATGAATCCTCGCTCGGGTGTTGCGTAAGTCTTTCGCCCATTCAATTCAAACTCTGGTGGTCGTTTCTGCTTCGCTTCGCAGTTCTGTCCCACGTGCTTCAAGATCTACCCTTCCACATTCCTCACCACCTTCCATCGCGTCTATCGCCTATTTGCGTTTGATAACATTCCACCGCGCTTCACACTTCAATCACTCACAGAAGCTGACACCAATTCAGCCTCAACAGAAATTCCATGCCCGTCACGGGCTACGACCTTCAGAACCGCTTCACCAACGAGATGCCTGACCTTTCCTCTGTACTTGGTCACATCAACACCGCGGGCTTTCTCTTCGGCGACGAAGATCATTCAGTCAAGAGGAACCAGCCGTCGCCGAACATCAAGAGCTATCTGCAGATGAACACGACTGATGACAAGTTTCCGATCTTGGTCCGTCGTGATGGCAGCGACATGCATCTTTCCGCGTCCTCCGCTGCGTTAGATCTTGCACTCTCGCAGTCACCCGGATCTGACGCTTTGCCAAATGGATGGCCGTCGTTTGTTCGCCACCGGGCTGGCCAGCACAGCATGCCCATGAATCAACTCCACGACTCGGCCGCTGACGCCTACGAGCCGGAAGAAGCTGGTGGAAATGGTGTTGTCACGCCCACCAAGAACATGGCCGTCAACCGTCACTCACTGGAAGTGAAGTTCAGTCCCTTTGGTGAGAACAAGCGCCCTGGTCTTCTGGCCAATCCCCCGCATGGAGCGGCAAATGGCATGCCGAAGCTGCAGTCTTCGTACTCTACCAATGACATCCCGACCATGAAGAACACCAATGGCGTCAACGCGTCGGTCGGCCTGCCACAGAAGACGCATGCAGAGCAGCATTTCCACAACCACAACGCGAACATGGGTCGGATCCCGCAGAATGCGGTGGGCAATCGCCAGAGCAGGGACTTGTCCGGCGGCGATTCTCAAGAACAAAAGAGCCCCTACCAGCAAATCCACTCAGCTCTGCATGCCGGCGCTGCACCTTTCGGTCCTACCATGACTTCCGCGGCAGCCAACTCGGCAATGACGTCTTCTGCAATGGCCCAGTACGCCGCTCCGGCATACTATGGCGGTTATGGCATGGCGATGATGGGTATGGGCATGGGCAACATGCAGCAAGCTCAGTGGAACAACCAGATGCCGATGTACTCTGGCGGCTATGGAGCTTATGGTCAAGGCTACCAGCAGTTCCCGCAAGGCCGCGTGCATGACAACCAGTCCCGCGCCTTGGTTGACCGCCGTCGTCGACCTGATCATGGAGATGGTGAGTGTCAGATTTCTTCCCTTTCATGTAGCTCTGGTACTAACAAAATCCTAGTAGACTCACGCTTCGCCAACATGGCCCTCGAATCTGTGGAAGACGAAATCCTTGGCCTGTGCAAGGATCAGCATGGCTGCCGCTTCCTTCAGAAGAAGCTCGAAGACCGCAAGCCGGAGCACGTTCAGCTGATCTTCGAGAAGGTCAATGACTACGTTGTTGAGCTGATGACTGGTACGCGATCTTGACACCAGTTGCATTTCTCATCACTGACACGAACAGATCCTTTCGGCAACTACCTCTGCCAGAAGCTGTTGGAGTACACGAACGATGAGCAGCGCACCGTGCTCATAAACAACGCCGCTCCTCAGATGGTGACCATCGCTCTCAACCAGCATGGCACTAGGGCTTTGCAAAAGATGATTGAGTTCATTTCCACTCCCGAGCAGGTTTGCATGATCGCTGTCCTTCTACAAAAATATTTCGCTGACAGTTCCAGATCCAAACCGTCATCCACGCCTTTGGCAACCAAGTCGTGACCTTGATCCAGGATCTCAACGGCAACCACGTCATCCAGAAGTGCCTCAACCACCTCAGTGCCCAGGATGCTCAGTTCATCTTCGACGCTGTCGGCGCGAACTGCATCATTGTGGGTACCCATCGCCATGGCTGCTGCGTCCTCCAGCGCTGCATCGACCACGCATCCGGTCCGCAGAAGGTTCAGCTGGTCCGTCAAATCACCAAGGAAGCCTTTGCGCTTGTCCAAGATCCGTTCGGCAACTACGTTGTCCAGTACATTCTCGATCTCAACGAGACCTCGTTTACTCACCCGCTGTGCGTCGCGTTCCGTGGCCATGTTCCCGCTTTGTCGAAGCAGAAGTTCAGCTCGAACGTCGTCGAGAAGTGCATCCGCGTTGCGGACAAGGAGCATCGGCGTCTTCTGATTGAGGAGCTCATGCACCCCAAGGAGCTCGAGAAGCTCCTTCGCGATCCCTATGCGAACTACGTCGTTCAGACGGCCATGGATTATGCCGACCCGGAGATGAAGGTTCGTCTGATTGACGCCATCCGTCCCATTCTCCCCGGCATCCGCCAGACACCCTATGGCCGTCGCATCCAGCAGAAGATCCAGGATGCCGAGACTCGTCGCATGTCCGCACTCGGTGGTACAATGAGCGCACTCTGTGGCTCAATGGCCGCTCTTGACCCAGTTCCAGCCCAAGCACCGCTGCAGCTCACCGCTGGCTTCCACACCGGCTTCCAGAACCCAACCTCCAGCTATGCCACCGCTGCAAACTCCTACGGCGCCAACATCGCAGCTCCACAGCCGCACCGCCTGAGCAACCCGCCCTTGCCGAACCACCTCCAGAACACTGTACAACAACCTTTCTTTAGTCGCGGAGGCCAGGCCAACGGCATCAACTATTTCTGAACACACAGTGTACAACAAGAAATGACTGCCATGAGATCAATGAAAATTTCATGGCTCATCGCATCATCCGCATTCCTTCTCCACACACCAAAAACAAACATCGCTGGTAACCACGTTCGCTTTCTCTCTGGATAACAAACTCGAACCGTCGAACGCGAAATCCTGGTTCCTGTTTTTTGGTTGTTGGTTAAGTTCATCTTCTCTTCCCATCTCGAGTGACGGCGCGCCTTCGAAAAGCAAAGAAAACGTTGCTTACCGCCTATCTCGCCTTCTCCTTGCTCATGATGAAGTCACGATCGCCCACACATAGACGCATGTTGATCGGCTTTGGCAAACCCTTCCCTTGGATCACGAACATGTCTGTAGACTACTCGATCTCCTTCTGGCATCGGCGGGGCTTCCTGCAAACTCGACACGTCAGCTCTGGATCTGGATTCTGGATTCTGGGAGGGACTCGTCAAGCGGCTTCGGTCACTTTCCCTTGCCCTTCTGCTTCTTGTCTTACTTGACGGTTTCCTGCTGCACATGTTGACTGCTTTTGCACAAAAGAAAAGGGCGGGCTCCTCATGGGGTGGGCTCTTACACTTACCTTCTGCATTTGTGTTTCTTGCTTGCTCTTGCTCTTGCTCTTGCTCTGCACACCTCACCGATCCCCTGGCATAGTTACCCCTGCACATGATTCCCTCTTCCATCCACGACTGCATGCTTTGCTTTTCCTTCGGCGGTTGCTTGCTGGCGTTGTTACTGCGGACGGGATGTTGCTCTCACACTCTGGCTCATGCTGATGCCAATGCTCTTGCTCTGCTCTTGCTCGGGCTCTGCTCTTGCTCGAGCTCTGCTCTTGCACATGCTTCAGCTCTTGCGTCTGCTCATGCTCCGGCATCTGCTCATGCGTTAGCTCTTGCTCCTGCACTTGCATCTGCTCATGCTCACTCACATACACTTGCTCATGGCTCAAGCGTGGCACTACTGCTGCGTGCCCATACTCATGCGCGCTGCTGCTGCGCACTCTGTAGCTAGCCTCGGGCTGTTGCACATCGGTTCGTCTTCTGTACGGCCGAATGGAAGGCAACGGCTGTTAGCAGGTAGCTCAACAATGAAAGGATCATAAAACCACTTGCCCGCTTGATGATGTGACTTGTGCCGTATGTGACTCCGATTTTCCCCTCAGAGAACCTCTGCTGTCCTCTCAAGAAGGAATTACCCCGTTGCTCGATAGATGCCTGAACCGTAATATTAGCTTCAAAGCTTCAGAAAAGTGCTGATCGGCGTAGCCTGGAATTTTTGAACGCGTTTTACGCTCGCTCCGCTGCTCGCCTTTCCACGATGCTGAATTTGCCAAGTGCTGCACCCACACTTCCTACGTTGGTGCAGGTCAATGGCAGCGTAAACGTGTTTGCCAGCGCCCAAGTGTTGCCGCAGGTAGCTTGGACTCAGAGCTGAGACGACTGCTGAGTGGGAGGGGCGGCGGGCTTGACATACTGATAGTCGTAATCTGGAAGATGGTCCCTGAGCTAGAGCTGTGCATCAGCGCCGTGCTTGGAGGGCGTACCTGTAGAGGCTTTCCCATAGCGCTTGCCGGGAGTCCGGGAAACACTTGTCTTTGATCCTGCTCCAAGGCCACTGTCAGCCTCCTTTCATGCTTGGCGTGGCTGTCCCAGGCGGATAATTCTGGCATCAGCAAACGAAATTTCTCAGCACGGCCACCACCCTCCGGAAGCTCCCAGGGCACTCACCTGGATCATCTCTCCATGCCCTTCCTTTCCCATATCGACAGACTCCACGCCTTGCATTGAGCGAGTGCCGTACACGCCGGCACCGACAGGCTGCCAAGACTGTGCAGCGACGCGTTGTGGACTCCTAATTTTCTCATTTCAGCAGAGCCGCATGACTCTCCCACACAACTTCTCGTCACCGCAACCACCACCACCAGCACCACAACCACCCCACCTTCCCAACCCACCCAGAACCCCCGGGGCCAAGAGAGCGCCATCACGTCCCGACGCCCGTCTGCACCCCCTCTCCCCTTCAAGATCGGAGTCCACCAGGCCGCGGCAACGAGCCAGATCCAGCGGCGCGGTCCAGTACGGGTTTTGATAACATCAGATGGCGGCGCGCCGATCCACCAAGGCTCCGGCCTGGATCACCGCGAGGACTCTGCTCTGCTTGCATCACTACCTTACGCTGTTCAGCTCCTGGCTCTCTGGTCACGTCCGTCTGACCTCGCGATCTCTGACGGGATGGAGGGCGGAGCGGGAGGAGCGGGAGGTTCGGTGACGTCCACGTGATGTAGGGGCAAGGGAGGGTTGAGGAGCGGAGAGGGGACGACAACAACGCGACGGCAGAAGCAAAGAGCAAGAAACGCATAGCAAACAAACTTACATGGTCGTCAACGACAAAGGAGAAAGCAAGAACGACATCCAGCGTTGGGCAATGAGTACTACCCACACAATCGCAGACTCAGAACAGAATCAAAAGTAATGAAACGCAGCGACCACAAACCGTAACAAAGCACCCGCAACTGCGCACGCATGTATATATGTTCGACAAGCTGACGTTTGACGTAGAATCTCTTTCCATTTCGTATCGCAATCTAATTACGCACGCCGTCCACGCCAGGCGGTCTTCAGTACCGATCCCAGAGAAACGAGACTTCGCCGCTTCGACAGTGCCACCCGCAACACAAAGTCAACATGAAATCATCGTCATGGTCCGCCAGCGAGACAGTGTTCGGCAGGCTTCCAGAGACGCGATGCCGACAGGCGGTATTCAAACAAACCGAACCGACTCCAAACCGGAAACATGACAAAAAGGACGCACATACGCAGATACCGGACAGTAGGAACGTGCCAAGGAAACGAGCCAAAGATTTTCAGGCCCGATGTTGAGGGCTAAGAAAGAGACGGTGCTTGTCCCTGCCGTCACTCCCAGAGTCTTAAGTGGACACCTCCGACTTGCGACATAGACGTTTGCGCGGGAGTCGACGATACATTCCGACGAGATACTGAGAAAAGAAAAACATCAGTGCCGAGAAAGAGCAAGGAAATCGTGTGGGCATGCCCGCCGCTTCGGCCCAAGAAGATCATGTATGAGTATTTAGAGCTGAATCAGCCCCCCGCTAAAGAGGGCGTTGGGTAGGCATAGTAAGGAAGACCTGCTAAGCAGCTCTCTTGTGCTGAGAGCGGTGGTGAGTCATGAGAAGAAAGACCTGTCAAGGAAAGGAATCAGTGGATTCAGGGGAAAAGGAAGATTCAACGCGACAAGGCCACCCGGCGACTGCGATGCGTACCATCCGCGCGGCGGTAGCTCATGGATCCTGCATCCGGGGTCTCGATGTCGTCACCCTCTTCGAAGCCTCCATTGGCGAAGTCTTCGGCCGTACGAGTCAAATCAGGCCGAGCTCCCTGGCGCATCGGCTGCTCGATGTGTTGCGTGTCGAAGGTCGAGGAATATGTCCGCTTCGTAGCACCTGATGCTGAAGGTTGCGTAGCAAACTTCGGTGGAGCCGCGCGAGGACCTTCATGGTAGTTCTCCCCCAGAGATCCAGGCATCTGGTATGACGGAGAGACCGGCTCGAGCTTTTCTGTCGGCGGCTGAAGCGTCTTCAGGGGCGCAAGCGAATGGCCATTTACTGCAGGTGCCGAGGGCAGAGGTGCCGCCGGTGTGTTGAGGGTAGGCTGCGGAGCCTGAATTGGCTGCGAAGGAATGCTCATCTGGGGAGCCCGGCTGTAAAGATTGTCCGAAGATCCAAACGGGGCCGGATTCATCATGCTGGTCGGGGTCTGGTACTGCTGAGGCTGCGGCTGGTTCATCGGAGCTCGGCGGTAATCCCCAGGAATCGCCTGTCCAAAGTCGACAGTATCGTGACGCATGTGGTGCGGCGAATGTTCGTACTGAGGCTGGGCGTACTGTTGGGTCGGCAAGTAGCCGTACGCCTGAGGCATCTGCATGGACGGATGCTGGTAGCTGTGCTGCGGCTGCTGGTACGGAGCTTGCGGCGGCTGCATCATCGGCTGTTGCGGAGGGTACTGGCTCTGGTACTGTTGTGGCTGCGGCGGACCGTATGGCATCTGCGGATACGCGTTCTGCGGTGCTGGAGGACCCATCTGCTGCACGAAGGCCTGCTGGTAGCTCTGTGCCATATCCTGCAGTGACGTGCGGCGTTCCGGAACGGCATACGAGCCATTGCTGGCGTTGCTGACAGATCTCGGGCGGTCTGATCCACCCATTGGCGGCTGAGGCGTGGGCATCGCCGATTGTCCATACGCATCTGGAGTGGCAGTTCTTCTCGCACGCTCATACGCCGTCTCATCCTCGTAGTCATCCCAGTCTTTGGAAGATTTGTTGTCGCGCCTCCTCATGCGCACATCACGCCGGATGCGAACACGGCAGCCCTGCTCAGCTACCATCCGGCTGAGAGCGGTGCTCTCCGTCAGGCCAGGGAACTTCTTCGCGCTGAAGACAGTGAACGGAGCCGATTTGACCTCCAAGCGGTGCGAGACGTGGGCGTTGATGTTGTCCGGCCGGACAGCGACATCAGCCATGTGGTCTTCCGGGTCCATGTCCTTTGCCTCTTTCAGCTCTTCGTACAAGGCGAAGCTCAGCCGATACTTCCCTTCGTGGCGGACTGATAGATCTGGAAAGATGAAGTAGCCAGCAGGATTCGGACGATCTAGGTATGCCATGCCGGCTACAGGAGTACCGGTCAAGACGGGGAAGCTTGCGGAAGCCTGAGGGACGCGGCCTTGAGCCATCGTGCGCGCGTTCTCGAGAGTCGCGAAGAGGAAGAAGTTCGCATTGTAGGAGAAGGTGCATTCGACGTCGTCCTCGAAAACTTTGAGCTCAACGATTGGTGGCGGGTCGACAGGCCGGCGATCGGCAGAGGCTGCGCAATGAGAGTGAGCACAAGATATGAGTACAAGATCGAAGCAAAACATCGAAGCAAGATGATGAAGCAGAAGATAGAAGCATAAGATCGAAGCTCGAAGTGAAGTCGGACTTACATTTGGCCCCAGATCCACAAGCCCGGGCTCGCTCTGGCTGCTGGATGACATTCATCTCATACCTGATCTTCCTCCCCTCCCTCGTCATCCTGGATGCACCACTTCGCGTCTCATTGCTGACCGGAATGATGGTTGCCATGGCCGTAGTATGTACTGGTGGTAAGATCTACAGGTAACAAGACCGAAACTGTGGACAGACGAGTCAGTCGGTCAACGCGCCATTGATCTGAGAGTGGTGTGTGAAGTGTCGGTCGCTGGTGCTTTGACATGAAGTGGTCGCGAGTGCCGACAAAGAACTAGATCTCTCCAATGTGTGACTCGGTATTGGCTTACTTTATGCCGCGCTCGCAAATGAAATGCAAAGGATTGCCAAACAACAGAGCGAGAGGTCTACCACAGAGGCGGTAACTGCAACGTTGTCAGCTCTGAAGGGTGTGTTACCACCGCGTCGGACAGCGTCAAAGGAGCGATCCAGAGAGTCGGCTTCAGGGGACGAGCGCCCGTGTTGAGGGTGGTTGACGATAGATCCACTCACCAGATGCTTTGCGAACAAACGAAGGAGCAAATCGATCTCGAGCGCGATGGTGCTTTGGTGAGGATGCTGAGGCAAGGCGGTACGAGCTGACGGGTGATGATATGTTGGAGCAGCGACGGTCGCACAGGGCCGCCGGAGCTGCTGGCAACGCGTACTCGCACAAGGAGCACAAACGGGACTCGGGAGGGTTGATGAAAAGCAATGCCTCCGTCCACCAATATCTGTCGCTTTGGGGCAGCGGCGATCGGCTGCTTTGGAGATCTTGTCGGTGGAGGACGAAGGAGGGAGAACCACGGGCAGCGTTTGGGGGTGCGAGGGTGGAGAAGGACGGGACGTTGGAGCGGCTGGGGGCACGCTGAACGATTCAGCCCGCAGTGCTTGGTGCGCGCCGGGGTCGCTGACTGGCTAGGGGGCCACCAGCGCCAGGCTAGCGGAGCGGTGCCTGTCTAGCCGCGGTTATCCCTCTGCCACTCATCGCCCACACCAGAAAAGCCCGCGATGCTCTCAAGCAAAGCGAACCACGGACAAGCAGTGCAACTAGCGGCTTACATGAAGTTCACAGTGTCTGGCCAGCTCAGCATCGCGGCTGCGCTTTTGGTGTCTGAGGCTGACAGTGGCGACTTCCTCAGGCCAGATGGGACTCCTTGTGCGCGAACCCCACAGTCTCAGCCCGGCTTGGACGTCTTGTGAGGAAGCACATTCGGCGAGAATGCCTTCGTCTGAGCTCCGATTATCCTTGCAGTTACCAGGATGGATTCAACGGCTATCCAGAAAACTGATGGACGATGCTCAGGCTAGACAGGAGGAGCATTGCGGCTCACAAAACTCACATCTGACACCTTCATACCAGCCAAGGACGCGACCTCAACGGTCCTCGTGCACTCAAAAGAAACAGTTCCACCACCCAATTCTCCTGAATCAGCCGGAACAATGGCAGCATGTCCACTCATCAGACCACCAGGCAGAGACAGGCTGCCTAACATGCCATCTCCGCACCCGTCTCGAGCACCAAAGTGGTGTGCAGTGCCTCTTGTGGCCTGTCCGTGGGGCAAAGTCCTCGAATGGGTGCGAGCCATCCGTTTCTGTTCATGCTGTGCTCTGCCAGTAAAAAGAAAAGCTTCAGCTCTAACCTCCAATTGCTGGCATCTCCGCTGCAGCGGTCTGCCGCATCGAATGTCAACTTCAAACTCGGGAAATCAGGCCTGTCCTGCTGCAGAGCCGCTGAGCGACATCGATGCCCCTTGTCCTGCGTTCTCCACTCCCGGGTTTCTGTCCACCTTCGCTCACCACACGGTCACGGCTTACGTTCACGCAATCGAAGCTTCAAAGGACGATGCTGCAGTTGCATCCGACTCTGGACTAGAGACAGAACGATCAATTGTGGGCTGAGAAGTGCATGATAAACGGCCAGATATCTGCAGGGATACACGCGGACCGGGCGCATGATGGCTTGGGACGACAAGCTGCTCGACCAATGGGAGATCTCACACATCTCACACTCATGCCTCTTTATGGATAGCTCGCCAGCTAACCTGGGAAGTGCCTGGCTTGCCTGGGCTGATCCTTTCCGTGTGCACCGTTCCGAATGCCAGAAAGACGCGGTCCCCGGCCTCGGGCGCATACTACCCGGCTCCACCTGCCAGGGATCTGGAGGGAACTTTACCAGACCAGCTGGTGACAACGGATGTGACTAAAGCTTCTTTGCGCGAGGAAACATAGAGCATGAACGGCTGCTCGAGTTTGTATGCCGTCTATGAGCTGTCAAGACTGCTGATGCTGCTTCAGAGTTCCAGGAAACTCCCTGCCCTCTGTGGGCTAAACCCGCGACCAGCCAGCCTCAGCTGACGGAAGCCAATAGCCAGCAGCACGGTGACCCATCACGCCCCGCGCAGGCCAGCGGCGGTGCCCTTCTCTCCCACGGTTCAGGTCCAGGCATTCCAACGCAGCACGGACACCTTTGCATGCATCTTCCCCCCTGTCCCTGACTCGTTGTCCTCCAACGCCGCATCTCATGCGCTCTCACAAGCGTCTCTTCAGACAGCACGGCAACAACTGGCGAACGATGGCCGATCCGTACAACGTTCTGCTGCTGCTGCACAACGGCGGCTGCGTGCGTCCGATCGGCGACCGTTGGTCCGCGCTACTGCTGCGCTCCGCCGGGTGACTGAGTCAGCGCCGTCTTTGCCGGCCAGGACAGCTTGCCATCGCCATAAAATGTATGTTAATAGTACGACAGCCTCGAGTGGGGATTGACATCGTTGATCTTAAGAGGGTTCTTTGTGTGAGTCGATCAGGGAGTGGATGACCTGGTGTTGAGACGGATACGAGCGTCTGACGTGAACGTGGTTTCTTCGACATTGTGGAGCTCGACAAGACCTTACTCCGACGTGATATCAACAGGCGTAGGGGAAGATGAAAACCAGTTGACACGGCTGGAGATTATGTGCTGCTTGGGGAGACAAGACTCGGAATGGTGGCTTCCACGTGCTCTCAAGCAAGCTGAACGTAGGTGATGCGAGAGCATTGCTCTCATTCCTCGAGCTTCCCTAACAGTCAACATCGAATCGAACCCGATATGCCGCATTTCGGACATACTCATACTCTGTTCAGTCTTTGCTCCTTTACACTCTCTACACCTGTCTGCAAATAACTGAAGACAAGGGCGACTTTCAACGATGAGTATAATCCACAACCATACGAGTACCTCTCATGGGTTTAGCTGCTCTACCTCTTCATCAAGCGAGGACGCTTTTGCCTGCACAATGACACGTCTTGAGGCTGCCCATGGTCGTATCCAGCACTACAAACTCATGTAGGGGCCATGGGACAAGGTCGTGGTCTTCCTAGTCGTTGTCAGACAAGAGCAGTTTACTACAGGCAGTGCAGCCTATTGCAGCTGGAGCGAGTAAACCAGGCGCATTGCGCCGAGTATAGAACAAGTGTGGAGTTCGTCACCGGTTGACGCGATCTTCCGGAATAGATATGGCCTGACACATCTCTGAGAGATTTCATAACAGCTCTCCTTCGGATATCAAACCCAGTCACTACTGTTTTTGCTGTGTTGTCGCAATTTGACGGGCAGCTCGTCTGTACCGACTGTCACCGAGCGCTTTCTTCGGTCGCGGTCAAGCTTATCACTGCTTTCAGGCGCGAGGCGGACGTGTTTCTGGCGCCATTTTTCATTGTTATCGGTTCAGCGTGTGTGGCATTCACCAAGTAAACAGTATATCGTCCTCGAGGTCAAAAGTCCTCTGGGCTGTGCGTGAAGGCATACATGTGGCTAACCCAGTGCGCAACGGAACATCTGAGAAATGCTCTGGACACTATAACGGTTGCGGACTAACAGCGGATGCGAATCTTCAAAGTTTATGCGCAGCCATGCGCCTTGATAACGTCGCAACCCTAACAAGCCAGTATTGCAGGACCTCAAGTGAGGCCTAGATGGTGGGAATGGCTTCCTGTGCCTCCTGGGGGCGGCGACCAAGAGCAAGAACTCAACTGAAGAAGCTGAAGACCTCAAGGAAGAACTGCTCCTGACAAAGCAGCGTGTGAACTGCTTCAAGCCGGAGGTCTCCTATCTAGTCATGGCTAAGGCAAAGGCAAACAGAACTGTAACTCGCTGCATAGTGGTCAAGAGCAGTGGCGCTGCCTCGAGCTGCAAGCCTCCAACTGGCAAAAAGAGTCAACGGAGACATCCTGACTGTGAGCTGCAGTGGAGACGGCTACGTTCTAATAGGCTTCTTTCTGAGAATAAGGGACAGTCGTACTTGAACTTCTTTCTACCCTTGGGTGTCGCACATTTACGCATGGCCGGATGCTGGACTAGTGATAGCATCCATAGCACAAAGGCTATCTTGACCACTAATTGCATCGATGGAGATACTAGAGAGAGATTGTAGTGTGATGATGTTTCTTCACGTGACTACTCCCAGTTCCTGGATGTAACGACACTTCCCGCAACAGCAGCCTGCATCTCTGAACAAACAAAATGCAAGTCTCGGCGAGTAGTTACATACATCTCGAGCTGTTCCCAAATGTTTCAAAAGCAAGCACCTATTGGAACTGTTTCAAATCAATCCGTGCGTGATCCGTTTGCAAGTTCACATAAATCATGACGTCTTGATCGCTCGTTTCGTACAGGTAAATAGTAGATGCAGGTACACGCCCACACGTCCATACAAGCAACAAAACTTTGCATTCTCTATCTTCGCACTTATACCGTCCCTTCTTCCTCCTCTCTCTCTCAAAAACTCGCCAGCACCGCACAACCTCCACCATCCTCTTAGCTATATCCTTCCTCTATCATCACCCAACCTATCTACCAGCTTCGATTACACCCACCATGTCCTCCAACCCGCCGACCTTCCAGTCAATCCGTTCCCAGCTTTCCGCCATACCCCCTCCCTTGCTACCCCCAGGCCATTCCCGGCTCCCCGCCCTAACCGCGCAAATCGCCTCCCTCCTCCTCCACCCAACTCTCGAAGCCTCCCTCCACCTCCTGAACCACGACCTCCCCAGCGCACACTTCCTAGTCCGCAAGATGCAAGCCGCACCCGCGTTCGAGGGGATGCTGCTACATGCTATGTTGCACCGCATTGAGGGAGATTACGACAATGCGAGGGCTTGGTATGCGGATTGTGCGGGCGCAGCGGCTGTGGAGTGGTGTTGGGGTGAGGAGGGGGAGAGGGGGGATGTGCCCCCAGCTGTAAAGAAAGAGGGGGACGGAAAAGGGAGCGGTGGGGGCAAAGGCGACGACGAGTGGGATGGAATGGCCTCGAACGCGGATGAACTAGAAGAGATCGAGACGACCAAGGGGCCTCGGAGGGGTGGGGCGGCGTTGCGTAGAGCGCTGGAGTTCGTGGATGCGGTGCAGAAGCTCAAGCGGGATGGAGAGGGGGATAAGCGGGAGTTGGAAGAGGTTTCGGGGAGGGAGATCCGTGGGATGTTGGATTGGTGCGTGCGGAGGTTTGGGACCGAGGAGGTGCTGGACGCGAGTGGGGCGTGGAGACAGAGCGAGGCGCATCGGGAGATGCAGGTGGATATGACGACGGGGGGAAAGGGGTTTAGGAAGTTCTGAGGCGTTGGTGGGACGGGCTGGTGATGGCAATGGATACGCGCATTCTGTGCGGAAGAGGGGCGGCCATGTCATGGGTGGCCGACTTTAAATTTAGGAGATGAGTTGTCTTCCGAAGGTGCTTATACTCTATTCAGGTGCTGAGTCGCACACGTACTCGCTCGTAGTGTTAAGAATGAATAACAAAAACCGCTAGAGACACCAAGCCGCTCAAACCCAGCTGACTTCATATCTCATCAACATCATCCTCGTCAACCGGGGCCTTCTTGCCGTGTCCGTTGAGCTTATCCATCCTGATCCCGCCGTCCTCCCTGCCGTAGCTCGAGCCCGACATCGCTACAGCCTGACGGCCGGTGTCCGACGACTCCAGAAACTCGCGGAGCCGCTGCTTGCCAATCTCAAGACCCTGTGCACTCGCGGCATTTGCCATGTGGAACATCGGACCCCAGAGATTGAGGGAGTAGGTGACGTATGCGCCGATACCCGCAAGGATGAGGAAGATGAAGTAGACCGGATTGCGTAGGACTGCCGCAGTCAGTAACCGTATGAGACACAGATGAGGAAGAAAAGGACTCACCAGCAACGATCTCATTCCACCCGAGCGCCAGCAACAGCGCATAGAAGTACAGCGGCACCTGCGTGACGCCCCCAATCGCGCCCCGCTTCGCCTCGACATACACCGCGTCCGCCATCTTCTTGAATCTCGCACTCAGATCCGCCTGCTTCGCATCCCCGAGCACCGTCATCTCCTCCTCCAAACTCTTCCCCTCCTCTTCATCCACGCCGCCAATGGGTGCCATGTCCTCCTCATCCGCCGGCTGCACACTCGCCGGGGGGGTCCCGATCCACGCATCAAGCGGGGGCGGCGCGCTCGTCCTCGCAAGCCTAAACCTCGCCAGTAGCGGAATGAGCTGCAGCGTCGACTCCCTCGCGCGTGTATACACGCCCTCGATATCATCCGTCGGCCTCCAAATCCTCGGTACCCCGTCCGCATCATAGCGGAACTTATCCTCGAAGTTCTCGCGCAACTTCAGCAGCAGATTCCCCTCCATGACCTCCTCATCGATCTTGCTGCGCAGCGCGCCCCAGCTCTTACGTCTGAGCCTCCAAATCCCCACCTCGACTTCCTCGGGAGAGGCGTCGAAGCTGCGCGCACGCTCTGTAAAGCGCGCCTCCGCGTGCTCGACCGTCTCGGTGAAGACGGCCCAGATGCGGTCCCAGAGGTCCTTTTCGCTTGCCGGCTTCTCGCCGTGCTCGGGCGCACCGGAGCCTCCGCGACCGGAACCCAGCTTGTTGAATTCCAGCCCGACGGACTCGCCAAGCCGCGAGCGGACCCAGCGCTCGACGCGCGTGGCGAGGCGGCGCATTTCCTCTTTGCGGAGCCGGGATGCGACCTCGTCCAGGTCTTTGCGGTAGAGGTTCAGTTCCTGCTTGTGGTCGCTCCAGGGGGCGCCTTCGACTGCTGCCGCTCGAGCGGTCTCCTCGAAGCGGGCAATAGCCTTTTGCTTTTCGGACTCGACGATGGAGGCGAAGTCGTAGCTTGCGCCTTTCTTTTGCCCGGCCTTGACGGCTGCGCTGACGGCGTCGGTGAAGGCGGAGACGCCGGACTTGTGCGCGGCGCTGAGCTGGCCTTTGAAGAGCGCTTTGAGGCGCGCGTCGACTTTGGTTTCGAGCTCGGCGCGCTTGCGCGTGTAGACGCCTTTGTGGTAGCGGCTGGCTTCTGTTTCGAAGTTCTTGAGGACGCTGGCGCGGGCGGCGGTCATTGTTTTGCCTAAGTCGGGGATGACTTTGGGGGTTCCGGCTGTTATGTCTGCGGCTTGCTTCTCTTCTAGCGGTGTGATGGCTTCGTCGAAGATGATCAACGCTTCGCGAGCTATTTCGTCGCAGCGGAACTGGGCCAGCAGCTCTTGCTGCGTGGGGAGGTCGAGGTCTTTGTTGTTGACTATCTGATCCCAGACGCCTTCTGCGTAGACTGGGAAGCCGTCGGCTGGGATCCGCCGGTGGTATTCGGGCAGAAACACGGGTTGGTCCTCTTCGTTCAGGAGACCGCTGGTCTTGGGGTCTTTGTAGCCTCCCCTAAACCGTGTGCTGAGCTTCTCGATGTCGGAAACGAACTTGTCCGCTTGTAGAACCTTGTGTGGTAGCGCGACGAAGGCGAAGTCGAAGTAGTCTTCAATCCTTGACTGCTCCAGACCTTCGGGTTTGGATATCGAGGTCCAGATGTTGGAAAGGTCCTTCAGGATGGTTTGGCGGAGGTTGGAGAGCGGTGTTGTGCCTATGCTGTCGCGGAGGACGAAGAAGAGGAGGGAGCGGGGGATGTTCCTGTAGCCTTTATTAGCCTCTGCCCTCATCTCTAGACCTTTCGGCGGATGTTGTGTCGGCGCACTTGTTCCCTTTGACAAACAGCTGCAGGTTGACCTCAAACACTGTCTTGAGCAGCCCCATGTTCGCGCCCTGATACAGTCCCACCTGTGTCTCCCACATGTTCACGATCAGGACCTCGCTCGTCGCCAGCGCAAACAGCGCGCTCTTCCGCTCGAAATCCTGATCCTCCCCTCTCTCCCTCCCATCCGTGCCCTCAACATCCATGATCAGGATGTTGTCCGCCATGCGCCCCGTCTTCCGAACTTCGGCGCCATCACCGTTGGTGGCGTCTGATATTGCACCACGCTTGTTGATGGACATCCATATACCCTTCGTTGTCTGACGCCTGTCTGCTTCGTTCATGACACCAAACTCGGTGCCAAAGAGGTGGTTCAGGAGCGTCGACTTGCCGGTGGACTGCGAGCCGAAGACGGATATGAGGTGGTAGTTGAAGCCGGCGGGTATGATTCTCTCAAGGCCCAGATAGGTAGAGAGGTCATGACTGCCAGGAAATGCATGTCAGTATACTCCAAGCCCACGTATCGCCCTGCGAAGGGCCCAAAACACAAAAGTAGCGACTGCCCGTACTTGAACTCCTTGTTCTCATTCACAACCTGGATGCCATGCTCGTACTGCTCGCGACTAGGCGCGTCGCCCACGCTCGCAAAGTGGCCGTTCATGACTACCGAGGGCGAGGAGGCATGTTGTTTGGTGTTGGTGATACTGGGTCGGGTGCCGGTGCGGTCACCGTTCGGTATTTGGAGTTCGGCCATGGTGGTGCAAATTCAATACAGACAAGGGAAATGAAACGGCTCGTCAGGTGCGCACAAGCACTGCGTAAGGTCGGGAAAACAGGAATAGGGTGTAAGATTAGGGACGTGGTTGGTGGTCACGCCGCGGACGGGAGGCGTGCTCTGGGCGTTGGTTGGCAGGTCGGAGCACCGTGGCACTTTCTGGGGCGTGGAGGACTCGGTGGGAAGGATCCCTGCGTTCGCGCAGGGAAGCTCACCTCGGCCGCTCCCAGAACGTGGCACTTGCGAGACAAAATCGACGTCACCGAGGCCCCTATTCAGCTTCTCCTTTCGTAACAGCACCCCTATTGGTTAATCGTATGTAACATACGTCTAGGTAATTTATGAAGGGAAGTCACTTGGACAAGACACAGCACGATTGCTTGGGGGAGGATGCTTCAGACAACAAGCTGCAAGAGGCACGAGGTACTTAAAATGAACAAAGAGTATATGCGTAATCTGTCAATGGTATCCAAACGATACATCAGGGGCGTCGTATCCAAAGCCCGACTACACACAGCTGAACATCAAGTCGCCTCCCAACCCATGAACAGTTCCGCACGTCTTACGCTCCCTTGCTGTAGCCCCCGTGTCCCACTCCCGCAGCCTCCGTGTCCATTCCCAGCGGTTCCACGCCCTTCATGACACCTATCTCCGTCGGATCCACATCATGCGGGACCGGCGGTCCCGTGAAGCTCTTCCTACCGCGCACAAAGTACCAAACCACCGAGATAGTCGCAAACGCCGCGAACACGACGCTCGCATAATTCATAGTACTCGCGTCCACCGGCAGCGCGACCGGCATGCAGAAGATGACGACCGCGAAGCAGATCCACACGATCGTCAGGATATTGATGGCGAACCCGAACTTCCCCAGCGAGAACGTTGAGTGCCGCACCATCTTCCTACCTCTTATGATGTTGACCAGGATGGGCAGCCCGTACGACGTCGAGAGGCAGATAGTCGCGACGCCCGTAAACGAGTAGAACGCAGCCGAGCTGCCAAAGAAAATAAGGCCCAGGAGGCAGTCGACCGTAGTCGACAGAACGAGGCCCCACAGCGGAATGTCGAAGCGCTTGTCGACCTGCTTCCAGAGTCTCGACCCCGGGATGGCGCCGTCGCGGGCGAAGGCGTACGTGCATCTGCTGGCGGCCGTCAGGGCGCCGATGCCGGCGAAGAAGAGGATGCCGAGGATGAGGAAGAGGAGGCCGAAGCCGCCGCCGGCGCTGCCGGTTACGAGCTTAAAGACGAGGGGGATCGGCTGGCCGGTTGCGACGTCGAGGAGTATTTCGATAGGGGGAAGAACGAAGAGGATCGGGATCAGGTATATGAGACCAGTCACGCCGGCTGCGGCGACGGAGAGGACGATCGCTTTGGGGACTTCGCGCTCGGGATTTTGCACCTCTTCGCACATGGCTGCCACCATGCCGTAGCCAGTCAGAGTGTATGCGGCTTGGAGAAGCCCGACAAAGAATGCCCAGCCAGTAGGCCTGATTCCAGTCAGCGTAGGGCCTTATAATAGCGATGAAAGAAGGACGCAGGAGCTTACCAGCCACTAGCTGAATCGTCATAATGACCGAAGACAAAAGCGGCGCTGCGATACTCGTCGGCCATTGCAAGGAGCGTGATCATAATAATGACAACGCTCGCTCCAGTCCAGTAAACGCAGACCTTGTTGATTATATCCAGATACTTTGCGCCGAAGATGTTCACAGCCATGCAGATGAGCATGATAGCCCAGAACGTCAACACCGTCTGCCACGCGTTCGGCACAAAGTCCTCATTCCAGAGAGCGATGGCCGACAAGAGGAGTTGCGCGCCGCCAAAGTTGATCGAGAGCGTGACCGTCCAATTGCCCACCAGGGTCAACCACCCTGTTACCCAGCTCGCCATGGGCGCCCACTCCCTCGTCGCCAACATCGCTGACCAGTAGTACACGCCTCCTGCCGTAGGGTAGACGGCGCAGATCTCGGCCAGAGACGCGGCGATGCAGAGGGAGATCAGGGACACGACCACCCAACCCCAGAGCACGCTTACGGCTTGTCCGTCGGTCAGGGTGATGTACATGGTGGTGGAGAGACCGAAGGGCACCGCCATGATGGCGAAGGAGAGTCCCAGCACGCTGAACATGCTGAGGTTTCGTGGCAGCTCGGACTTGTAGCCCATCTTCGCCAGGGCAGCGTCGGCACCGGCGTCAACATGGCCATGACGGCCGCCTTCTGCGGAGGAGCGCTTCCGCATCGCTGGAGGTGGGATGTAGAGGACGTAGATTGGGCGTGGGTATGAGGACGCGGGCTGTTCATGTTGTCAGGCTCATTCCTCTCGCATTGTAGCAGGCGTATATAGTGCGAGGTAGCGTAACTGCTGTAAGCTCCATCTGTAGCTTTGCGCGCGCCGGCCAAACAGCCTTGTCACGAAACGGGTCCAGCTCTTGTTGCGCGTTGACATGTTAAGACTCTGAGTGGAAGCTGCACTTACATCTCTCTATCTTGATGGTACCGCGACCGTCGTCCTCAGCTGTTCTACAGCGATACCGTGAAGCTTGAGAGCAGAGGTCTCGAGTAGTGACTGGCAAGGGCAGGGCCCTGGCTCCCCCAGAATCGCATCCTCGGTATGGGCTTGACACACGAGACCGGCGCCATGGCTGTGGCTAGCAAGGCGTGGGCTGGAGCGCGATAAGCTGTCTCCATGGGGGTTGGTGTTTAACCAATCGTTGCTGGGATGTAAGAGATGGGGCTAGACCCCGCACGGCATATATTACCTGCATCACCGCTTACGGTTTCTTCAATGAGGCAAGCCCCGCGTGTTGTAGACGACAACTTGGAGTCGTTCGAAGTCCAGTCCGGAAGTTTGCATCGTTACCTCAAAGCGTAAAGTCAGCGACGGTTGCAGGATGGAGCACCGAGTATGAATGATATGCTGATGGTTAGATTTATGTTGGTGCACAGAACCGCAGAGTCAGGAGTGGTTGATAGTTGCTTGCACTTCTAAACTGGAGCGAAAAGCACTTTTTATTCAGGAAACTAATCATGCTATCTGTAAGCTATGCTGAGTTGGAGAAGCAAAGCATCGCACGTAAAGAGTCACCATGCCGTATTACGCAGCCACCACCGTGCTGTTTTAAGCAACCACCACCCGCCTGTTGTACAAAGCCATGAGCAACATCGAAAAGCAAGAACTAAAAGAAAGGAAACATATGCCGTGATGTGGACGATGCTGGGATAGTATGGGTGAAAGCTAGCTGCCATTCGAGTCAACCCGATCCTTGCTGACTGACAATGAGATGTTGCGATGCGTCGCCAGTACAAGCAATCGAGATAGCGCCACAGAATCCAAAACAGCCCTTCGGACTGTATAAAGTCTCCGTGCTTGGACAGATGCGCAGAGAGGGCCTTGTTGAAGCTTGGACGTAACTGGTAGGGAAGATGCTGACAGAAGTAGCGATCGAACAGATGCCGTTGTGAAGGATGCGCCGGGGTTCCAGAGAAGCATGAGCCGGCGGAGTAAGAACGAGTGTGTTGTGTCAGATTCTTCGAGAAGTCAGGGCGAATAGTAGTACCAAACTCTGGGTCTTTGACAGTGTCGATAGGCCAAGCGATGCGAATCGAGAGTTTTTCTTGCCAAGCGTTGAGAGGTAGTTTTGGATGATCCGGGTACACTTTGAAGCTGGCGTCCAAGGCTAAACCAAAGCGACGCGGAAAGCAGAACAACATAGAGCTCAAGATGCAAGAACACTCCGCGGTATGAGCTTTATGTGGTGAGACATATCAATGATCATAGTAAAGATCGTGTTTGAGCCGAGTACGCTGGAGAGGAGCAGTCATGACCGTAGCGATGGCCAATTCGTGCGTGCACCTAGCGGTAGGGGTTTGGGAAGCCTCCGCGGCCGGCAGAGAGGTTACTGTTGTAGCGGTTGAGCTGCATGCCGGCGGGGGGGCCAGGTCTAGTCGTGAATTGGGGGTTGCAGCACAGCAACGCGACGCGGGAGCCGTACTTCGAGCCACGCAGAGAGACCATATGCTTGCGGACGTGGTTCGATACGATATCACGGTGCTGGGGATTAGCGTGAGTCAAGATGTATTGCATGAGGTAGTTTCCGAACTGGTCGCCAGCGATATCAATCAGTGGCATGCGAGGGCGGTCAGGACGGCCTTCGCAGATGCGCTCGAGATAGCGGTCCATGAAGTCATTGCCACCGATCTTGAGACACTTCTCAATGACCTTAGAAGCATACTGATCCATGCTGTACTCAGTCGCGAAACGGAGGATGTGGTCGATGGCACGGCTGCGGTCCGCTGGGGCGCCGTGCTCGCAGATGTGTTGGATGCACCAGTTGCCAAACTGGCCATGTGCGATGACATCGATGCTTGCAAGAACTTCGTTGATGCATGGACGCTTGTCTTCCTCGAGACAGTTCTCGAAGATGTTCTGAACCACGAGACTGCCAGTCTCTCCAAGAGCAACTTCGTGCCACATGCCGCGAAGCGATTCGTTGACGTACTTCATTATTTGCGGCGGGGAATCGGACCAACGGAGCTCAAACAGCTTCTGCCAAACGTGACAAGCATAGCGATGGATGACTGTCTCCGGGATACGGCGGAGAAGTTCGTGGACCATGACAGCCTTGTACTCTTCTGGTACGGCATCGAAGGCCTTCTGAACCACATGGCAGCCGAAAGCATCCATGCTCAACGTCAAAGTGTTACCACGGATGGCATTGGCAATGGCAATGATCTGCTCAGGAGTGCCGTGCTCGAAGCAGCGCTGGACGAGAAAATTTCCAAAACGATTGATCATCAGAGGAAAGGCTTGGGCGATGATGGCGTTGATGATTTCGTACTTCTGCTCAGTGGTGCCGACCTTGAGCTTCTGCTGCAAGAAAATGGAGGCTTGCTGATCGTTGTTGCAAACAATCTTGTCGACGATATACTTCCAGTTGCATGTCATGTTGCGGTCGAGCAGAAGACGATAGTTCATTGGCTCGGTGGGTGGGACGTACGTGACGGCGGTGTCGCCAGTCGACTGTACGCTATCAACGCGGGCTCGTGGAAAGCCATGCGACAGGCCGCTCATCTGGTTGTTCCAAGGCGTAGGGGCTTCACGTTCCACGCCGAACTCCTGAGCCGTTGGGGACAAACGTGTCCCGATGGGCTGTGGCTGATATTCCGTACGCTGCTGCGAAAACGAAGTCATGGACTGGAAGGACAGTGGAGTCACTGATGGGCTGTAAACGATGGCCCCAGTAGACATCGCGCTGGAAGGATACGTAGCCCTTCCGTTGAAGTGAGCACCAACAACCGAAGCAGGGCGGCTTGGGATGGTATGGCTTCTGCGGAAGCCTTGATCCACTGCAAAGTGAGCAGGCTCGTTCGCGAATGGGCTGTTGTTGTTGCGGAATGTTTCAATGCGAAGGTTTCCGGACATGGGACGCTGCTGTTGCATTTGCGAGATAGGTGCAAATGCCTGTGGGTTCATGGTTTGACCCACGCCTCCGTTGTACAGGGAATGCGTGCCGACGGCGTTCCAATCGTGAGTCGGGGGCGAAGGGTTCGGCAGAGTTGGCTGACGGTCACCACCCCTCAAACCATAGGGCGGTCGAGCGTTGTTGAGCCAGGCACCGTGAGTGCGGTTGAAGGCTTCGTCAGAAAGGCCATCGCTAGAACCAGAGCGAGCATCTTGCTGGTGCAGCGGCCAGCTATCATGACGAGTTGCGGTTGGGCGGGTGGATGCGTTCAAGGCGATCTGGAGGTGGCTGGTCGTTTGCTCGGTCTCTTCGCCGCGAGCGTGAACGTCGATTTCGGATGGCGGGCCGATTGCTTGATCCATCGTATGCTTGGTGATGCGGCTTTGGGAGAGCTCTTGATCCATCTGAGCTATCTTGCTTCTGGCATGCGCCAACTCCTTTCTGAGACGCAACATTTCCGCCGCATCCGGCGCACTGATTGAGCCAGTATTGCCCGATGAGGTTGGTGTAATATTGTACTTCTCGTTGGGAGAGGTAGCGGAAACTGACCCGCTTGACAACATTATTTCGTTCTCCAAGAGGACCTGGGTCCTATCCGCATCCGGCGTGGTTAAGGCCTGCGTCTGCCTCTCGAGCAAGGCTTGCTGCTCGGAGAGCTTGACCAGGAGCTGGTCCATTGGGGAATGCTCCATGTTCTCCTGGGAGTAGGCTGAGGAAGAGGTCCGTTTCGGCTTCTAGGCAGATTAGTAAAACTGCATGTGGGGTCATGGAAAAGTCTGACCTTGGAGGCAGTGATACGACTGGCAGCCCGGGAAGGTTGTTGGTTGCCAAGCTTGGAGGTCATGAGAGGGACCGTTGGCTCGTACTGGACCGTCGAGCCTGGACGCTTCACTCCCTATGAGAGGTTAACGTTGACATCTTGATATTCACCGTTCGAACTCCGAGACCCGCAGGAAGGTGAAGATGGGCGACATACGATGTGGTCGGGCGATGACGGTGAATTTCCTCGCGCAATGGGTTCTTGAAAGTGGAGCTGGGTAGAACGCTGATGCTTTAACAGCGTCGGAGAGCTGTTGGTGGTCATTGTTCGAGTTCTGCCCGAATGACTTCAGCGTGAGGTTGGAAGTGTGCTTTGAGAGTTGCTGCACAAGACTGTGAGAAGAAGTCAGCAGCTGATACAGTCGGCGTCGGCTTGGGCGGTGGAATCAAGAGAGTATACAGGCAGGGCTTGACAGTCTTGATAGTCCTCGGCACTGAATGGCCCCGGACGTTATCCACCTTGCTGAGCCTTGCGCCTCAAGGAGCGTTTGAACTTACCGCAAGTTGCGGACTGGAAGATGTCGCGTAAGATACAAACAAGGAGGCGAACTGCCCACGCGCTGTGGTGTTGTCGTGGGGGCGATCACTGAGCTGAGGCTGGAGCTCGTCCCCAATAGATGTTTGCCGTAGATGTGGTGCAGAAGAAGGAAGACAAGTGAAAGCAAGAGGTCAGATCAAATAAGATACCCGAGGGAAGCCTGATTAGATTCGGGTAGGGCACCCCGCTTGTCGGTTGGGTAGCAGCGGTCAAGAGTGTGGTCAAGTTGGAAGTTGCCGAGCGCGTTGGTGAGTGCCTTCTTAGAACAGAGCAGTTCGGACGTGACGCGGCGTGGCCGTGGCTTCCGCAGTCACTATAAGCGAAACGGCGCTCGTGGGCCTCAAGAATCTTGTGAGCAATGTAGAAGCAAATTGGAGAGCAACTGAGGTTACTAGGAAGTCAGAAGGTTGTAGCGAGTTGAAGAAAGCAGGGCGTCTGGCGTTGTTTTCATGCCGTGCCGAGCCTAGTTATCAGAGAGCAGGAAATTAGGTGACGACGAGACGTGACCGCGTCTCAGCCCTATGTGTGATTTCACGAGAAGAAGGACGACTTCGACACATTCCATGCATGATCAAAGAAGCCCATCGCCAGTGCACCGTCTGCACCCCTCCACCGGCTGCTATCGCTAAGAACAACAAAGTCCGGTTGTCCAACGCCGGTAAGCATGGGAACCAGACGTGCAGCTACAGCTACGCTTTCAGCATCAGCTCCCCATATCACCATCTCTAGCCCTTCATCTCGAAGGGGCCGCAGAAAGATCGCCGAGAGCTTATCCTCAGAATACAGCCGCTGTCGACCATCGCTGTCCCTGATAGAGAGCTCTCCATGCGCAACAATCTCAATTGGGAAGCTGTGTAATAGAGACTTGGATAATCCCATCCCTGTCATTACGGTAATCATGTTGCCTGGCTGGTTGGTCGAGTGGACGTCCATGCATTCAATTCCAGAGTCGGCAGAGAAGTATTGATACAGGTTTCGTGCTATCTGGAGCGCGGTTCGGTACGTCGTGTTGTCATGATATCGTATCGTGAATCTGCCCATTGAGCGGAGGATGGCTTCGAGGGCTCCAAGCTGTCGGCCTTTGCGTACAGCCAGCACTGGCTCTGGTTCCGCCGTGGTGGTAATCTGTTCGTGTGAGTGAAGCTCTGGAATATGTGTTAAGGTCCAACGCACTCGCCACAGGCCGTCATGGTCCTTCCATAGTTCAAGGCAATCCTCATGGAGTTGCGTGCTAGTCTGCTGAATCTTCTGATTGTCGACTGAAAAGGAAAGATGACGATCGTGGGATTTGATCGAGAAGCCGACAATATTCGAGGTTGTTACTGTCATGAAATGGGACGCGCAGTCAGTCGACACATCGACTCTGCCGAGTTGGCCAGGATCATCCAGATGTGTTACTTGCACGCCGCCTTTGGAACCCGTATCCGCTGGGTTTGCCACGATGAGACTGAAAGGCGGTGGAAAATCCCCAGCGCTCTCTGATGTTGAACACTTTGGACGTAATACCCTGGCAGGCGTTTCGAGATGCTTGTCGTAGAAATCACGCAAAGGCTCTGTAGTCATCACACCATCAAACCAATGCCCCTCGCCAGCGAGCTCAGCATAAGTTGAATGCCAGCCAGCCAGGGGTAAAAGCTGGCTCATAAGCCTGGAGTGGTAAGCAGGGACGTTATCATCGTCACTACCATGCTGTTGCAAAATTGGTATCCCTTTTGCGTTTTCGGCCAGCAGCTCATGACGGTACCCGTTCATCGACGCACCAAGGACTGAACGGCGTCGAGGGTCCATTGGCTGCCAAAGCTGGTATGGCACGTAGTTCTGAATTGACAGGTACCCCGACACAGGCGCAGCTGCAAAGATACTGTCTGGGTAATGCGTAAGCGCGTACCACGTTCCTTGCCCACCGTTCGAGTGACCGCTGACTAGCCACCTGTCAACGTCAGCTCCGGGGCCACCCCAGTCGTTGCGTTCTATCCAGGCCGGTATTGCCGAGATAGCAGCTTGAACGTCCGCGAAGCCCCAAGCATGCCAATCATCACTACTCCAAGGGGTTACTCCAGTGGGGAAAAGAACCCATGCACACAGATCCGGCACTGGATCAAGAGCATGCGCGACGATATCACTCTCCGCTTCAAGACCCGCTCCATGCAACTGCAACAAAATAGGAAGAGAAGAATCTCGCCCGCGCTCGTGGCTAGCCCTCCTTGACGGTGGTCGGAGGATGGCGTACGATACGATTCCGCCGGGATGGAGGAAGGTAATCTTATGAGGTTCATGAACCGAGCGTTGGTGAAGCTTTTGAGACCCTGTCAGTGTGTAAATTGTTCCCGGACCCCTTATTGACCGATAATGGATTCGGACTCCAATTGATGACGTTTCCTTGCTGTATTCGAGTATATTGAAAGCGATAGGTCTAGTTTGTCCGGGCGCAAGGATCAGTGGCTCCTCGGAAAGTAGAGATGTCGATGTGGCAGTCTGTCCATGTCAGCGTACTCGCCTTCAGGTACTGGAACGACGTACGTCAGCTGCAGCAACTTCAATAATCTCTATGGCATTGTGGCCGTTATTGCGAAGTGCGATCGAAGCCAATGGACTTGCCAGGCTGCCATCGACCACGTCTGCAGTCAAAATCTCCTCTCGTGCAACTTCCAAATCTCCTGATACGGTTCGGAGTTCGAGGTCTACCTGTATCGTAGGTTCACCCAGACCACCCATTGCCCGTACATCGCGCACGAGACGCACATCAACTCGGTGCCGCCCAGGGTTGAGATGTATCACTGGGGGTGCCTTGCGGTAAGCATAGGAGTCGCCTCCAAAATAAAGCTCGTCATCTATCCAATACTCCAATAGGTGATCTGTATAAAAGATCACAGCTCTTGGCTTCGGTCCGGTCACGATGATTTCTCCACGCGCCCAAGCTTGGTACTGCAGCGCGGCCCAGCCATAGACTTGCTGGAAGAATGTCCAGTCCACGTGCGGAAACCCCACTCGAAGTGAAATCCGAGCGCCAAAGCTGCTGCATGTGATGTTTTCTCCGCTCAGAAGAGACCAATTCACCATTCCGTTTGGGGCCAGTGAGCTTCGATACTGAGCCTCATCGCTATACTGGAGGTTGCGGAAGCCGCCAAAACGCTCGAGCGAGTCGGCACCCCATGCTGACTCTGCAGAAGAGTCAACAAATGCGGCCACCGACTCGTCGATATGGGAGGCATGCCTCGTGTACCAATCTGGAACGGCCCCAGGACCTGCCAGGTGCTGGTGAAGGCAAGTTGCTCTTGAGTCTCTGCGGTTAACACTGGCTTCTGCTCATCGAAGGCATGTGCCAGGAGGATGAGATAGAATACAGCCGCTATTAAAGAGTCACAAAAAAGAAACATTGTTCCGCAAGGTCAGCTCCGTCACCACATGCGTCTCGATTGAAGTTGAGGTGAGGCTGGGGCTGTGACCGGGATAGCGCAACGCGCTTAAATTTTTAGCGCCGGTAGGTAACCTTACTTAGCCGCATGCAGGTGAGTGCGCAATCGTCAACTCCAACAGCCCTCAACTACTACAGTATCACTGCGAACTCCCAGTTCCCTCCCCGAAGAAGTCGATTTGATATCCGTAAGCCTCATACGCGGTCCCTCGGTGTGCCTTCAGCTATCTAGTGTGTCGCCATCGCTTCCAACCTATCTATAACCCATATTCGGTTTTCTGGGTACGCAACGTACTACGGAACCCCAGCCCTAAGAGGAGACTCGGATACTACCTCTCTGCGCTCCTCGGACTGGCAACACTCATGGCTTGAGCAGCTGAGCTCGAAACCTCCCGAAGTTCCTACATGGCATCAGCCACGTTGACTGTGATGGAAGCACAACCTCCAGTCGCGGCAACAGAGACGTTCAAGTTTCCAGCTTTTCAGCCAGACTACCTTCCAACACACCACGAAGAAGATTCCGTACGAGCAACTTCTGGGATGGTCAGTCCAGGACGAGCTGGCTCCATACCCAACGGCACGGCATATGGCGAGCAGTGGCAGCCCCGCAAGGAGATAAGGTCAGGATGGGCCAATGGGATATCACCAGTCGGAGGCACCAGACATGGACGGCAAAAGAGCCTAAGTGAAGCGATCAGGACGATCAGGACACGGCATGAAAGTGTCAGCGCAAGCGCTCATGAGATAGCGGATGCCCTGAAGGCACCTGTATCTCCAAGGCTCATTGTATGTTGAGTATAGGCGTGCATGCGCCATTCAGTGTCTTATTTGCTGATCAAGGGCCCAGTTACTTTGCGGCATCTGGTACGCGACGTCTATACTGTCCAACACCTCCTCCAAGGCCATCCTGACCGCACTCCCGAGACCTGTGACCCTTACGCTCGTCCAATTTGCGTTCGTTTCATCCTGGTGTATCTTCTTAGCATGGCTGTCCCGTCTGTATCCACGGCTGAAGACCGCCATACCAGCGCTAAAGTACGGCATCCGCCCTCCAAGTCGGGACCTTATCCTTACTACTCTTCCCTTGACTGCGTTCCAGATCGGTGGCCATATCCTCAGTTCTGACGCAATGTCTCGCATACCCGTATCTCTAGTCCACACTATAAAGGGGCTCTCACCACTCCTCACCGTCCTTGCCTACCGCTTCTTTTTTGGCATCCGTTACTCCGGTGCCACATACCTCTCCCTGATCCCACTTACCTTAGGCGTAGTTATGGCCTGCTCCGCAAACTTCTCAGGGAACTTTATCGGCCTGCTCTGTGCATTCGGCAGCGCTCTACTGTTCGTGACCCAGAACATCGTCTCAAAGAAGCTCTTCAACGAAGCTGCGCAGGCGGAAGCAGATGGGCGGCATGGCATCAAAAACCGCAAACCGGACAAGCTGAACCTACTCTGCTACTCCTCTGGCCTAGCATTCCTACTCACAGCACCTCTATGGCTATGGTCAGAAGGCTTCACACTCATCGCCGACTTCCTACACGACGCCTCCGTCGACCTATCCGGGCGGCCCGGTTCGCTTGACCACGGACGCCTTGCCTTAGAATTCATCTTCAACGGCACGTTTCACTTTGGCCAGAACCTCGTTGCGTTCGTGCTGCTCTCTATGGTCTCACCAGTCACCTACTCGGTTGCGAGTCTGATCAAGAGGGTCTTCGTCATCTCCTTCGCGATCGTGTGGTTCGGCAACAAGATGACCACTTTCCAAGGCGTCGGCATCGGTCTCACGTTCCTGGGCTTATATCTCTACGATCGGGTCAGTGATGCTGCTAAGGCGGATCGGAGGGCTCGCATGCTGCAGACGCAGAGCCGGGACGCGCTTCTGCCGCTCACGACGGATAACCTGGGCGGTGCAGCTGTGTTTGTCCAGAGTCCTGCCGTCATGGCTGCACCGCAGCCGTACGCGAACGGCTACTTGCATGGCTCCTTGCACGGCTTGGAGAAGCGGAGCGACGATGCGGGACCAGGGCGGCCGCGGAATGGTAGCCCTACTGGTGGGGGCTGGCTCCCGCCGGGTACGAAACAGGAGGCTACATGGACGGATAGAGATATCAGCATGAGTCCGGGGGCTCCTGCGTCGTAGGTGGCATATAGAACGTTTGCGTGTTGCTTGGCATGCATGTAATTGGCGTGTATCTAAGGCTGTATATAGATGGAAGCTCCGAACATCCATAAGACCACTCGTGTGAGAACACTTGCTGTACTATCGAAATAGAGTACAACGCTTGCGAAAGGGCAAAAGGGTAAGGCAGTAGACTCCGCATCGCAGAAACACCAAGCCTTGATGTCCTGCGGGACAATGCAGTAGCGCCATTCGAGTTCAACTGCGCCACTCCAGCCTTGCAAGCCCACGCCCAGCAGGTGCATCAAGGCGCATCAAATGACTTGTCCGCTCTTTGTCCTGCAGGATCAGGGCAGTGAAACTCACGCCGAGGCCGAACTCTTTAGATAGCTTCATTCACAAAGTGGACCTGCACGCGGCCTGAGTAGGTAACCAGCCACCCAAGTGATGAAAGTCGCCGGACTCGAAAAACGTTGAACGACCTACTAACGGGGCATGCTGATGGGGCAGGTAGATCTTCGGGCGTAAGGCAGTGTACACTGCCTCATGAGTGTGCTCAAGCCGTCACTAGAGGTGGAAAGGCCAGAGTAAAGATCATTGGGAAATACGGTGAATTTAGTAGATTTTGGTGATTTGGGAGTACGACGATTTCTGTCACCCATGTGCCTGCCTTGGTAACATCTCGAGAGCCAGCGCTCGCTTACCGGGTTAGCCTAAGGTAGTTCGCCTTACGGTGTGCCTCGCGAGTACAGCCCTCCGGACAGACTGACAAGCAAACTTCGAGCTTGAAATCCATGATGATACGATGTGTGGTTGAACCATGGTAGGTCTGGGGGGTCCCTCATAGTCACAAGGCTCTATTCCTGCCTCAATCTTCGCACTATCTTGCTTAAATTGGTCTCAATCCACTGTCAACCTTGTTCTATCTGTTCATATATCACCCCGTGTCTTGAAGCCTCCGAGCTTCGTGTCGAGTATAAAGCAAAGATACTTTCCGTCTGAAGCTTCCGCAGCCTTTACAAGCAAACTCATCGCGTAAGGCTTCACAAAAAGAGGCGCTACAATTTGTCACACTTTACGAAGATCAGAGATCCAGACAAGTTAGACAAAGCATGTCTCAATTCAATCAACCGGGGCCCGGCGAGACCCCCCCAGCATACTTCTCCGAGAAGACCATCGACCGTAACCAAGATGTATCCTCAGTAGCCGCTTCACCGGTAGCCAAGTACGACAACATCCTCGAAGTCATTACCGCCGTGCTGGATGGCGAGCTGAAGTCCGATGGTGCACCGACCGACTATGAAGTCAAACGAGTCCGTAACTTCCTGGGCTACTGCCTCGCGATCGATTACAACGTCGACATTGGCGCAAAGCTGAGCGCCGCAGACAGAACGCACTTCCTGCGGCTCTCCACGCAGATGTGCGATCTTGAGCTCGCTCAACGAGTTGCTCCCACAACAGCAGAGGAACGCCATATATTGGGTCCCTACTTCTGGACATACATCCACAATCCGGCCAAAGCCCTGGGGTTACCCTCGGATCTAGTCGTTCTATACATCCATTCCTTCAAACGGTTCACTTCCGGCTCCGCGCAGTACAAAGGCAGCACACGCGGCATCCTCCACGACGGTGGCCTCGGGAAACTTGCTTTCAAGCTCTACGTCGACAGGGAAGTTGTGATTCCCGCCGTTGTCACGGCGGCGGAGGAGGGCAAACACCGCAAAGCTCTCCTCACGCAACTGAATGATTTCCAAGCCATCTATTTCGCCTCCATATCCGGCTTTAAAGCATCAACTCTGATGCGGGATGGACGGTGGTGTCACGCGCACTTCGAAGACTATGTCCTGAACAATACCGGCGAGCAATATCGGGCCGAGCGTATGCATGGCACCGCCGGTCAGCCGCTCGCTCGCCTCGAGTCACGGAAGCCGGTGTGGGAAAGGGTGGACAAGATCCTGGACCGGTTCAAGAAGCGAGCTGGTGTCAGGAGGGCGTTTCGCTGGGAGAAGACGCGGGAGGCTTGCACCAAAGGGCCGCAGGATAAGAATATGGCTGACCCTATGGGCCTGAGTGCGGAGGATAAGTTGGTGCCTAAAAGTATCTTCAATACGGATCTTTGGCAGCAGGAGAAGTTTCATGGAAGTTACATATAGTGCTGGGCGAGTCTTCGGCCAAGCGATTTGCGTATTGAGAGGGTGCCACGATACGTCGCTTACAGCAATGCCTTGAATGTTACACTCGTAAGTCTATGGAATGCTTAGTTACACCGATTGTCTGTATGAGCAATACGCACTGAGGATTTCGATACGGTCTGGATGTCGCAACGTCCTAACACGTCTCACACGACAGCAGCTCATATCTTATAGCTTTATTCATTTCAATCTCCTGGGCCGTAAATATGCCCTATTGGCGTCCTCAGCCATAAGACCCTTCTTTCTACCAACAGTTAATAGAGCTTATTAACAGCTATTTCCCAAGGTGTTTCCTGAGCGCTTTCCTTGTGCTATTTCTTGTGAGACAAAATGCACGGAGCGCAAACACAGCCGCCTCTTGAAAAGAGACACCTATATCTTGACGCCAAGCGGCTCAACACGGATAACCGCTGTTGATCTCGCATTTGGTCAAGATCCTCGTCCTTACCATCACAATCGCACATCGCCACAGCTCTTCTCACCTCTCACAATCCTTGTCGGCTACCTGTCACCCGACAAACTTCGCATACTTCACGAACTCCTCATCCGCCCTCAACCTCTCCATATCCTCATCCCTCAAACAAACCGCAACCGCAATCTCGCCGTCCAGCGCCCTAGGCATCAAATACACCAAACTCTCGACCGGCGTGAAATGCGGTCTCCGCACTGCCTCAGCATTGCCCAATCCCAGGTTGAAATCAAGTTCATAACAGTCCAACTTCGCCCACGAACTGAGCATGATGTCTACCGATAGGTCCAGCGTCGCAGTGAAGGAGATGACGTTTTTGTCTGGGCTGCGGTCAAGGAAGGTCGCGAGGGCACGGGTGTGGTGGCCTAGATTCGATGTTTTGGGGTCGAGTGCCGAACGAAGCTGTGATGCGACTCCGCCTAATGGCTCTTCAGCTAGCTGCTGAGCCGTGTACGTGTGGTACGTCATGTTCTGCATAAGTCCTGGGTACGTCGGTGGAATATCCAGATAAGGCCGTACGTCAACAGCGCGGGCGAACGTTGACTCGGCTGTGGGATCTAGGCGGGGGAGCCGGGCGCGGATCACGGATTGCCAGATGAAGGCGCTGAGGGCGTCGTCGGTGGATATGTAGCCTGAGGTGATAGTTTTTGTGGCCGATGATTTTAGAGCGGTAAGCGAGGTTGGGGGGAAGGTGAAGTAGGCCCAGGTGCATCTCGGAGGGGGAAGTGGTGCTGGGTGGCTATTGGTGTCATTGGAGATGGGGTGAGATGGAGTGGGTTTCACAATCTGACGAGCGAGCTCGGAGCCTGGCTCGTAGGAGTCGTCGAGTAAGGGGAAGAGGTTGCGGCGATCAAGGTTGCCGGATGAGAGTTCTTCGCTAGTGAATTGTTCACTGTGGCAAGCTTTTGAGAAGAGATGGATGATCTGAGCTTGGCCAGTCATGTCCATCGTTTGGTGCTGGCCGACGAAGGTGAGCATGAGGCCGCCGGTGATGAAATTGGCTTGGAGGAGGAAGACTTCTGATGCGGACTCGTTAAAGATTCCTGGGAGGGTCTTGTGAGGTGCAATGATGTTTTCGTCTAGCATGCTCATTGGGAAGTTGGCTCGTCTAAGGGCGTCCATTGTTGGTATTGACGAATCATGTCTGAGATCTCTTACGACCAGACGAGGAATTTTCTCCAATGGTTTGATCTTAAAGATGCCTGTGTTGCCTTCGCCTGAACCTTCGTTGACGACCTCGCCTGCTATCCATGGAAAGCTCGCAGATAGTCGTTCGAGACCATCTATCAACGTGTTGATGATCGCTGAATGTGAGGAAGCATCGGCCACTGAAAAGCAAAAGCATATCTGAGTATATATCTTGAGTAATGGCTGTTGTCCGAGAACATCTAGAGAGTCGTCCAAGTCCTTTACAATAGCTGGTCCTTGCATGTTGGGCAATTAAGAGTGTCTAGACAACGAACAGTGTCTACGGCGGTTGGCGCTCTTTGAAGATGGGGTTAGATGTTGTCGTTCAAGAAAGGTCGTATAGTAAAGCGCGGGGCACACAATTCGTTCGTCCGCACTTCTCTTGGTGCCAAGCTACAGTGTTTGCTTACTCGTACTGCTCTTTGCATAAATTGAACTGAGAAAACATCTTATACTCAACTATACGGGTAGTTATGTCTTGTAGCTTTCTTCATTGCAAACCTCCTAGACCGTGTATACACATACCCTGTTGACATCCCCATCCACTAGAAGACCTCCTTTTTATCAACAGCATCGCTTCTGCAAGCCACCAACGGGCAAACCCCGTTGCAGGCGGTACGACTTGATGCAATTTCGCACCTCGACAGCTCACCAGGGCGCTAAACAGCACGGCAGAGCTCCCGTGTCCGGAGCTTTTCCCTCAGGATTCCTGCCGCCGCCTGCAGGTGCGCACCACAGGCGCAGATTGAGGGGTAGCGGGATATTGGAGGGTGTCGATGATCGAACTCTGCATCCCGTCCCTGCCACAACGGCGCATATTTAACTTCCCGGTCTGTCCGCCTGATGGCATTCTGACCAGCACCGTTGTTCTCCTGCCATGAAGCCTCTCTGAACTCGTTCGCAGACCCCTGACCCCCAGTGCGCCAACTGCAATTGCGGAAACCCTTCCCCAAGCCCAGCGAAACTGCGGGCCGAGAAATAGCCCGCGGCGGCAACCGGATCCCGGAGGAAGATCCAGCCAATCGTGTGCTTCCGGATTCTTTTCGTCATCCGTCGTCCGTCATCCTTAAACGCCGAAACAAACCGCAGCTTTTAAACGCATTCAACCGCGACAATTTCAGGATCGGTGACCAGTTTCCCTTCTCGAATCTGTGCCAGGAGCCTGCATCCTTCTGTACCTCGCTGGTGAATCACATACAAGAACAGCTCGCTGGTTTAGCGCAAGCCCGCACGGTACTCCGCAACACCACCGCCGGCGGAACGGACGCCGTATGAAATAGTTGGAGCAGTAGCTTGGGTGTCCAGCTTTCATGAGTCGGCACTATCTGCGGTGACCAACCAGGCTCGGAGCATCAGAATACTCGCACGAGCAAGCGGAAGGCGCCTGCCAGGAGACTCGCTCCTCTTGGATACTCCCAGGTCCGACGATTGGCTCGATCGAAGAACACTCAGCCCAGCAGCGGAGACTTCGATCGCCGACACAATGCCTACCACCAACCGGCCCTTCTTCTCCAACTTCCTCGCGGCATTCAGAGCCCACTCCGCTATACAGAAAACCGCCAGCACCACGGTCCCAAGTGCCGCGAGCACAACAGCGTCGACAGCTTCCGCCTCAACACTAGCACCGACACCCACCTCCGCACCTGCAGCCACCACTTCCACAAACGCGCCCTCGAATCCGCGAGCAATAGCCACAAAAGCCGGTACGCCGAGCACCGGCGCAACGACCGTAGCCATCCAGACGACCGGCCAGTTCCAGCCCACGCGCCAGCACTCCGCATCACCGTACTCGCGGTCACCGGGCTCGCCAGGATCGCCAGGCTTCAACACACCGCTAGGCGGATCGGCAACGCGGCAACGGCGAGGTTCAGATAGCTCGTCCGAAGGGTTCAGGGATGCTGGGGGGCCGGAGAAGTGGTACATTGGCGGCCGGACCGCGACGGGAGAGGAGCGGTTCTACAAATTGGGAGTGGTGAAGAGGCCGAGGAGTATCGATCGGTTGAGTGTGGATAGATTGAGTTTGTGATCGAGAAGAGAGATTGTAGAAAGGAAAAAGAAGTGGGCGAATGGCATGGGAAGGCGTTTGAGGGTTACATTAAGAGCGGATGAAGTCTCTAAATGCTTAGATTGAGGGTTATGCGTTGCCACCAGCCGAGCTCATGAATAGGGACTTGGGTATATCTGAGCTTGGTTGCTCTTCGCAGGCGGAAAAGGAGGCTTCTTATCCGCTGCGCTCTGCTACGTCAGCTTTCAGTTCTTGCTTATACTCGCAGCATTCTCGTCCTCGGTTCAGGTAGACAATGCCCGAACAAATGGATATATTGCACATATAGGGCTTCGTTACAGTCTAACGCTTCGCAACGGACTGATCATCTCAAACACTTAGCCTTGTCTCTCACAGCTTTCATTTTATCCTTGACCGGACCCATCGAAGGATTCAAGACGCTACTGAGAGGATAATTGTAAAAGTTTTTGCTTGCTTTAACGACTTGCCTGAACATCTCGTAGGAGAAAAATTTCATGCAGCCGGTATCTAAAGAGTACCCCATCGTTCCGACGTCGGCCAGGAACTACTGCGTTGCACTGCTGTATCGAGCGTGGTCATCCCCACGATTTGCCTTCGGCATTAGATCGGCATGCTGTATTTCAATCGTTCTGCATCGAACGGTTGCGCTTCCTATCGTCGCAACTCTGAACAACTTGTTTATCCCGTCTGCCATCAGGACACAGATGGGCCTTACAGACAGCGGTAGGTGATTGGTGATCAAAGCCACGACTGCACCTTTCAATAAGATGTCATGATCAAGAAAGACACAACACGTGACTTGGTATTCGCATAATGTTCCCCAATAGACTCACCAGACACCTCAAGGTCAGTGTCTGGCTGTTCTCCAAACTGCGAAGACGTAGTTCAAGGACGAAGCTGATCACACTCCAGCGCTTTGGTAACTACAGCTTGACACCTTGAGATGCAGCGCTGTCGCTGGCAAAATCCAAGCCCTTTTACGCAATCGCACCGGACCCGTCTACAGACTCGTTGCGCACTGTTGCTCAGCCACAGGATTGAGCGAACACCGTGCCAGACATTAGATCTCGAGCTTAAGAACTTGGCGTCTTATTCGGCCTCCGGCCATGAGTAACGCTTATCTCCGCACTCGAACACGGGTTGTATACGCGACGGTCCGAAGCAGTACCCTAGGGCCTCGCCTCGCATTGAACCAGCAACGGTCGTCCTTCGTGATGAACCATCTCCCCATGACGACAACGTATCGTGAGGGGTTAATGGGCTGCACGACCACCGCGATGGCACCGGGCGGCTGTTATGTCAGAGGGCGCAGAACCGCGAGCCGCAAATAGTTCCACCCCGTCAACCCACGATGTCTCGGAAAAAGTGGACGTGAGAGTTGTCTTAACCTGCTCAAAACCTCACCTGCTATCTCGTCTTTCCAAACTTTCTGTTGACCGCCGGCAAAGTCATCATGTCTACAGAGAGCCAGCCCGCTTCTCGAGATGCCGACCACGATAGGTTGCCACCGCACCGCAAGAATATCGTCTTCGCTGTTTTAGCCTTCTGCAGATTGCTGGCCCCGATAGCAAGCACAACGGTATTGGCGGCTGTTCCTGAACTCGCAGAAACCTACCATACCGACGCTGAGGTCATCAACCTGAGTAATGAGTTCTACATAGTGTTTATGGGGCTCTCCCCGTTGCAGTGAGGGCCGCTGGCTCAGCTTTACGGTAAGAGATGGGTACGCTCCTGTTTCATAATCCTGCACGATACCATAGTCACAATCTCGGCTTCTTATTCTACTTCCTCGCGACTTGCGCAGCAGAATACGCACAACCAAAACCCCACACGCACCCCCAATTGCCCTAACACCACCTAGGTAATAATACTCAGCGCTACTCTCCTCTTCACCTCCAGCATCCTCACCGCCCTCTCCCCACCCCTCGCCGCCTTCTACGCATTCCGCGTTCTAACCGCGTACCCCAGCACCGCTTTCCTCGTCCTCGCCCAAAGCATAGTCGGCGACATGTATATCCCCACAAAGCGCGGCACAGCCACGGGCTACGTCCTCACCGGCTCGCTTGCCGGGCCTGCCCTAGGCCCCTTCGTCCGCGGCATCATTGTCAACTATAGCTCCTGGCGTGGCATTGTTTGGCTGCAGACTGCACTTGCAGGCTGGCTGCTGTGCTGCTGTGGGGGTTGCTGCCGGAGACGAGGCAGAAGAAGGGGTGTGAGGAGCTTAAAGGTCTTCATGGATGAGAGAAGGCGAGGGCGGTGCTGCAGCGCCTGAATCCCCATCATCCGTGAGATAGGCGTGGGCTGGCTCTCCCCGATCACGGGCACGCTGCTCGTCATCTCAACTATCGGTATCTGCTTCACGATCCGTTCCGACAAGGATTGGCGGGAGAAGCGCGACGTTAGTGATGCGGAGACAGAGGCCGTAGTGGAGCCTAAAGGTGCGCCTACGCCGTCAGCATCGCCGCACTCGAACAGCGGTGCGGAAGGAGATAAGGAGGTGGAAGTGATATGAGGAGGTTGTTTGGGGTAAATATCGGATTGAAGAGTGCTTCAGGGGGCTTTGGATGATCCAAAGCACAGTGCGATTGAGCCGGCAACCAGCGTTGTACCCTTTGGCGCTGGTGTAATGCGGAGTTCGAGGCTGCCATCATGGCCGACTCCATGCATTGACAGAGTTTGGCAAATGGTGGGCGGAAGGAATGAGATTTCGGGCGTCACAAGGATGAAGCCTATCTGGATCAAGGACTTGAGCGCTTGTTAAAGTTTCGATGATATAGTGGACAGTGAGAATCGTTGATGGACGTGAGACTTGATAGGAAGCGTAAGCATTGCACAGACTATCATTCAGCAACCAGTGCGAGGACCAAGCGGTCTTCGACTTGCTCATGGACATGAAATCGTGAAGCTAAACTACAAACATAAACGGCATCAGCCGCTCTATAGCGAGGAAGCCAGGTGCTGCTCCCAGCGCCAAAAGCCTCCCAGGCTATGGCACAGGCATCGAAAATGCCAGAATACGGAGCCTATAACACCTCAGCCTATTCACAAAGACAGAAACGCCGACCAAAACGCCGCCACACATGCCGCCGTGAACCTCATGCGCTAACACTTCGTATACACAAGCACGTACGGTGTGAAACCGCGGTCACGGGGCTGGATCAACGACGACAGTGTCGCCCTCTCGACCGAATTGTCGTTGACATACCGCACCCCCAGCGGCCCCGTGACCCTGGCCACGTAGTGCCCCCCGTCCTTGGTGCCCTCATGGTACACGACGCTCGACAGCTTATAGCGCAAGCTGCCGGCTTCGCGGTGGTCGGGGTCGGTTTGGTATTTGCTGAGGTCCAGCCACACGTCGAAGCGGACATCGGACTCTAGCTTCCTGATGACGGTGTCAACAACCCGCCCTCTGCGCATCACCATCTCGGTCTGGAAGCGCTTGAACTGCACTAACAGCACCTCGGGCGCGGCTTCGATGGTCATGATGCGCGGCATGCTTGACTTGGAGTGGCATTTGTCGCATTTGGCGTCGTCGTCGGTGCGGGTCTGGAAGTAGCGGTCGAGGTACTTGCTGATGTTGAGGTTCTTGGCGGGGTCGGTGATGCCAATCGAGAGGCCGAACTCGTGGTCAGTGTGCTGTTTAGTGTGAATGTGGCCACAGCCCTTCCGCTTGCATTTGCGGCGTGTCTGTATTTCGACTTTGAAGAGGGCGTTGATCATATCGACGGGCATCTGTGGTGGGCCTCCAAGGCCGCCGGCGAGGTGGTTTACTAGCTCGGTGATGAAGTCGTGAGTGTCTGCTTCCTCGTTCTCGCTCTTGTATTGCCATCCAGCATCGTTGGCTACTCGGTTGAAAGCTTTAAGCTCGTTCTCAATATTCGTGGTGTTTCTCGGTTCTTCCCAGTACACCTCGCTGAGACGTTTGAAGGCGCACGCGATGCACCTTCTTCTGGGCCTGCTATTTCGGGGGCTTGGTTTTCTTCCGGCCTTCGCGGTATCCGCACACGAGCCTCTGCCAGCTTGGTGCGTTTTGATCCAGTTGATGAAGATTGGTAGATGCATCATTGCTTGCAGAATTGAATTGCGGTAGCACCACATGGCTGGGTTGCGGAAACCGGCGGCACCAAGCTTGGTCGTAGGCCATTTCCTTGACATGTCTTTAGTCTGATTTAAGTATGTTAGCCTTGTCCGTACCTTGAGAAGCAATCAAGCTTGGTAATCGAACCAAAAAAGACGATAACACGTACCAATCGATCTCTCATCTCCTGTTTCTGAGACCGCTTCTTCTTTGCCGGTTTACGCAGGGCAGTGTCCTTGTCGGCTTTCCAATTGGTCATTGCGGCGGCCGAGACGAAAGAGATCGGATTTCTGAGTAGTGCTGCGAGGGCTTCTCGCGGAGCGGTATTGTAGTCTTGCTGTCCGGCAGCAGAGCTATCTGATGACGCAGAGGAGGTCCAAAAGTGAGATGAGGGAGTAAGTCTGGACACAGTGATCGCGAGCTCGTCGGCTGAGGAGGAACAGTCTGAACCAGCAGACCGGGGGACTTGACGCCAGATAGCGGGAGGAGACGCCGTTTGCGGACGCAGCGCTGCAGAAAGAAGAGATGTTTGAGGGACGGAGGATAAAGAGGGTAGCTGCTTCGCAGCCATCTTATATAGGGACCGTTGCAAAGGCCTTCGCTTTTTCTCCTTGTTGATGCGGCCGGACATTGTCCTATTCATCTTGGAGGTCGCCATGATGATACAATAGTGAAGTTTGTTGCTGCGAGAGGTTTCAGAGGTAGTCTTCGAATAGAGCGAATGCGCACAATAGGCGCGAACAATGATCAATGGCTTTTCCTCCGCCAACCTCAACGTCGAGACTTGCAACAATAGCGCAGGTGGTTTTGAGGAGATCTTTTCAAGTGAAATAGATTGAGAGAAAGACGTTTCGCACTAAGTAGCGACTGTCTACTGCTGCTCTTGGTCGTTGATACTGGGACATTGAGGGCGCGAACCAGAGATCGTGAGTGAAAACGCCCGAGACTGGCCTATGTGAGTACTCTAAAAAGCGCAGAGGCGCTTTGAGGTCTAAAGTGCAGAACTTCGTCCTTGATCGAAGTGTCCTACCGAGGTTGAGGTTCAGAATTTGTCGAGAATTTTTATGACCCGCACCTGCGCCACTCCCGCAGTGCCTTTGGAGATCTGCCGCGAAATCCCGGGGAAGATCTCCGCACCATCCCACAGCTTGAAGAAATGGCCTGAACGAACAACCCAGACACCTAACAATGTGGCTCGCGAAACCATAGCTATCGCGCATCTGCGCTCATTAATCCGACCATGGCCGATGACTTTCCGCGCGGGGAGTCCTACGAAGCCGAACACGTCCACGCTGTGTACGAGCAAATCGCATCCCACTTCTCCTCGACGCGCTACAAGGTGTTTGTCCCCCCTTACACACCCCCTCACCTCACTACGAAGACTAATCACTCAGCAGCCCTGGCCAATCGTAACCTCCTTCCTCTCTTCCCTCCCTCCCGGCGCAATCGGCCTTGACGTCGGCTGCGGAAACGGCAAGAACCTCTCCACCGCCAGGGGCACCTCTGCCTCCTCCTTGTCACTCTCCAGCGGCATCTTCACACTCGGCTCCGACCGCTCGCCCTCGCTCATCCGCCTCGCAGCCCAGCACCAACAGCACAGGAGCGGCGCGGATGTGGTCGTAGCCGACGCCCTGGCGCTCCCGCATCCGCGCTGTAGGTTCGACTTCGCGATCTGCGTGGCTGTGCTGCATCATTTCTCGACTGCGGAGCGGAGGGTTGAGGGCATGAAGGGGGTGTTGGAGGTGCTGAGACCGAGGCACAAAGTTGCTGAGGCTGGTGAGGCTGGCGAGGCTGGTGATGGGAAGGGCGCCGGGCTGGAGAATGCCGGGGATAGGGATGGCGAGGGTGGGAAGAACGGTGATGGTGGCGGAAAGGCGCTTTTCACCGTCTGGGCGCTGGAGCAGCAGGGGAGTCGGCGGGGTTGGGATGAGGGGTGTGAGCAGGATGTCATGGTGCCTTGGGTGATGAAAGGTGGTGCTGGAGGTGGCAAGGTGCGAAAAAAGGGTAGGAGGGAGGAGGCAAAGGAACGACTAATCGCGAAGAGCACCGCTGAAGTAGCAGAAAATTCGGAGGATGGCGCTTCGGAGAAGCGAGAGGGGTTGGGAGAGGAGGAAGGACTAGCCGCGGAAGAGCAGGAGAGGACATTTCATCGGTACTATCATCTGTACAAGAAGGGCGAGTTGGAGCATGACATTGTCGAAGCGGGGGGCGTTGTGCTCGAGTCTGGGTACGAGAAGGACAATTGGTGGGCTGTTGCGGCACGTCAGGCAACCTGAGGGGTGATTTCCTTATTGGACCACACGAGGGGGGTCAGACCGTAGCTTTGAAAATCCTCCGAATTCATTCCTTGTCTTAGGTCAACGGAAGCCACCGCAATACGGCGGTGGAGTTACTCGAGTCTGGCGCGTCGACTAGACTTCTTGTAGTCCCTTGATGATTACCAATTCCTTCTTGTCCTCCTCGCTAAGTGGAGCGTTTTCAGGCCGATCGACGACAGCAGCTTTCATGCCCACTGAAAGCGCAGCGCGAACCTCTGCAGTAAGTGCTTCGTCAGCTTCCAAACACAATCGGAAGCACTCAGTAAGTAGCCTACCATTAACGTTGTCACTCAAGAATAACACATCCCCACACTTCCTCCCCAGCTTCTCGGCAATCTTCACATAACTCTGACCCTCAGCCTTCGGCCCGGCATTAACGGTATCGAAGTAGTCCGTGATGAGGTAGTTGAGGTCTTCTGTAGCCGAGCGCGCCTCGCCGCTACCCGTGTACTGGAAGAAGAGCTTCTGGGCGTCTACGCTGCCTGAAGAGAAGATGGCGAGCGTCTTTCCTGCTGCGTGCCATGCTTTGAGCTGAGGTGCAACATCTGGGAACAAGGGCGCGGTGTAATTGCCGTTCTGGTAGCCCTTGATCCATAGGTAGCCTGATCGTGACCTTTTAGCTTCTAAGCCTGAGATATACTCAACGACTAGATGCTCTTTGTGGTGACGAGCTTGGATTGGAACAAGAATGGGCTCTCCACGTATGCATTCCGCTGCAACTATTACTGCAACACGTTCGCTGACGGGTGTCACGCGTACCTTGTAAGCTTTTCAGATAAGAAATCTTTACATCTTTCGCCATGAGCTCCTCCACGTGTCGCTGAAAAGCCGCAGGGGACTTCCGCGCCTCAGCCGGGAATGCATCGCGGTAGGGCTGAAATTCACAGTCGTTCCACTGATGGTAAAGCACAGTGGTAAGAGACTCGAGGGCGTAAGGGAACTGAAATGCTTATGAGCACGTGGTTCGTCACGATAACGAACTGCGAAAAAAAATCATCTCGCTAAGCGTAGCTTGAAGTTTTGTTATATTCCTCGCATCTGTGGCATCGTCTCAAATCGAACTTCTAAGTGTCGTCGTACCGTCTAACAAATACAACATTGGAGAAGGAATGTGTCGAAACAGACTACTCTTCTATACTTGTGCCAGTCTTTGAGCGTGCACACCAAATCTTAGCTACACATACAGGTCTGCAGTAGCGTTGGATTGGAGATAGCAGTGTCTTTCAGACACATAACCAAGTCGACAAATGCTATGGGAATGGCATTGATCGCGAACTTTGGAGAGAAAAGACCTCATCATGATGGAAGTGAAGTCAAACACTTACCAGGACTCCTTTGACGAAAGATACTGGGCAAATCGTGCCCTCTACACAAGAAGGATTCAGGTCAGTAAGCTTTAGGGAGGCTGCCTCGACCGTTCTCGACCGCAGCACGTTCGGAAGGCCGGTGTCGGGAAGGAGCACGGGGTACAGTGAATCCCAGGGAATGCAGTGTAGCAGTGGTGTCGCAGCAGACGCTCGTGGTACCAGAATGGTCGTTTCGCAGCGTTGGTGGAGCAAGTGCTGCATCTAGCCTCCACAAACTCTAAATTTGCTTTAGGAAGGTCGACGGGCCGTGAAGCTGCTTCACGGCGGGTTTGTGGATTTCATGAGCTACTGACAGCGAGGCACGTACCAATGTCAAGCAGGATGGTGTCTGCTTGCGAGGTGTCCATGGTGACAAGGGAGCGGTGTGCGGAAGGAAAATTTTCATGCAGCGGTAGAAGCAACAGACGCGCTCAATCGGGTGAGCTATCTCCGGGGCCTGGTGTAGATGGCCGAGCGGACTGTGAAAGCGGAAGAAAAGAAACGCTCGTCTGCAGCGCTAGCCGCGGGTTCTTCAACTGGTGCAGTTTTGGTGGTGAGATTCCCGTCTTCTTTGCTGTCGATCTTCACGCCCTCGGATCTGGCTCGCGGACGAAGCCGTGGGCTTCCGTTTTGCGGGGACGCCGGAGTCCCCTTGAGGATCATTGCGAATCGATCAGCAGCGCCCTCGCCAGCAGAGGCATCGAGGCATCGAGGCATCTGTTTTTCCGCGGTGCAGATCGTTGAGCCTCTTTTCTCTCGAAGGACAGTCAAGATCAAGTCGGTCTTTCATTGTTTGTTTATCTCAGAGTGAAATGTCCAATTCACCGCTAGGAGGGCAAATTAATTTACGTCAAGTCCAGAGTGCTTCAAGCGTGCATCCACCTGCAGTAGCGCAGATGCAGCGGCGCTCCTGAGATCTTAAGTGGCGGAGGGGGTGCTGGCGGGCTGGGAGTCGGCATGCACGAGCGGCACCGGAACCCTTAAGCCTGCAGCCAGCGAGCAAGACTCCCCGGGCCTTAACGGCAATCCGGGGTGCGCGGGCTGCCGAAGAGCCTTCCGCTGGCCGACGGAGGAAAAATCCAACTTCTCACCGACATTGATTCATTTCCGAGGTCAGCCGATAGACAGGAGACACGATGCCTCTTTCGATGAGCAGACCACTTGGACCGTCAAGCTAGGGCGAGTCATTCACGGATGTCTTCCCCACAGCGACGCTTCTACCCGCGTAGCCGTGCCCGGCGGATCCCGCCAGTTGCTTGCAGGTGTGCACCACGGGGGCTCAATGCGCCAGGCCACAAAAGTAAGGAAGCACAAACAGCTCCAGCCCTCGGCGCGCTCCCGAGATGCGACGGCAACGAGTGGCGAGAGCCAGTTGCTGGTGCTACGCTTATCGCAGCGCAGTCGACGCTGCTGCGTAACGTGGCCGCCGGACGGCTGCAGTCACGAGACAGAGGGCTGGAAGCCAAGCTGCCCTTGTGGTGTGCTTCCAATAGCAAACCTGGACAATGACCGTGGCTAAGAGACGTTGGCGTGCGACTCGTGGGCAGTCTTCATCATCGCCAGGGCTGATTGCGCCAGGAGGGCAGCCGTCAAAGGAGATAGGCTCGCATCCTGGCGATCTATCGTCAAGACAAAGCGAGCAGCAGGATGCGCTGCCGTTGAGCACTTCAAAGCGTTGCACGAGATCAAAAGAGCCCTTTGGCGGCTTTGCGGTGTCTGATCGCGATGCTTGCGAATGCCCTTTTTGCTCTCCGTACTCGTATGACTTTGGCGCCAGCCCAAACTGGCGACCCACTCGAAGCAAGGGACACGTTTCAGAAAGTGGTGCCTTCCGAAGGGTCCGTCTCTGCCTTGCGGAGACGCAAGCAACACATGTCTGTTTCAACGTCCAGCGATTGCCCTTGGAGGGGCGGGGTAGCTCATCCACGGTTTCGACGCTCTCATAGTGTGACGGTCCGGTAAGATAGATTAGGACGAAGGTGAGCAGCCTGAGATGACGGTAGCCGTGAAGCTCGCTCTGAGGGCGATAGGCTCCTGAGGCATCGGGCCACCGAAAGGCGTGCGTGGCGATTCTATGGCATTCTACAGGCACATTACCGGTGCCCTTGTGATGCCCCTCCTGCTCCCTCGCAACGGGCGCCAGAAGACTGGGCTTGTCTTTCCTTGATTAGCAGCAGTCGCCTTGATTGGCCGCGTGATGGCACCCCAGCAGCGCCTGCATTGATCGGACGGCGCTACTGCAGCAACAGGAGAGACTATAGCGGATGCAGTAAGGCTCTTTCTAAATGGAACACGTCGTGGCGCCGCCTAGCCGGAAGCAGCGGCGGCCAATAGAATACAGGCTCGCCTGCTGTTGAGACAAAGGCTGGCCTGCTCCACTTCCCACTTGGCGCATCCCAAGCTGCGCCCGCTTGTCGTTGCCCTACACCGCCGCCGCCCAAGGTCTCTCGGCCCTTCTCATAACAGCTTTCCTTGCCCGTCTGCCCAGCATCGCTCTATCATGGTCTGACCTCACGCCTCGTGTACCTATCCAACTTTGTTGTTCGCCGTCTTTGCAGCTTGCACGCACACTCCTTCCGGGCATTCCTCATCGCCATCACCTTCCCGCTCTACCAACAGCGTCAACAACCCCCATTCTCTTCGTTTCCGACGCAACGCAACCAGTGCCTGCCCTGCCTCGACGAGCTACAACAACAAACCACGCCTCGTGTCCGACCAGACCCCCACTCCACCTGCTCTCTCCTCCCCCGAGTCCCACAAGCCATCACTTCACCATCTCTCGACGCATTGATGTGAGCTTGAGTCATTACAAGGAGCACGGTTACCCAGCTCGCCAACAGCCCACCCTTGCGTCGTCATCAATGCTCTGAGCGATTCGCCAACTTCCGTCAGCCAATAACGCCCCCATATCAGCTTCAAGAGTCGGTTTATTTGGTGCTCCAACGATCAAAGACACTTTCTCGAAAGCCACCGTCAACAAAGCAGCGTCGATTCGCCATCGACACCTCTGCTACAGCCACTTCCGTGAGATCGGTCCTTTGTCTCCCTCCGTCAAGCCATCGTCCTCAGCACGCCATCTGGCTACCTAGCTAATTGTGTGCTGCTGCCTACGATCTCACGCCGTTCGCCACGTGTCACGACTCTCCTACCTACATTACGCCGCGCTCTGCCCTCGACCGCCAACCCGCCCGAGGTCCTTCACGTCTCCTCCTGTTGCGAATACCCGTTGACTCGGGTTCACTATACCTATTCCACTTAATCAGATGACATCTACGAGCACCAAGTTTCCTTGTCTCTAGCCTTTTTCCGTTTCATCCCCTTTCGGTCGGTTTCTTGTGTATACATCCCGCACGGCCATCTCTTTAGCGACACGGAGTTCATCAGTCTCGAGGAAAGCGGTGCTTACGACCTGACTCTGGGATACCACCTTCTGGCCGTTACTACTATCCTGGACCTTGTCATTATACTACCTCCGCGTTCCGGTCTCTCCTACCTTCCGACATTGTTTACTTCTTCAAAACCGTCCATCACAAAAGTCTATAGATTGTCCTCTCCATTCCGGCAGGCCTTCGACTCTTGTTTACCTACGATTTCTGATTGATTCCGGCGTCTTCCATACGTATTATCTGGTCTTATCCTGCTCTCGAACTTACAGCTTCGTTCTGGAGACTGTTAGTTTCGAAAACCACCTCGGCATCATTCCGTTGACTCCTCCATGGATTGCATGCGAAAGCATTTTGCAGAAGGCGCCGTGCTCGATGGACGTTTCGAAACCGTATCCCCTCTCAATCATGGCTCGTTTGGCATGGTCTTCATGGCCAGGGATCTCGTCACGGGCGAACCTGTAGCCGTCAAGTGCCTCACGAAATCCTCAGCTGCGAACAACTGCCCTTCGGTGTTTGCAGTCGACGAGCACTCGGAAGAACTCAAGATCCACGTCCGCATCGGGTCTCATCCGAACATTGTCAATTTGATCCACTCGTTCGAGACTCACAGCCACATCTACCTTGTCTTGGAGTTCTGCCCCAATGGCGACCTGTACGAGGCTATTCGCGTTGGTCGAGGTCCACTGGAGACATCACACGTTCGGGAGTTCATGTTTCAGCTGGTCGATGCTGTCGACTGCCTGCACAGCAAAGGCGTCTATCACCGCGACATCAAGCCCGAGAACATCTTTTTGGCTCAGGATGGCGAGATGAAGCTTGGCGATTTCGGTCTCGCTACCACGGACGTCTGGTCCTACGAATCTGCTGTCGGCAGTGACCGTTACATGGCTCCCGAACAGTTTGATCCTGCTGATAATGGCTACTCACCAGCAAAGGCGGACATCTGGGCTATCGGGATTTGCTTGTTGAATGTCTTGTTTTCCCGCAACCCCTTCGCCGTTCCTGCTCTCTCGGATCCGCTTTATGCCGATTTCTTCAACGACAAGCAGTCACTCTTCGACGTCTTTCCTAACATGTCTCAGGACACCTTTGGAGTTCTGACCCACTGCTTGGCTACTGATCCTGCCAAGCGAGACCTCGATCTTGTTAGGGATGCTTTGGAGCGCGTCATCAGCTTCACAACCGATGACGAATCTCTCGATGACTTCTGCACCGAGGATCGTGATGTGGTCCCCGCAACTGCAAACCGCGAGCCGCTTCGCACTCCGTCAGTCTCATCTCCTTTGGTCGACAACGGTTCATTCCCATGGGCCAAGGCTTTGGCAATGACTCCGCCGCAACCCATCCGCCAGCTGTCCGCAATTCCGGATACAGAGTCGTATTCCGAAGACTTGTTCCCAGGCTCTGAGCAATCCAGACGTGATTGGTTCTCCGTTAAGCCTGACACCGCGTCGATTGCTTCCTTCGTTGACTCTGGTCTAGGCTTGTCTCTCAAGTCTATCAACATGCTGCAGCCGGAGACAGTCACTGCCAATCGGTCAAGGGCTATGCCAATCTCCGGATCTCTGCCAGTCTCTTCAGCGAGGCCCATCCCAAGCATGGCCTCAGTCCTCGGCAAGAAAAGAGACTTCGTATCCAAGAGCTGGAGCGACCTGTGGGACGAGGAAGAGGAGCTACAAGCCCAGTCGGAACTAGAGAACTCGGTTGTCGAGGGCAGCTTTCTGGAGAAAGTCTTCAGCAAGAGGAGCAAGGGCGGATTATCTGGGCGATCTACGCCTCGTGCCGGTCTCTCGGAGATGAAGAACCCTGCTACAATCAACAACAGCAGGGACCGGAGCCCGATGCCCCCGCACAAGGTCGACGAGCGCGTCAGCGAGCACACTGGCTTCATCTTCGAGGACCACCACACGGCGCCGCAGCGCTACTCGCCGCCGTCGAAGCGCTCGGTCATCGACAAGTGGGCCGCTCTTGGGGACCGCAGGCGCGGCCAAGCGACGCCGCAGAAGGCTGCTCTCTCCCCAGCGCCAGTCAGCGCGTGGAAGCGGAGCCGGGCGGCTAGCTGGAGGCGCAACATGGGACTCGTGAACCAGAGTCCACAGCATCATTCTACTTTTCATCACGAGAACAAAAGCGGCGTTTGGGAACGGAAATCAGACTGGAGTTCGAGCAAGGACTGGCGCCAGCATCCGAACACGAGCTCGGATTCGGTGGGCGACATTGAGTGGGTTGGGGGTTGGAACGACCCCCACTTGTAGTCTGGCTTTTTCTCTTCTCTGCTGCTGCTGGGGGTCCCCCGGTTTTCTCTTTTTTTTACACTGTGTATGTGTGTCTGTAGCTGTAGGATACCCCCCCACTCTTGTCACCTTTGTTCTTACTCGGGAGGCGGAAACACATACCCGGCCCTACAATAGGGTTTCCGGTTCTGGAGTTCGAGGGATCAGGGAGATATCTATTCTGAATGATGGGGGCTTTGCTGGACACAGGCAGGCATCTTTGGGGGGACACAGCGTAGAATAGAGCAGAGCAGAGTGAAGCCGGACTCGTATCTAGGATTGCTGGATGCCTCCTACGGGAGGTGTCCGAATCGTAGATTTACCCACTCATACTTGGTGTTCTGGCTTTGAGTGACTATCGTTGACTGTCCGTGCTACTGAGCCATCACGCCCTGGCTGCCTTCAATGCCCATCACCACGGTCTCGTCGCCTTATGAGCCTTACGCCGTGCCGCGGATGCTGACGGGAACGGACTCGAGAGTTCATCCCGGATCGAAACAACCCTGCGGACAACCCCAGGGTTTCGATCAGCAGCAGGTCAATTACTGGCCCGCGATAAGACGCGTTTCAAGACCCAAAGCAGGTTTCTTGATCGGCGCGTTTAGTGGATGCAGAGAGTGGGAACAGGGTCATGACGGATTTGATGCTGGGGTGGAACTGGCACGTGATTGATATCAATCTACCAGGGTTCCTGAGAATCAGAACATGAAATCGCACGTCATTTGCAGACCTTTTGCCAGGCTATGAGGTAACGCCAGCGCACATGGGAAACGTGGTGAGTGATTCAGGTCTAGATACCCAGAATGTTACGAAAATGTAAGATAAGGCGGCTTCCAATTGCCACGATGAAAAGATCCATGATTCTTCGCCGGGATGTCGAGCTGTCGTCATCTGTGATCCACTGCGTTTTTCCAAATCTTCGTTCCGAGTCTATGTTTCTGTCACTACCGTGAAACAATTTCAGAAGCCGTAATTGCGTCGTTTGTGGCACTGTAACAGCGTGCTGTCATTGTATTTTCCTGCCTTTTCAAGCGGTGGCGTTGACCAACTGTGCCTGGGTCGTGTTACTAAAAGTATTCCCCTTCATGGCACACCGCATACCAGAGACATCCCGCCCTAGATCAGCCCGTGACTACTTCCTACAGTCATTGTTCCGTATCGTCAGACTGGTCTTCTCTCCCACCCTATTCCGTCTCTGGCTTGCTTTCTTCATCCTGCTCCCCATCTATATCTTCACCAGAGCCATATCCGTCCTCCCTACTGTCCTGGGCAATGTCCTCCTGCTGTTCGACACCGCAGGACGCAGCGAGCTTCGCCGCCAAGCGGACTCCTATCGCCGCAAGGAGGAGCACCAGGCGCGCCAGCAGCTCAATGGCACCTTCAGGTTCCAGCAGGCTCAGCTGGTGAGCGCTAGAAAACATGCGATCAGGCAAGAGGCGAACTGGTACCCGAACATCGAGGACTTTGAGGTATGCGGCGCGCGGGTTAATGTGGTGGTCGAGAGGCCAGTGGAGGGACAGGATACGGGGCAGACGGTTGTGCTGCTGCATGGGGGTCTGGGCTGGAGTTTTACGTGGAGGGGGGTGAGTACTCTATATCGTCCTCATCTCCACCCACTCCCAAAAACAACCTTGCACAACCGAGTTATCATGAAAGGCTAAATTAGACAACAACAGATCATCCCTCTCCTCACCGCCGCCGGCCACACAGTCTACGCCCCCGACCTCCTCGGCCACGGCCTCTCCGACAAGCCCACCTCCCTGCGCACAATCTCCCTCTCACTGCACATGTGCACCCTAATCGCGCTCTTCGAGCACTTCGATCTCCGCTCCGCCACCATCGTCGCCCACGACTGGGGCGGTTGCATCGCCGCCTGCGCCGCGCCGTACCTCCCCACGAGCCCGTCTCCACGGCTGCTGCTCCTGGACTCTTCTATGCCGCTCCGCGCGCAAGACCTCGGTTGGAGTGCCTGGAGCGGGGACCTGCTGCGGTTCCTCGCTACGGGGATATTGGATGCTGCGCTCCCTGTGGGTGTCGTGCTGCGCCTCCTCTCTCCTACAGCGGCTACGGTGGATGTGGTAAAGGGCTATACCGCGCCCTACGCTTCCGGTGGGCCTCGCACCAAGGCCTCGCTGCGCCGCTTCGTCCACCTCCTCCCGCCGCTCCCGGGCAGGCTACTCGCCCTGCGGCATGGGTCTGCGTTTCGTGTCCTTGAAGGGCTGGCTGGGCCGCACGTCTTTACGAACTTGAACGCGCGAGCCGGACTGGCAGAACGGGGGAGGAGCGTTGGGGAGTTCTGGGGCGGGTGTTCGAGGGAGGGGTGGAGGGTGGGTGTTTTGGGTGGGAAGGGGGCGGTAGAGGGGGTGGTGGATAAGAGGGCGCTGTGGGACTCGCCTGGTGGTGGGTTGGTTGATGGGGCTGGGTACTTCGTTGCGGAGAAGGGGGCGGGCAGCGTGGCGGAAGTGGTGGCGAGGTTTCTGGGGGAGACTGAGGGGAGGGCTGTATTGATTGGGGGCTGAATGAAGCCTGAGGGCTTGGGTCACTCTCGCATATGTTTTCTACTTTTACCGTGAGGTACTCTGGCGGCCGGTTGGGCCCCGACGGCCTTTGGAGCTACCGGTCAGCCCGGCAGAAGGGTTGAAGATTCATGCTTCAAAGCAGTCACGGTATTAACAGCGGTCTTTAAGATTCGTATCTAAGTCCAATGCATGTCCCGTACTGTACCTAAGCAGAAGCCTGAGAGTGTTGTGGTACATCAAACCATCCTGGCTTTTCCAACACACAAAGCCGTTAGAATGAGCTCACAGCCATCAGTAGGGCTTAGCTGCCGTTTTCCCCACACATGACAGCGCGCTTTAGCGTGTCTCGCCCTGAAGCTTAGATAAGAGACTGACGTCGTTTCTAGAAACTCCTCGTCGCACTGCGCGCCGCCGCACGAAACCTCTATGGATTACACTCTCCTTAACTTTCTCCTTCCTCCACTGCGCAGTTCAGTCCATTGACATCTCAGTCACGGTCCAATGGCGCCCTCAGCAAACCGCAAGCGCCCAATTGAGGCCGAAACACGAGACCCAAGCGGCACCGAGGCAGATGGCGCATCACGACCCCCAAAAGCACCGCGCTTGTCCCAACCACAGCACCTCAACAAGCAACTCCCCAGTCCCCAGACTTCGCGTGCCCACAATGGCGCCTCTAGCCAACGCAGCATCGCCATCGCCTCCGATGAAGATGAAGACGAGTCAGAAGGCGCAGGCCAAGCAATCGGCCTATCCCAGTCCTACGACGAAAGCACGCTGGCGCGATACATGCTCTACGGAACACTCAACACGAAGATCGTCGGGTGACGATACTACAGCGGCTACGCGACCGTCGGGGAGATGGTGATTCTGAACCGCGAGCCGAACAACCCGTATGATGGCAACGCGATCCAGGTGCAGAACGTGCGGCGCGAGCAGATCGGGCATATCCCCCGACAGGTGGCGGCGAAGCTGGCCAAGTATATGGATAGTCGAGATCTGGTTGTCGAAGGGTTCATTGCTGGCGAGAAGGAGTACTACGATTGTCCGATCTCGCTCAAGCTGTATGGGACGAGTGAGCTGGTGGGGCGCATGGAGCTTGCGAACAAAATGAAGAGCGATAAGCTGCCCCTGGAAGAGCTGAAGGCGAGAGAGAAGGCGGAGAAGGCGAGGATAAAGGAAGCTGCGCTCGCGGCGAAGAGAGCCAAAAAGGGCGTTGCTAGTGTTGGGGCTGGCCAGAGGCCTGTGGCTGAGAATGAGAATCCCCAATGGGCTGCTGGGTTATCTCAGGGAGATGGCATGGGTCCGACTATGGACGATCTCATTTCCGGCAGCGAACGCTTCAACCCTAGGAATGTGGAGCAGATGGTCGAACAGTTCGGAACTAAGGAAGAGGATTTGGCCAACATGCCGATGGCCGAACAGCCGGAAGCTCTGGCTGCAAAGTTACTACCATTCCAGCTACAAGGTTTAAAATGGATGCTTGTTCAAGAAAGTCCTCGACTGCCTCCCGTAGGCTCGAAAGAAGCGGTGCAGCTCTGGACACGTTCTGTCAAGGAGGTCAACACCTTCATTAACCTTGCAACGAGCTTCACGCAGAAGAATGAACCTGAGCTTGCGAGTGGTGGTATACTTGCCGATGACATGGGGCTGGGAAAGACGGTGCAGGTCATATCACTTATGATGGCCGACAGAGCTCTCAAGAAGGAACGCAGTCCCGGTGTAAGCGGTGCTACTCTGATTCTGGCGCCCTTGAGCGTCATGAGCAACTGGAGCAGTCAGATCAAGCGCCATATTCAAGAGAACTCCGCACTACGCGTCATGATCTATCACGGGACGCGGAAACAACCGGTTAATCCTCAGGAGATCGACAAGTACGATGTTGTGATCGCGACTTACGAGACGGTTTCGTCAGAGTACTGGTCGAAGAATCCAGACGGTAAGAAAGAGGTGAATCATGGACTGTTCTCAGTCAAGTGGCGCCGGGTAGTCTTAGACAAAGGCCATAACATTCGAAACCCGACTGCGAAGAGATCAGTCGCAGCGATGCATCTTGAAGCTCAATCCCGATGGGCTCTCACCGGCACACCTATCGTCAACACGCTGAAAGATCTGTACTCACTTGTCAAGTTCCTCCGTCTCACCGGCGGCATCGAGCGCTTCGAAGTCTTCCACGGTGCCATCACTCGCCCAGTCAATCAAGGCGATGAGCGCGGTAACTGGCTCCTGCAGCTCCTGATGAGAAGCATCTGCCTCCGCCGCAAGAAGGAAATGTCCTTCATCGACCTGCGCCTTCCCGAACTCTCCGAATACGTCCACCGCATCAACTTCCTTCCCCATGAGAAAGAGAAGTACGACGCCCTCGAAGCAGAAGCGAAAGGCACGCTCGATACCTACCGCGCCGAGCAAGGCTCCTCAGGCGCCAACGCCGCGAAAGCTTACCGCCACCTCCTCGAGATCCTCTTGCGGCTGCGACAAATGTGCAACCACTGGAAACTCTGCGGAGAGGAGCGTTTCACGGCCCTGACAGCCCTACTCGAGAAACAAAAGACCGTAGATCTTACTCCTGAGAACAAGGCCTCGCTACAGCAGCTGCTCCAGCTCAGCATCGAGTCCCAAGACGACTGCCCCGTATGCCTAGATAACCTAAAAGATCCCGTAATCACATGCTGCGCGCACGTCTTCTGCCACGCCTGCATCGAGCAGGTCATAGAACACCAGCATAAGTGCCCGCTCTGCAGAGCCGAAATCGAGAGCACCGCTGCGCTCGTGCGGCCCGCGAAGGAGATTCCCGACAGCGCCGCCAGCGCTCCCGTGGACGCCAAAGACGGCGACGGAGACGGAGACGAAGGCACCAGCAGCAAGATCCACGCCCTCCTCTCCATCCTGCGCGCGTCGCGGAAACAGAACAAAGGTAACAAGACTGTAGTGTTCAGCCAGTGGACCTCGTTCCTGGATATCATTCAGCAGCACTTGGATGACGAGGGGGTCGGCTACACGCGCATCGATGGCACCATGCCGGCGGCGCGGAGGGACGAGGCTATGGAGCGGCTGGAGCAAGACCCGGGGTGTGAGATTTTGCTTGCGAGTTTGGGAGTTTGTAGTGTGGCGCTTAATCTTGTGGCGGCGAATCAGGTCGTATTGATGGATAGTTGGTGGTATGCTTGCTCCCCCTCCTCTCCTCTTCAACCTCCCCCTCTTCCTTACTTACCTCAATAAACCCCCTCCAAAGATGACGTGCAGCTGGACAAGTTGACTGATTGCGGCAACAGGGCCCCGGCAATCGAAGACCAAGCTATCGACCGCGTCCACCGCCTCGGTCAAACAAAACCGACGACGGTCTTTCGCCTCGTCATGGAAGGCAGCATCGAGGAGACAGTCCTGCGCATCCAGCAGGACAAGCGCAAGCTCATGATGTTGGCGTTTGCGGAGAAGGATGGCGCCGCTGAAGGGGGCGCCGCTGGGAGAAGGGGCCGTGGAAACGCGAGGGGCGCGCGGTTGGCCGATATTGAGAGGTTGTTGGGAGGTGCGGGGAGTGAGGGTGAGCGATGAGAGCATGCGATGGCGTGGGCGTTGGGAGGGTTTCGAGGAGTTTTAGGCGGAGCTAGAGTTTGCTGACGTATTATCAGTGATACCCCAAGGTGAAATGCCGCGTGGCGCGTCACCCACCGATATTACTCTGTACTCTCAGCCTGTTACCTGCCACGAAAGTGGATGATTCCCTTTCTGGCCACAGTTGACAAACCATCATGCCAACGGAGAGAAACTCATCATCCGTCTTTCCACTCACAGATCTTCATACACATCCACAGCAAGGTCATAACACTTACGGCCAAGCTCCCAATGCCCGCAGTGCCTTGAACATCCTTCTTGACCACCAAGTAGGCGACAAGCGGCGTAAGACATATTGTCAAGACACAGATCATGGTCCAAAAAACCGCCACCATGTCCGGACCCTCGATGATGTGTATGCCCCAAGCCATGGGAAGAGGGTCCGAAGACCGGGCAAGAGACTCGTGCATCTTCTTAGGCAGTCGAGCAAGCCAAAAGCCCGGGCCCAGTCCAACCCTCACATCTGCCTTACAGCTCGTGAGGTAGTGTATAAAAGCGGAGCTAGGCATGGGAGGCGGCGGTTTTGGTGGGCAAGGTTGGTAGTGCCATGTCTTTGCATTAAGCTCGTCTTGCGTGGGGAAGCTGTCCCGCTCGCTGTCGAAGATGTGGACCTTCCGTTTCCCTTCTAGAGCGAATGAAACGTACTTTATCTTCACGGGCTTCATTAGGAAATGCTTCTTCACGCGGAACCCGCGGATCTCCCGGTAGCGTTTGCATATGTAGGCGAACATCATGGTATCGCTTGCGATGTGCGTAACTTCGACCTCGCCGAGGGACTGACACGAGTTTCCGGTGTTGATGCATAGCTCCAGGAAGCTCGGAACAGGCCTTGTGCCAGCGGGTGTGCCGCTTGTTTGGTTGTAGGTCCTAGTTGTGGGGGGAGTACCTTGCCCTGCTGGGGTCCCCAAGCCTGGGCCGATATTGCTGTTCCTTAAGTGTGCTTGACTCGGTACGGCAGGCGTCTGCGATGCACCGGTAGCTGACGGAGTTTGTACCTGACCGCTGAGCGCATCTGCAAGCTGAAGGACAGCGCTCGAATCTCCATTGAGAAAATCTCCATAAAGCTCGGCTCCACAGTGCTACTTAGATCAGCGTCAGTCTGATATGATATTGGATAAATGTCTACTCACGCAGTGCCAGGTGAGCCGTATATATCCTTGTTGTACCCGCGGTCGTAAAGCAGTCCTGCAGAAGCTCCTACATGATAAAACTGCTTTCTTATATCCATCGCTGCCGAACGTGAACGCCGCCTTTATACCCTCGGCAGCTTGCCCAAGACTGTGCGACACGGATGCTCCGATTCTGGGCCTTCTACTAATAACAACTGGTGTCCGGGAGCTGACGCTCTCATGCTGGTGGTAAAAAATCCGTGAATCGGTTCGGATAGCCCTTGGCTGTACCCGCTGTCTGATTCCCGAGACAGGATCATCCGGGCTTGTCGCCTGTCCTGAGTCACCACAATAACCCTCAAAATCCGCTACTGATTGCTCTCTGAGTTTTTTGATATTTGATAGTGCTTGCTGAAGTGAGTGTTGAGCACACTGAAGCTTGATCCATGCATTGCGGTCTTTGGCACTTGACAGTGACCGCCATTTCTCCAGTGCCGTCACTATAAGCTGAATGGTGGTCGAAGTCCTTAAAACTAAGGGTTGGACGAAGTCATCTGCACAAAGTATCGAGGTCTTATTAGATGCATATCCTTATGCCGTAGACATCATCCATACCTAGTCCTGCTGGGGGAGCCTGGTTCGCAAAAGAGCGATCAATGAGGTGCATATTATCGCGTAGTTCCCGCAATTCATCGACCAAACGGAGAAGATCCTTGGAGGGGAGGCGAATTGATTCCAGAAATCTTTGGAGTTTATGCGATGCATCATCCAGTTGAATGACACTAGCAGCGATGCCAGTAGTCTTCATGGTGCTGAAGTGGACTCTTGAGTAGAAAGAAGAAATGGACTCGACAAGACTCGGAAACTACGAAAGACTGGGGAGTGAGGCTGTGCCTAGCCCCTGACCTCGGAACGGGCTGAGGGGAAGGCTGGAGAATAGGCAGGCTACGATTGTCAGGCTGATTTATGCATACACCACCTAGCCGCGTTCGCTGGTTAGCATGGTGGCTTCCTGTGCTATGTACAAACCATGCCCTCAATCAATCATTGGTTAAAACGTTGAGAAGACGCCGTAGACGCGCTGTCGACCATTCAGCTCTTCACGCCTTGGACGCGACCTGCAGACTGCCCATCGAATGTAAGTAGATGGTGTACTGTACGTCCGTAACTATGAGCCTGACATGGCCGCCGTGTCTGCCTGATCGGCAAAGATGAGTCCCGCTTGCCAAGACCATCTAATGCGCGCGGTGGGCAGGGCAGCAAGGCTGAACTATACTGGATCTTGGTAAGGAAGGAGCGACAAGAACACTAGCTTAGTGACAACCCCCATTCGCACGGAGGTCAAAGACCATCGTTCCTCAACAAATACTATATACCGCAAAACAAAACACACCAGGGTATGGCCACCTCTCCAGAAACCAATGCGCTCCTAAATCCAACCGTGCAAATAATCATCCCTATACGGCCATGAACGACGGCCCCCTGGCCCATAACCAAACCAGTAACACCCCTCCCCACGACGCGCCTCCTCTTCCAACCCCTTCATCTCTCCCTCCCCCTCTCCCCAAACACCACCCCTGCCTCCCGACAAAACCTCGCCTCCCCAAATCCCTGGCTCCCCACCTCAGACCCCCAACACACAACCAACGCATCCACAATGCCACCCAGAACCCCCTCCATCGCCCCAAGCACCGCCCAGCCAATCGTCGCCGCCACCAAGCCCACCACATACGCGTAAAGACTGCCCTTGACCACCGCGCCCGCGCCACCGGCGTCGGGACCACTGACCCTGAGCGCCCGCGCGGTGTTGACCCAGCCGCCGAAGCCAAGCGCGAAGACCATGACGAGCCGCGTGGCGAGGAGGATCAGTTTCGCGAGGCGGTAGGGGAGGAGCGTCGCGCCTCTCTGCGACGAGAAGGACGCAGGGCCCAGTGTCGTCGTGGGCGAGGTCTTGGAGACGAAGGACATGGTGCCCAGTGCGCGGGCCGCGGTGCTAAGGGGCTGGGAGTGGATAGCTGCGTAGGTGAGGGTGAGGGGGTTTGTTAGCGTCGCGATTGGGGTCGGGATGAGGGAGTAGGCGAGCAGGCTGAGGAGGCCCGCGAGGCGGCGAGGGAGGAGGAGGAGCGGGAGGCGCACGGCGAGGGACAGGAAGGTCGAGAGGCAGATGGTGCCGAAGATTGTGGTCGTTGCGTGGGTGATGGATGCTTGGACGATCATGCGGGAGGAGGGCGCGGGCACGGCGAGCCGGTGGAAGTACCATTGGCTCACAGTCGCGGCGGTCGTGGCGCGGTGCACGCCGGAGGCGACGCTGAGGGTCCAGAGGTAGACGAGCACGAAGACGACGCCGAGCCACCATGTGCTGGTGTCGATGATGAAGGACCGCTTGGCTGAGAAGTGGCCCTCGAGGAAGACGCGGCTGAACATGGTAAGCCAGATCCATGTCCAGAGGATGACTGCTGCAAGTCGCGCGATGCCGACGAACATCAGCGAGGGACTTGTTGCGAGCACTTTGGATGCAAGCTCGAGGATCTCTCCGGCTTTGCTGAACGAGTGTCGCCCGCGCCAGGCGGTATACACCCACAGCAGGGCGAACAATCCAAGTATCAGTGACAGCCACCGGAGAGCCTTGTCTTGGACGCTGTCGCCATGCCATCTGCCTTTGTAGCTTGAGATCAACGGCCACAGCGAAAAGGAAAAGAGGACGATGGGTGCAGAGACAGCTATTAGAAGCATGACAGGTCGCACGTGATACTTGAGCGTCCATAACCAGACCGAACCGACGATGCTCGCAACTAGTGTGTACACGGCCAGGAGATGATACGATGAATGTAGCGTCGTATAGATAGTATCGCCCAGTGGGTTCTTGCTACTCGGCGCCGATGTGTGTAGCAGCACCAGGAAGTAAGTTGCAAATAGCGATGCCACAGCGATCCAAAATAATGCCGCCCACAGTGCATCATGTCGAGGCGGTTCCGGGGCACCAACCTGAACGACAGGCGGCACACTTTCTCGGTCCGGACTGAAAGGCCGCGGGTTCTGTGCTATAGTGTCCGGGTCGGTCTCTCGAGGTATCGGAAGATGCTGCATAGGGCTTCGCGAGATGCCAGGAGGAGTACGAAACTGCTGAAATGCGGGAGGCCGGTCTTCTAGCGGTGATGCGGCATCTCCAAACGCCTCTGCGGGGTCCACCTCTTCCATGCTGTCGCGCGCAGTTGATGCCAGTTCTACATCAACGAGCTTGCCTCTCCCTTTGCTGGCCACCTCACTAGACTCGGACGCGCCTCTACTCCGCTCCCTCTCATCCTTCTCTTGAACCGGCTCCACACCCTTCGTCCTCCCTCTTGTGCTTATTTTCCCGCCTCTCCAAGAACTCTTTATCCCCCTACCGAAGCCCGGCACCGCGTTCTCCAGGACTTCCACACCCCCACTATGATCTATCCCGGAGCCATCCTCTTCAATCTCAGACGACTCCGACAAATTGCCCGCCCCAAACTGCCGTCGTGATCTCTGTAGTGCGTAGTAATCCGCCACCTCGCGCTCGTGTTCCGCTCCATCGTCCTCTTCGCGGAACTCGTCTGTAGCGCTGTAGAACAAAGGCGCGGGCGCAGGCGCATATCTCGAAGCGAATGGTAGCCGTGAAGTTTGCGATGCGCTGGGTTGATACGGACTTGGCATGGTGGGTCTTTGTAGGTATGAGTGAGGCGCTGGAAATCGCGAGGGTCCACCGTTTGCCCTGCGCCGGCGATCTAGAGGGTTTCGTTCTGCGGCCTCTAGGTCTGGTTGGCCGAAGGAGAATCGGGACTGTGATTGTGCGAGGAATTTAGAGGCATCTGTGTTTCAGGAGGCTGTCAGTCACGCGTGAGCGGTTCGAGGACAACTGAGACATCTGCGATCATGTGCTTCGACGAGTGCACGACATAGTATGGATCTTACATTCGGAGAACATGGTGCTTCCAGCACCGGCAAGCCCGCCCCTGTACTGGCCGCCGCTGTGTTGGTGTTCGGAGAAGTTTGCCTCAGTATGGGGCCTAGCGACGAGACTGGTATGTTGGTGGTTGGGGGAGGTGTAAGGAGCGGCGGTGTGATCGGAGCTGGGTGGTCGTTGAAGCCGGGGCGAGTCTATCGAGGTAGCCTCGAAGGATGATTACTGCGCAGACTAGGCAGAGAAGACAGAGAAACCAAAAGGCGGCGTCGCCTTCGAATACGATCTCCTGGACAGTAACTGTGCCTGTATTGGGAGTGAAGCTGGCAGAAACGGTGAGTCCACGAAGTTTGAGGACTGCGGCCAAAGTTGAGTCAGCGGCGAGTCCAGTATTGGTGTTGACTGCTATAGAGATGATAGCGACTGGTCTAGTGTACGGCACTCGGTGGACTCGAGCGGAGTGCTCTGTACCACTTCCGCATGGCCCCAAATCTTACTCCGTAGCCTTGACAGGCGCTGTACTGGGAAGGAAAGGGGGACGATATGCACAGCTTTATCTGGTCGGATCGTAAGAGCGGTTGCTTACCGTCAGGTCTTATCAGTAGTATATAGGCGGAGTTGCGGTGGGTGCCGGAAGCTGCGTTCGTATAAGGATAATTTAGGTGGGAAGCAGCGTGATGTCGGCAGTTTGCAGGTGCAGGTGATGTCGAGTCTGAGAGCTGGAAGGATCGTAGGAGTATGGGGAGGTAGGTGTGGTGGTGATACTCCGTAGTATGGCGGTGATACCGGCTTGTGACTCGGCGGAGGTTGGAAGGCAGCCGTGACAGCGACGAGGATCAGCTTCGGCCCGCAGCCACCGAACCAGCAAGTGCGTCACTGTCAACCAGTTGAGTACTTACCCGAGTACCTGCACGATCGACAACCTCTCACTTCACGAGCTCACCTATTGACCCGTTAGAGATCTATCTATTACAACCTTGAGGCTTAATCCGGACCAGCGCTCTTTTCGGCACGCACAAAGCGCCACTGTATTCGCTGCCCTTTATCCACCTCACTCGTTGAGCGTCCTCCCAAAGCGGCAATCGCGAGCTTCGATACCGCGCATCGAGGCGCGCACTTCTTACAACAGTACATGCAACATATCTGGAACTGAAAGTGAGCACGGAAGTACGGTTCTATACACAGAGCACGCCCCATGTCGCAACCATGGGACTATATAGCGAAAATCGTCTCCCTAGGTGACTCCGGCAGCGGAAAGAGCAGTGTATGCGCCACAGAGCCTATCCGCATATCCCCAACAACCAACGCTAACAGCCTCCAAGCTCACCGTCCGCCTCTGCGAAGGCCGCTTCTCCCCTCACCACGATGTAACCATCGGCGTTGAGTTCGGCTCGCGCATCGTCCCCGTCGGCCCACCCGCCTCCTTAGCCCTCAACATCAACAACCCCTCCAAGTCCGCTTCCGCCTCGAATCCCGACTCCCTACCCCCTCCGCCGACACGGCAGCCGCCGCAGAAGCACATGAAGCTCAGCCTCTGGGACACGGCGGGCCAAGAAACCTACAAGAGCATCACACGGAGCTACTTCCGCGGCGCGAGCGGCGCATTACTCGTCTTCGACATCACGCGACGCTCCACGTTCCTGAACGCGACGAGCTGGCTGCACGACCTGCGGCAGATAGCGGAAGAAGGCATCGTGATTGTCCTCGTGGGCAACAAGTCCGACCTCGCTCCCGCGAGCACGGTGACGGGCGCGGGCCGGGAGGAGCAGAACAAGCGGCAGGTCACTAAGGAGGAGGCGGAGGAGTGGTGTAGGCAAAACAACGTCATGCAGTATGTCGAGACGTCTGCGAAGTCTGGGGAGGGTGTTGAAAGGGCGTTCTTGGAGGTTGCGGAGAGGATATATCAGAATATTGAGGCGGGGAGGTATGATCTGAACGATCGGAGAAGCGGTGTAAAGGGGCCGGGTGCGGGTGGAGGTAATACGGCGAGGACGGTGAATCTGGGGATGAACGATGCCGCTGCGGCCGGGAGGAGAGGGCAAGCTGCTGGTGGGTGCTGTTGATGTGCTGTAACATCGGTTCTGCCTCAGGACGGCGCTCTGAGCTTCAAGGCGTTCTTGAAAGGGAAGATAAGCGCCTGTATATACATATCGGCTCAAAGGCGTTGACTACGTTTGGGTTAGACAAAGTCGCGGCATGTTTTAGTAAGCTGTTACCGTAATATGTAGAGCTTCGAACTGCCAAGGAATTCATGCGAACCAGTCACTAGGGGTGCCGTCCTGAGTTTTCCCTCTTTAGTACGGCATCCAAAAGGGAAATATGGCGTATGCACACCTCGATGACCGTCGGTGGGGTACGCTGCCACAGTCGTTACTATCTGCCCGCTTTGAGCAGTACAAGACGTGCCTTTCGCCAGTGCGAACATGTGCTGCAGATCACCTGTGGCTGCTCAGCTGAAGTGTCTATCCTGGCTGTAAACACCTATCTTCCGGCGGGATGGTGAATGCCATAACCCGGATACAAATATTACCACTCCCGGCTTGACGACCACGCTAGCGGTTCTTGTTAAATCTGGTGGAACACAACTAGCTCTCCTCACCACCACAGAAATGGTAATGGAGATCACCACACGCATGATGTTGATCAGCAACATGTGCTTTATAAAAAGCATCTGGAATTTCGCTTTTGGTTGTGATAGGGCCTATAGGGAGACTCGAAATATATAGAGCTTATAGATAATTCGGAGCCCCCTCTCTAAGCAGTTTCATCTATAGCACCTGCACGCGGCGTTCTACGGCGAGCGATGGGTTGCCAAATTTGGCAGGCGGAAGCGGGCTTCCAAGCAACCTGACCTGATGTAAGAGGTTGCTTTCACCTGCGTAGAAATGATGCGCAATCGTGTCCTTGTCTTATACTCTATTGCAAAGAATCCCGGATTTAGAAAGAAGAAACCGGCGGCGAGTATGCGGCTGCTGAACTTTCGTGAATGATTAACAGGAACAAATCTGACTTTCTATTCACCGCAAACGGTTTGTGGCCTGGCCAACACCCCAGCCTCTCACTGGCTCATCCAGCTACCACGTGGAGAATCCTTTAAGGAACTTTTGCAGAACTCTGAGTGTTGAGAATATGTTCGTAGGTTTGGAGAGACAGTAGCCTGGAAGATGCCCACAAAATTGGACCCGCGCTCAGGAAACAATGTAGGTAAGACGGAAGCACTTGGTCAAGATAGTAGCAGCAGCCATGAAAGCGATACACATGACACCCATAAAAATGCAGGGACCTGCGATGCCTTCAAACTCAGTCGTGCGATTGTTGATGAGTACGGCGCTACGGCGGATGCCCATAGTGACACCTTCTGCTGGCAGTCTAGGAGGAAAGAGCGACAGGTCCAAGTCTTCAATAATGTCGGCGATGATGGGTAGGAGCGATATTGGAAAACCAGGGCGACTCATAGCTGTGTTGCACCACACACGCACCAGTGCTAAGGGATCCGTTGAAGAGACCATGTTATTATAGTGGAAGGGATGTACGGGCAAGTGGCCAACTTATATATGTTGCAGATGCATGGAAGCGCACTTGAGTACGTACTGTTCCACGGTTGAAATTTAGGTCAACCAATCCACAGCTGACGGCTGAGCTGGATACAAGATCGTACGGAGAAGCGGATTGATTATCAGAGCGGAACAACCCTAGGCACAAAGGATGCTACGTGACTATGGAAATCAGCCCCAGAGGTTGAGGTTTGAGGCTGCAGGTGATAGAAGCACGATCAGCCACGTGCGGCTGCGGGCCGCATCGCCAAGCGCTACGAGTACAAGGGCCACCTCAGAGAGAGATGGCTGCGCTCCCTGCTTCCCGCTACGCAGCCCACCACTCAGATCACAGTGCTGGGTCAAAGTAATTCTGTCATCATCTTCATGCAGCAGGGGGCGCACCCAGCCCTCCCTGGGGTGACCCTTGTATGCCTCGGCATCATGAGTCGTGCTTTGCTAAACCTCCTACCTGAGCAAAGTAACGGAGACACCATCTTCGTGTCCCACTGCTAGACGCGCCCTCACAGATGTCCGGCCTCCAGCGCATGCCAGTAATCGCTGGCGTCGCCGGCATTGGCACCTCTGTTGCTGTACTGTCATCCATTCCCTCGGTCCGCCAACGCTTGTCCTCACTTCTCGGGCTCTCTGCGCCTGGTGGAATATGGCGCGTCCTCGCGATCCTCTTTGCGCTCCTTAACTTGAAGAGCTTACCGTTTGTGTGGCACGTACGTATATGCCTTCACCCGTCCCCCTGCTCTACCTCCTCGCCGTATCCACTACCAGAAGACTCAACACTTACGCCAGCCCTCTTCAGATCCGCCTCTTCCGCGCCCTAACCTACCAGCTCTACCTAAACCCCCATCCCATAACTCCCTCCTCCCTCTTCCGCCCTATAATAACCTCAACCCGCACCCCCCTCCTCGAATGCGATTACAACCTGCACAAGTCCAACTCGACCTACTTCTCCGACCTCGACATCTCACGCTCCCACTTCGCCTCCACGCTCCTGCGCAGCGGAATCCGACAGCTGGGCCGCAGACCGCAAGCAACGCAGAGCACCGCCGCGCCGATCAATGGTGGTGGTGGTGGTGCACCAGGCGGCGCCGAAGCGCTGCCCCCACCCCCAGCAAACGGACGTTTCGCGATAGCGCTAGGAGGGATCACATGCCACTTCCGGCGGGAAATCGCGCCGTACCAGAAATTCGAGATTCATACGCGGCTGCTGTGCTGGGATCGCAAGTGGCTATACCTAGTCTCTCATCTTGTGAAGCCGGGGGTCGCGCGGCCGACGAGCTATGCGCTGCAGCCATGGAAGAAGGGGAAGGCGGTTAAGGCGGAGGAAGAGGAGGCGTATCGGGAGAAGTTGAAGGGGGCGGTGTTTGCGAGCAGTATTGCCAAGTATGTGGTTAAGAAGGGACGGTTGACGATACCGCCGGAGGACGTGTTGAGGCGGAATGGGCTGCTTCCGCCGAGACCTGGTGAACCAGCCTCTACATCTTCGTCTTCTGAGGAGGACGTGACCCCGGAACAAGGTGAAACAACCTCAAATGGGGCACCACCAGAAATGATCGATGCCTTGGACTCAGATGACAGCGATAGCGATACAGAGTGGACATGGGAGAAGGTTGAGGCGGAGAGGGTAAGGGGAATGAAGCTCGCGGAGTTGTTTGCGGGATTGGACGGGTTGCACGAGGAGTTCACCGGCGGAAGGGACGGTGTACTTGGTGAGTATCCGGATCTGCTGTGGTAGAATGCGGAGCGGGAATTCGCCCCCTGTACAAGATTCTACGATAAGAGCAGCCCTGTGTATAGAGAGAAGAGAGAATCAGCTTGGCCGTAGAAGCTTGGCGCTTAGATAGATTAGAGACCCGGAGCATACAGCCTGCTGTCTATGTTGTCAACATCATTATCAACCATCTCTGAATCGAGTATATCTGCACTAGATACACCCGCCGTTCACATCTGTTCAGGTTCCCCCAACGCGATCTCCAGCCTGTCACCCCTTTTTCTTCCCCTTCGTCTTGTCAGCAAAGTCCACCCAATTCCTATTAACACCCCTCTTCTCCAATGCCTTGATCACCGCATCCTTCTGTGGGCCCTGCACCGAGACTTCCATGACCGGATTCTTTGGGCTACTTCCCACCAGCTTATCCACGCTCGTACTGCTGGCGCACGCCTTCCTCAGCTCATCGGCCAGCGGCTGCGGTGGGATGAAGTAGGCTTCCAACCCGCTAACCCGCGTCATCGTCTTGTTGCCTGCACGGGTCTCGAGCGTGATGTGAATCTTCGGCGGTGCGCCTGCCTTGGGCTTGGCAGTTGCTACAGTCTCGTTATTACGGAGTATGGCGTAGAAGGGCGCGCATGACTGGATAATGCGGTCGATAAGCGCGTCACGGGGCACGCTGCCCTTGGCCAGAACTTCCTCGTCAATCGGAGCGGAGTTGTCAAATACCGCATTCGCTAGGATAGGGTTCAAGGTTACGAGGCGCTTGTTGGTAGGGGATACGAGGTTCTCGATTTCGATGTAGGTGGTCACGATTGGCCGTAGTTCTGCTGCTGTGAACAGCCCTCGGGGGTCCGCGCCCGCTGCGCTGAATATAGGAGACAATCTCTCCTTTGGCCGGAAAAGCTCAACTCTCTTGAGCTTCTGGCCAACAGAGGAATCAGCGGTATCGCTGATGACAGTAGCTTTCTCGCCGCGACCCAGACTGGTGCCTGCCGCTGTTTCCTTCTTTGGCAATCGGTAAGGCGTGAAGTTGACGATATGGCGGTCGTCAAAATCGATGTCAACAATTGTGACCTCGTTTCCGTCTCGGTCTTTGGACTTGATGATCTTCTCCTTGTCCAAAGACTTAATAAACTTTTTGATGTTCTTCCAGCTAGTCTTCTTGATCTGTAGCTGATTGGCTTGTGCTGGCGTGAATGCTGGCAAGAATGGTTGCACGAGATTCGACATTACAAATGATTGATTCAATGGAAATTGGAGCCCGAAGTTCGGCTGGTCCTTATTGGTGTCCTTGTAGTGATAGCATCCATAGAGAAAGGCTTTCCGGAAGGCGCTGTCAATTTCTGCATACAGTATAAGCAAAGGACTCTGTCTGCGATACGCCCGTCTTACCTGCTGTAGTCATCTCTTTGGCATCGGCATCCGCAAGTTCCTCTTCAACTGCAGGTCTATCTCCATCATCTGCACCTTCGGCCTTCGGCGAGCCCTCTTCGCGCACTTTACTGTCTGGCTCCAGTGAGACACCACCATCTTCCTCGTCTTCGACCGTCATAGTCTTCACACCTGCCGCCAGCTCTTCCCCTTCCCGCTCCGAGTCTTGCCATCCGTCGAGACGGGTTGGAGGTAAGCCGCCAGGAACGCCGGAGGGGCTCCATGCCCACAACTCATCGCCGTGCCAGTGTATCGTCTCAACCGCGTGGCCCTTAGCGCCTTGTACTTGCTGCAGCCCGGCGACATCAATGGCACACGATCCGATGACCAGCGGCACTGTCGGGTTCTCGGTGCTTGCGATGGCTACGACAGCACCTTTCTTGGCCTCCTCCGGGAAGGGTGGACCTCCAGCGAGACCAGGTGTCATTAATGCAGAGCCACCAAAGAGCTTCGGCATGACTGGAGGGTGCGTGTGCAGCAGCGGGACAATGCCGGGATTCTGCCAGAGCGTGTAGACAGTCGGATACATCTTCTCCTCGAGCTTGATCCATAGGACCCGCTGCTCCTCTCCATCGTGGCTGCCTACGTACACGGTTCCTGACACCGGTTTCAGGTTTGGGCCAGCAGTCGTTTGGAATCGTGCGGACTGGGTATTGTCTGGGAGAAGAGCATTTCGCAGCGAGGTATGACCAGCCGCCGCGGCTGCCTTCCCCTCCGCATCAGCATCATCGTCGACTGGTATCTGGAGCCCAAAGTCCGAAATAATTTGGTCTGCTGTCTTGCGGCGGTCTGAGGAGCGCAACGGAGCCAGTGGCTTGATCTGTTCTCGAGTAAGATATGATTTCTGGATCCCCGATCAAGGAGCTCCCACGTTTGGCTTCTTCTTGAACATTACGGAAGGTAATGTAGTAAGTGTCTGCTGGATTAGTGGAATGCCGAATAGTTGTCTGAAGCGGGCAATGATATGTGCTCGGGGGAAGTGGTGGATGACGTGCAGATGTCGACCTATCGATAACAGTTGAAGACGCGAGTCAAGCACGCCAAGCCATCCAAAGCCACTCGTGGCAAGCACATGGGGAGCGCAAGCTCTACCTAGATAAGAGGGACTGCATTTGCTGCCACGGACAATCAGCTTACCCCTAGAAGCAGTCGATTCCTGACTCAGAATACGCATGGCGGGCTCATTCAAGGTACCGCGTCTTCCCAATGCATTTTGATCAGGTGAGCGCTAGAGTTACGCCATACGGTACCTTGGTTAGGAGAGTGGATCAGGAAGAGGATGTGAGATGTAAGAGAAGAACTAGATGGACGCTTCTTGATTGAGCCGCGGTCCATTGCGCGAAGTACAGAGTGGCTTTCGAAAGATCAGTTGCTAGGTAGCAAGTGAGTGGATTGATGTTAACAGCTCTCGCGTCAATGTAACGCGTCAATGTAACTGTGGTTCAATGAACCGCTTCACTATCTTGATATCAGCTAGTCGAAGCCCATACATCCTATGCTTGTTGCAAACTTCCGTCGTACACGATTGAGAATATCTCTTACGGCTCCCACCAAGCCCTGCGTCAATCTCCCAGCATCCTTCGTAACCTTGCCAAAGCCCCGTAGATACCTTGGCCTACTATCACTGCTATCGTCAGTTACATGCGGTGAGATACATGTTTGCAAAGAACTTTGGTATACAGAGCTCAGGTCGTCATGCGGCGCATGAACAACGGAAACCGGATTTTCAGCAACGCTGCTGAGTTCAGGAACGATGGAGGCAGGGAACCGAAGATGCAGTCCCGCCATCTGTGATCGAAGTGGACAATTGAGAGGGCGAACGACACTGTCAACACTCTAGGGAACAAAGCTGAGTCATTCGTGCTCGAAGGAGGGTGGCGAGAGTTTAAATTCCATGTTGTCGTGACAAGCTTGGGCAGGGCGGGCGTCTGCTACTTTTGGGCCTTTGGAATTCTCATGGACTTTACACTCCAAGTGTCTGCATGGAACGTTCTTCAGATATCCGCTTCGTGCAATCATGGTCTTCTTCCGCGTTTAATAATAGCTTGCTCGAACTCGACTCAGAACCTCGTCCCATGGTCGAAGCTAGCATGAACCATGGCTGGGAGGTAATCGAGAACATAGCCACGTTGTGTGCCACGGTCCACCCCAACCTTGAAGCTCAAGGCAGCAATATACTCTGTGTATATGATCACAGCCCGCTGAGCATTTCTTCCTAAGAAGAGAAAACTCTGCGACACAAGGTACGACATCAAGCAACCAGCAAAGCACCTCAGTCTCAACAAAGATCTACCTGGTGAATCCGCACATTTCAGTATGGCGCCTTTCCACCAGACCGGCTCGTTCATCATCTACTGTTCATCCATCCGCTAACACGAGACCGAGTTTAGACAGTTATGCCATCCACAGAATCCCAAGGGAGCAGGCCAACAAGGCCAAGGCCCCAATGACCCACCCCGACGTACACCTCCACCGCCGTAAGTGCGACACAAGTAGGGCTCAGCAGAGTATACTAACTATCAATCGGTAGATGCACGAAACGGAGCACAAACCCATCGACGAAGCACTCGACGAGATCAACGTGAGACTGGGTCTTATAAGCGAGGATGTGAAAGCGATCAATGAGGATATGAAAGGGATCAACGAGGATGTGAAGTCGATAAGCGATAACGTGAAAGACCTTCATGCTGCATTCGCACCGATCCATGAGATGATAACGACGATTAACGTTGAGTTGAACAGAAGGTCAAGGAGGGATTCAGGAGTGGTTACAGATTGATCGCCGAGAATGCTGCGCACTTGCGCTAATATACGGGGACTGTAAGAACGAAAGGAGTGATTGCAAGGAGCTGTGTCCCCATAGCCTTTGACTGGGAGGCGGAAGAGGGGGCTTGTTTGGTGTTAAAAACTTGTAGTGCTTGTTCTCACCCCGGCCCTGTGCGAACTATGATCCACTCATAACGACCATCTCTTAAGAGTGGATACCTAGGCTGCAATGCTACTTATGAAATCGTGCTCGTAGACTTCTTACCGCGGTTGAGACTACCATGAATAAGGAATTGGCTAAGACCACAGCCACGCCCCTTAAGACTTGCATTACTTCCACTTTCGCCGCTCTGCCCGCTCAAAGACATCCACAGCGATATAATTCACACTCCGGTCAGCCTCACTAGCCACCGCAGCCTCGAGAGTGACTTAGTACATAAACCTACAAGGAGCCATAAGGATGTCCTGTCATGACAGCAACCCATTGGTAGCCCATCCACTCATCCCCTCGCTGACTTCGCAACGTAACTCTAGATAGCCATGCCGCCTGCACAAGCGAAGGCAAACAGACCGACAGCAGCACGAAAGCCCCAAGGGCCCACCTCCGCAGGCGAGGATTCCGACGTAGGTGAGCCACCACCAAACCTATTATCTTCAAACCAAGTCTCATCAGACCCTCGAGATGATATGGCACGCGCTGGAAAGAATGGAAGCTTCATAGACAGATCGAGTGAGTAGCATCATGGAAAAGTTGGACAAGTCTGTCGAGTCTATCGACGAATGCAACTTATCACTTGACGGCATGAACGACTCACTCGGCCGTATCGACGACCCATTCGACCGCATGAACGCCTCACTCGACAGCATGAATGACTCACTCAAGAGATTGAGTGAGAGATGGGACCAGAGAGAGGCGCAGATGGAGGCTTTCTTTGCGAGCGACAACGGGGAGGACCGGTTTGTACGCCGGGGAGACCTTCATGAGGTTCTCTCTGGCTTGAAGGAGGGCCACCTAGCCAAGGTCGCTGCTGCCGCGATCGAGTCGAACAGGGACGGGATGGATTCGGAAGATGATCAGCACCTCAATAACGAGGATGCTTCGACTGGATAAGATGAGGGGAGTATTGTAGTGTGAGGTGGTCGTAAAGTTTCCTTACCGCCGTCGAAAACGGTTTAGCCTCAGGGGCAATCTGCCGCCATCGAAAGCTTGTCTTCAGCCCTGTGCTTTAGCGTTGTGCCGATCTCTCGAAAAACCTCATGGGAGACGATGAACACACCCAGAATGCTGCCTCCCGTCCGGTGTGCACTTTTGTTGTATCCTGCTCATCCTGCGAGATGACACAGATAACACCAATACATCGCACACGATGCTACCTTTCCTCTCCTCCACCCACTCCCTCCGCAACCTCATCGGGGGTATCGTAATCCTGTACATCGTGATCTCCTCCTACCACCTCACAAAGACATGGCGACACCCCACCCGCCCAGACCTCACGTTCAAGCAAGACAGCAGCATCGACTGCGCCCCCTTCCCCTCCCCTCCCAACCTCGTCCTATCCGTCAAGACCGGAGCCACCGAAGCCTACGACAAGCTCCCAACCCAACTCCTCACCACTCTCCGCTGCGCCCCCTCCCCCCTCATCTTCTCTGACCTCGAGCAACACCTCGGCCCTCACCACCTCGTCGACGTCCTCGCCTCCCTCCCGCCCTCCATCACCGACAACAACACCGACTTCGACATCTACTTCAAACAGAAGGAGTACGCCTCCGCCCACCGCGACATCCGCCCCCTATCCACCCTCCCCGACGCCCGCGCCGACTGGCGCACCGCCGGCCACAACGCGGCCTGGGCGCTCGACAAGTACAAGTTCCTGCCGATGGTCATGGCGGCGTGGCAATCTTCGCCTGATCAGGACTGGTACCTCTTCACCGAGACGGACAGCTATATCTCGTGGGCCAATCTTGGACGCATGCTGGGGCAGTACGACCCGGCGACGATGCTGTATCTTGGCAACCCCGTGCGCTTGAGCGCTGAGGTGCCGGAGAGGGCGTTCTATATGGCGCATGGCGGGAGTGGGATTCTGCTTTCGGGAGCGGCGGTGAGGGGGTTTGCTAAGGCTTTCGGTGATGAGCGTATCGCGGAAAGGTGGCACGCTAGAGCTAAAGACATGTGGTATGGGGATTTTGTGCTCGCGGCTTTTTTGGACGAGGAGCTGGATCTGCAGATCACGCCTGCGTGGCCGATGATGAGTCGCGAGACGCCGCGCACGGCTGTGTATGGTAGGGAGACGTGGTGTGAGCCGGTTGTGGTGCTGCATCATGTGCGGCCGGAGGAGGTTAGTGGGGTGTGGGATTTTGAGGTGTCGCGGTGGAACGACGGGGTGCGGGAGGCGCCGCTCTTGCACGAGGGGCTTTTCAAGGCGTTTGTGGCGAGTGAGGACCTGGGAGCCAGAAGAGACGACTGGGACAATATGAGCGGGGAGCGGAGGTTTGCGGTCCCGCTGCCGCCGTCTGCCAATACGTCGGCCACGGAACCGGACCCGGTCACTTCGGTCGAGGCTTGTGGGGAAGCGTGTGAGATCCAGGAAGAATGTCTCCAATACACGTTCGTCGCAGTCAACACGACTGACATTGGGACGTGCTGGCTTAGCAGCGTCATAAGGATAGGCGAGGCGAAGCCAGCTGAGCCGGTTCAGGACAGAGCGGAGATCAGATCGTGGCACAGTGGATGGATCGACAGGAGGATCAAGCGCTGGGTTTCCGAGCAGAGTTGCGATGGGGTGCCGTTGAGTTGGAAAGGCGAGTTGCCTCCGCAGTGATCAGCCACAACCTGCGCGAGGAATTAGAAGAGCGATATCTTCTGGGTCATTGGAGTTTGGAGGCGTACAAGATACCCCTAAGACTTTTGATCTATGCGCGAATTGCATCTTTATAAGATCTGATGCAACTGTCGACATATTCGAACTTGAATGTTTGCCGACCGTTCACGAATGCTTGAAGTGTTGTACTCGACGGATCTAGCCTTATTCTCCGCCACCAGCTAGGAACTCCGCGACCTCAAATCCAACACTCCTCCCCAAACCCGTCACAAAATCCCATCCAAAATTGACCCTCCACTTACAACTCGCATCCAGCGCATCACCTCCTCCGACGCCGCTTCTAAGCAACAGTCTCAAGCTCGCTAGCGTCGCAATCTGGGTATAGATATCCGCGCTCTGCGGAACAGCATGCGGCACAATCGCCCTGAAGATCGCCAGCAGCCGCTCGAGCGGAAAGGGCGAGGGCGTGAGCAAGTGGCGGGGTATCTTGCGGTTCTTTGAACGAGAGAGTGCAGTACCTCCACCGCGTTTGCGGCGTCGCTTGTCGGTGGCTTTCATGAAGTAGATGGGGTCCTGACGGGCGGGGTTGTAAGAGGCTAAATAGGCGGCGCAGAGGAGGTATTTGGAGTAGTAAGGTAGGTCATGCGTGGTATTCTTTGCTGCGCTTCTGGCGGTGGCTGTCGACACGGGATCTTTGGGGATGATGCTATCAAGCAGGGCGGCTTCGCTCTGGAAGAGTGTCCGTCGGTGGACCATTAGGCGGGAGAAGTCACGAGTGCCGAAAGTGCCGTCGACGATGGGCTGGACGAACGGGCGCCATAGCTTTAAGGCTACGGAGCGGAAGGATACGATATCGCGGGCGGCGCCTTTGGCAAGGGAGTCCCAGACCACGCCCAAGAAGCGCGTCCATAACCAGGCATTGTCCTCGGCCGCGAGGTCGTCGGTGTATTCGGCAGACGGAGAGGGCAGCTCGAGGAAGATGGAAGGTGGATCGGTGGAGAGGATGCGGATGGCTTGATCGCGGGTATAGGGCGCGAAGAAGATATGGGGGACGCCCGGGCTATGGAGAAGGCGCGGAGAAGGGACTTGTATGATGAAGATGATGCTGAGATTGGGTATCTAGACGCCAGATGTCAGGTGGTTTGCCAGCCCATGGCGATGTTTGCGGCACGTACAACCTCCCCGAAGCGCGCCAATGCTGGAAGCAAGGTGGGCGGTGCTTCGCGCTGGCGGTCTATGCCATCAAACACTAGGACGAAACGACCTGCGCCTTCCAGCAGGCGATGTAGGTGCACAGCTAGCGCGCTGATGTTCTCAGTCCTGCTGTGTAGGGGCGCATTCAGCTCTCCGTCGCCAAAGTTCTGCAAGGCATCGACGGCCGACGCAGTCCGCTCTAACAGATGTCGTCCAGTTATGCATTCTCGTGAGTCGACGATCGCATGCGGGATTCTGCTGCTCTTGAGAAAATCCTTGATGATTGAGCTTTTGCCTGTGGCTTCGAGGCCGTGAGCCACGACTGCGGACGGGCTTGGGAGGGATGGCTGTTGTTGATCAGCATTATATGCGGTGCTTTGGGAGGAGACGGCAACGCACTGCGTACAGGGCGGCAAGCTGCCGCAATTGGAGCTCGCGGCATGGATACTGATCGTTCAGGATGGTCAGTAACTCGTCCGGAAGCATGGTGATATTGGTCTCTGTAGTTGATGATGTTATTGAAGCATTCCGAGTTGAATGAATGCGCCGCTCGTGACTTCGCGAAGACGCGATCTACAGCCTCACGCGTACTTAGTCATCCAAAATTTTGAGGGCACATCAACCTTTCCTCACCACCAAGCCTTGAACAACCATATCATGAACCAGTCAACGCTTCCTGTCAATAGTGCCGAAGTCACTGTATGGACTGCGCAGGATGTTACAGATCGCTTCGCCCTGCAACCATCCAATGGCCGGCTTGTGCCTCTGAAGACCAGAGGCGAGATTAGGGCGAGCCACGAGACGAGTATGCAATACCGTCTGATCAGGAGTATACAGCAGTACGGCTAGGACGTCAACACTAACTCTGACTCGTTCCTTAGTCGATGTCTATGTAGTAGACATACCGGCTAGATCGGCTAATGCTATGCTAAAGTAACGTGCGGCCTACATGATATGACCACCACTTCCCGCTCACTCGGTATAGCGTCCTCAAGACCGCCATCGAAGACCTAAGCGCCATCGACCTCCAGCATCTTCGCCGGGTCGTCAAGCGAGAATACCTACCCTTGCATCTTCAATGCTCCGACAATGCTTCCTCGATCGCGGCCACTCTCACTAAGCCCACCGAAACTCGCTCTCTCCTGATATCGGCGACCTCTCAAATCTCGCTTGCAGAACTGGAAGCCATCTTATCATCGAACCCACCCTTTCTGGATAACGTCTTCCCCCTCAAAGTCAAGATCGTTCCAGTCCCAGCACTAGCCCCCATCTCCGCCGCCCAAGCCGATCAATGGAGCAAAGAGTACTGGCCCACAGCTTACAAACACACCAACCCCTTCGGCCCGCATCCCAGCATCGTCAGCCGCGCCCAGGCCGAAGTAGAGCCCAGTGCCGGAACATGGCTCGCGCTGGCCGACAAGCTTGCCGAGGAGGCCGCGCTAGGCATGGGTGAGCAAGCTGGATGCGTGATTTTGGAGAGGAGAAGCGAGGCTGAGGGAGGTGCGAGGGTTGTTGCGGCTGCTGGTGATGGACGCTGGTACGGCGTCGACGAGTCCGAGAACGAGGGACCGGGAAATGTGATGGCGCACTCGGCGCTCCGCGCTATTGGCATGGTTGCAAAGAAGCGTCTCCGGAGTGCGGAATTACAGCGTAGCGAGCAGGGCCTCGAGAGGGAAACCGTCCAGACCGTTTACCGACGCTCTGGTTCGGAGTGCTTCGATCCAACCAAAAACGAGGACATATTCTACGATGAGGCGGTCCTTGGGCTCCCCATTGAACAGGAGATAGCCGCGTCAGACAACCTGACACCGAACGGCTATCTTTGCGTAGACTTGGAGATTTACCTCACCGCTGAGCCGTGCGTCATGTGCTGCATGGCCATACTGCACTCCCGGTTTGGCCGTGTAGTGTTCAGAGACAGGATGCCATTGACTGGTGGTATGACAGCTGATGTTAGTACCGATAACACGCATAGTGTCAGAGCAGATCAGGAGGCAAACAAACAGAATAAAGAGTCGGGAGTTGAGAGTCTAGGATACGGCCTCTTCTGGCGGCCTGCGGAGCTCAACTGGAAGATGCTAGCCTGGCAATGGCTCGCCGAAGATGATACTGCGAACCAGATGGAGCAAACCATACATATTTAGTTACGAGTTTCGAGGCTTACCTCATATAAAGGTTTCTCGACATCTTTTTCGTATATGCAAAATCTGATTGGAACCTAGCTTGCGACTGAGATCATACCGCTGCTAGAGCTGTTGATAGCTTGGACCCTGAATCTGCACCCCGCAATGAGGGGCTGCATCACCGCGGGGCAACCTGCAGCTCAATTGAATCCAGTCCACCTGCACAGCTGCGTAGTTTTATGACGAACCACTTGAACAGCTGTTTGTTCTAGTCAATCTCCTCGAACGCTACTCAGTTGCTTCTTCGAATTCCTACCCAGGCTCGCACCCATTCGTACCAACGAAGTCTCCCGCCAATAGAATAGCAAAGCAAAGCCCACCATGGTCTACACAATCGTCGTCCACTTCCGCGCCAAAGACGAGCCGGGAGCAATTGAGAAGCTGACGAAGAAGCTGCAAGAGGCGAGCCAGGTATACAGCCAGGACAAAGAGACAATCTCATGGTAAATCTTTCTCCTGTGCTTTCCATCCCTCAGACGGGTCATTCCCGGTAAAGTACCATAAACACATCATAGCTCCTCTGTTAACATACCCTTCTCCTCCTCCAACAGGTTCATAATGCGCGACCACCGCGACCCCCGCGCCTTCACTATCGTCGAGCGCTACGACAACGAGGACGTAAGTCTCAAACTTGCACATACTCCTTCGAAATCCCCCCACCAACGTTCTTCCCCCACAGAGCCAGAAATACCACCTCGAAAACCCCTACTGGAAGACCTTCGATCCGTACGTCAAGCCCCTGCTGGACGGCGACATGGACCTGCGGCGCTATCACGAGATCGATACGAGTGAGAAGGTGACGGTTGAGGATGAGAAGTTTCTGGAGGAGACGGTGAAGGGGTATCAGAGGGATTGTAAGGGTGCGTAGAGAGTTGCGGTGTGTACGAGGGTATATAGGATCGGGATTGTATGGAGGATGTAGTCTTAGGGAAGTGGTCTTGTGTACATAGATTTGGAAAGGTACTGGCTGAGTGTTGGAGGTTGTGCAAAAGTAGGGACTTTTGATTGGTTGGTCGTCGGTCTTTTGGGAATGGTGTCAAGTTCGTCGATCGGAACACGGCTGAGATCATGTTTTACATGCGCTTAAGGTGGAAAGAGTTCGGCTGCAGACATAGGCGGCTTCATTGAGCTTTAGCGCAAGTGTATCAGCTACAAATCTCGATGCAGGAGGGCCTCGGTGGGTCAATTATTGAAAGCGAACTCATCATCAGTATTAGTTTACCCCTGCAGCTTGCAATTGATATCACCAAGCCAACTCAACAATCCTCGCACCTACTCCAGCCAGCACTTTCGTGCCCCTGTCCAGCGTTTCCACAATCCTCAGGCATTTGATCTGATGCGGTTCCGCGCGGTTCCCCTGCACCTCCGGCACGCCCGCGACCCTCTTGCCGGACTGCAGCGAGTACAGTTGTATGCGTCCATTGTCCTCCGCGGCAGCGACAAGGCCTACCTCCGCGTTGACGTCGAAGCCGAGAGGGTACCGGTACTTGTTCGAGTACTCGAAACGAAGAAGAGGTGCTGTGGGTGGCATCTTGGGCTTTTGTCGGTCACGTTTGCCTTTGCCCGATTGGCCCGGCTGAGGCGCTTCAGGCTCCCGCGACATGCGGAGATCGTACATGCAGAGCGCATCTGGGAAGCCGCACACCACGAGCCGCGTTTCATCGTCGGCGCGGCGAAGCCCAGTGACCACGCCGTTGTGCCGAAGCCGCAGGGCGCTTCCTCCACTTCGCATGTCGTACAGCATAACACTTGCATTGCGAAGACCGGCGGCCAGGAGATTAGGACTTAGCCAGTCCAAAGCCAGAACGTCGCTTTTCGTCTCGGCGGTTTTACTACCGGTCCAGTCAAAATGTGCGTGGCGGGAATCGGGATACATGGTCGTAACTCCTTCCGACGATCCGAATGCGAAGGGCATCCGACTACCATGCCATGGGTTTACCGCAGCTGTAAAAATGGTGGTGTGGATCTCCGTTTGAAACCTTATGGACTCAGCGAACCTAGGTTCATGCGTGCCATCGACCGCTTGTAGGCGGGTGAGATATATTTCAGGGTTTCCTGAAGAACCTGATGATGTTGTAAGGAGCGTGTGATGCGCCTGGGACAGCGAGACGGAGGTGATGTCGGACCGGAATCGATCAATCAAGCTAACGGAGCAGGTATCTAAGGAGATGGATGACGGCGATGAAGCACGTGACGTGGGCCGTTGCTCGGTCGCTTCCTCGGCCATCCATAGCTCCATCTGGTGCCTGATCGCGGATATTTCTTCTTGGGAGCGCACTGGATACCGTCAGCAGTCTGTAGAAAAACAAAAATAGCGACCGTTAAAGTAGCGAAGGCTCACTATCATCCTGCAGAAGGTATTTGCGATTAACCTTGCATTCCGGACGTATGTAACTCAGGCTGGACGGAGTAGGAGCGGCTCCTGGCAAACCCTGTTAGCCTCGTGGAGAAACACAAAAATGGCATGGCCGCGATAGGAAAATCCGGAGAAACTGATTCGTGGTAGAGTTTCTTGTAAGAACGCGCTAAGTGAGGCATGAATCCCCGAACTGCCGCACTAAGTGGCAGCAACCAAGAGCAATCTCTGTTAAAACAAGACAGGGCTACCTATGTCAAACACTAACAGGTATAACAAGGAAAGGAGGTCGACACCATGCAGGGCTTATGCCTGGGTGTCAGAGCTACAGGGAAACTTACTGTGTTGTGGGGGTTCAACGGCGAAGAACAGCCCCTGAGTGTCAGGATCGTAGTCGAAGAACGTAAGATTGTCTCTTCCAAGCAAGGCTGTATTCGGTGCCGGGTAAAGCGATCGGCTCTCAAAGCAGACATACGTCTCAACCCCAGCAGCATAAGCCTGTGTTTGGACATCACGTCTTGGGCCAGGTGTCTGGTGCCCAGTTTCTCTTTCGGCGACTATTCCTGCGAGTGGATGGTGCAAGACCCGATTGCGCTGAACAAGCTGCTGTCTTTGAGTTGCCGCGATGTCTGCCGAACGTTTCCGTTTCTGTTTGTCATGTCAGTATATCGCAAAGTATTTTGGAATCCAAGAGACCGCTACGAATGGTGCTATTTCCCGTGACATAGTGATAAAAGCTAGGAAAGTGATATGTAACAACTATTGGGAACGAACTGCCTCAGAACCCGACAGGGCTCACTTGGAAGAGTTGATAGTCGACATGACTTGAACGGCGCGCGGCTCTTTGGCAACTTTGCATTGCAGGAGCGGAAGGCACCGCTCAGACTTAGGGAACCAAGCAGAAACCTACCCTGCTCTCTTCCTCCGTCTTCTTGACGTTCTCACGCGAGTACTTGGCTCCAGCAGGAGCGACATGGTTTGCCTGGATCTTGAAGTACTTCTTGCGGTCAGGATCTTGTGCTGCATCAGGAAGTGGCTACTTGAAGGAAGAACAGAGCTTGCTCACCGTAGTAGAAGCCCGGGATGTGTCGCGGCTCCATGTTCGGACAAGCCGGATGGGTATCTCTGGCTTACACCTGTCAAACCTGCCAAAGCACAGAAAGGGAGGATACGGTATCCGGTGGTTTCACTCTCTGCAAGGATTTATAAAAGTCGGAGGGTTGATTCATGGATGTCTTCAGGCCGACTGTGGCTTGCTGTAGGGCTGATATCGATAAAGATGGAATTCTCCACGATGACGAAACAATCAACATCCGAGGATGGGTGGATGGGTGGATGGGTGGATGGGTAAAGTTGATGCCCGCTGCGACACCACCATGTCATCGCCACCCAGTATAACATACTCTCGTCCTCTACTACAGACTTTCTTCTTAAAAACCTCTCTCAACGGTATCGGCGCGAGTTGATACCCATTGCAACCACCTCTAGTCTTATATGCTCTCACGAGCCCTCCTCCACCGCCCCCAAGCCCCCCGCGCCCGCCTCGCCCAAATGGCCGCCCAAATTAGCAATGGCACCCCCAACGGTAGCAATTCCGGCTACACCCTCCGCGACCTCCCCAAATCCAACGTCTTCACCACCAACCTTCCCCCCGACCCCGCCTTCCCGACCCCCGAAAAGTCCCACGCGGCACCACGCAACGCGCTGGGCCCGCGCCTGGTAAAGAACGCGCTTTACACCTTCGTCCGGCCCGAGCCGACCAAAGACCCCGAGCTCCTGGCCGTCAGCCCCGCCGCGGTGCGCGACCTGCACCTCAAGCCGGATATTGAGAACGATCCTGACTTTCTCGCCACCGTGTCCGGGAACAAGATCATCAGCTGGGACCTCGAGAGCGACGAGGGGATTTATCCGTGGGCGCAATGTTACGGCGGGTACCAGTTTGGACAATGGGCGGGCCAGCTCGGCGACGGGAGGGCCATCTCGCTGTTCGAGACGACGCCGGATCCGAAGACGGGGGTGAGGTATGAGCTCCAGCTTAAGGGCGCGGGAAAGACGCCGTACTCGCGCTTTGCGGACGGGAAGGCTGTGCTGAGGAGCTCGATCCGCGAGTTTGTGGTGAGCGAGCATCTCAATGCGCTGGGTATACCGTCTACGCGGGCGCTGTCACTGGTGCTGGCGCCCAAGGCGAGGGTGATGCGCGAGCGCATCGAGCCGGGGGCTATTGTGTGCCGCTTCGCGCAGAGCTGGATCAGACTCGGGACGTTTGACCTGCCGCGGTCGAGGGGCGACCGTAAGACGCTGCGGCATCTGAGCACCTATGTCGCCGAGCACGTGTTTCAGGGGTGGGAGAGCCTGCCCGGCGCGTTTGATGCGGAGAGCCCGCTTGAAGTCTCGCGCGGCATCCCCAAGGACGAGATCATTGGCGAGGGCAAGGACGCCCAGAATAGATTCAGCCGCCTCTACCGCGAAGTCTGCCGGCGCAACGCCAAAACTGTTGCTGCGTGGCAGGCATATGGTTTCATGAATGGCGTGCTGAATACTGACAACACCTCGATCTTCGGGCTGAGCATCGACTTCGGCCCGTTCGCGTTCATGGACGCGTTTGACCCGACGTACACGCCTAATCACGATGATCACATGCTGCGGTACAGCTACCGCAACCAGCCGACCATCATATGGTGGAATCTCGTACGGCTGGGTGAGGCGCTTGGTGAGCTCATCGGTGCAGGCGCGAAGTGCGATGATGAGACGTTCGTGCATGAGGGTGTCCAGAAAGACTACGTTGATGAGTTGGTGGCAAGGGCGGAGAACCTCATCGAGAAGGCTGGAGAGGAATTCAAGACTGTATTCATGGCGGAATACAAGCGGCTGATGACGAAGAGGTTCGGGCTCAGGGAGTTCAAGGAGAGCGATTTCGATGCGCTGTACTCGGAGTGGCTAGACACGCTGCAGGCGCATGAGTTGGACTTCAACCATTCGTTCAGGAGGTTGGGAAGCGTCAAGCTCGAGGAGATAGACACCGACGAGAAGAGGAAAGAAGTTGCTGGTCGGTTCTTCCATCAGCTCGGGGTCGAGGGAGGCGAAGATAAGGCGAGAGAGCGGATCGCGAAGTGGCTTGAGAAATGGCGTGCGAGAGCGCTCGAAGACTGGGGTGAGGGCAACGATGAAGAAAGGGCGGAAGCGATGAGAAAGGTTAATCCGAACGTAAGTGCACAATCTGGTACGCGTGTTGTTGCTCGATGCTAACCATCCTATGTGCAGTTCGTGGCGCGCTCATGGATCCTGGACGAGTTGATCCAGCGTGTGGAACACAAGGGCGAGCGCGATATCTTGAAGGACATCATGAAGATGGCCTTGAATCCTTTTGAAGAAGAGTGGGGATGGAACAAGGACGAGGAGGAACGGTTCTGCGGCGACGTGCCAAAAAGCTGTGGCCTGATGCAGTGCAGCTGTAGCTCGTAAACGACGCCGGCTGGCGAAGACATGTTGGCAAGGAAAGATAGTGGTGCTCAAGGCTTCCGTAATGTGATCTAGTCAATGCAACATAGCTGAGTCGCGCTTGGGGATTGAGTGCGTTCTGAGATGCTCATGGTGTTCACTTAGGATACTTGCTTAGCTTCTAGGGCTTGTGCCATCATCGACTCTTAAACTGCTGCCATTTTTGACCGACCTAGCGATGCACGTGCAAATGCTACATGATAGACCCAAATTGACCAGACTAGCTTTAGTAGCTGTTAACGCCGGCTAACGCCATCGGAACCCTAATGCCGCGGTAGGTCTCGGCCTTCAGGATCCGGCACTACCCGCTGTTGATACACGAAATGTTATTGCAGGAGCGACGGAGTTCTCTCGGCGTAGCTTGCATCGCTTAGACAGGCAGGTTAAACTTTTTGCCTTGTAGCACCCTGCAAGACATTGTTTAGCAGTCCTAGCTGGAACGGCCCGTACGTTTAAACTCACTTGGTATAGTAGATATAGAAGAAATCTGAGTACAGCACCGTCTGTATGATCCCCGCAACCACCGCAATCGGATCAAAGTGGCCGTCCGAGAAGTAACGGTATATCCAGTTCGGGATATACAGCGCCCTGTACGCCCCTAGTGCGAAGAGATAGTGAGTCGTAATCGTCTCTGCCTCGCCGGTCCGCTGTAGCATGAAGAGCTGTGGGAGGATGGCGACCGATTCTAGCCATATTGAGAAGGCCCATAGGATCTGGTAAAGGCTTGTCAGCCTAACCTACTGTGATGGCGCCGCCGTGAATCTTCAATTGTGCTTGATTTAATCGCCTACCTCGCTGAATGTGTATTTGTACGGGAAGAGTATCGCCAGCACTGCGCTTGCGCCTAGCAAGTATTGCACCTTGAACGTGTCCAGATTCGGGTCATGCGTGGGCTTGTAGTCGTTCAGCATTAGGTATACTGTGTACGCGGAGGAAGCTATGAAGACGATCTTGAAGGTGGTGTTGTAGAGGTTCTGAGGCAGATAGAAGGTCCAGAAGAGGTCGAGGTAGCGAGTCACGTAGACAAGGAGGTAGAGGAATTGCGATTTGAACGATATGCCGGATGCGCTCTGGAAGGGCGTCAGTCGTTGTAAAACGGCGGGGCGGGGAGGATGAAGCGCGTCCAAGGGAGGCATACATTCGAGCTTTTCATCTTCTGGAGGAGTATCAAGATTGATATTAGGTGGGAGAGATCTCCTATGAATCGCGCAAGTCAGCCTCTGGAGCTTTATTCCAAGAAGTCTCGCGGGATTGAGACATGGTTGTGCTCCCCTGACATACCCAGTATCCTGAAGATGTTCATTTTCTGTGAGTGCTGTGACGTGCTGTCAGTGAGTGTCGGCCAGCGATTGATGCGCTCCAATCGAACAACACTCGGTTGAGAAGACACGAAGCAACTTTTGAGACGAAGAACTTGGTCCGTGCGCGGGAGCTCGAAAATGGCAAGCCTTGCATGCCGCCCGGCGCAGCCAAGTGCGGCGCCTCGCTCAGCTACCGCGAAGTTGTCCCTTCATCCCGAAGATGCCTGTTGAGGAGTTGCTTCCATGCCTCCAATCTGTGGACTCGCCTCCTTCGAGGCACGTTGATTGGGACTCTACAAATCATTCTCAGCTGCTCCATATGGGGGATCTCCGCTAGCGAAATTGCCAAGCGCCATTCGTTACCACTTGAAGTAGCCTCAGCTGTACTGCCGGTTCGGCGTACGGGCAGGTTAGGACTAATGAGTCTGGAGTCCAAGGATGACTCGTGGCGTGGCGTGGATTGGGTTAAGTAGAGAACTCGCTGCTCCCTCAACTCTCCATCTCTAGCATCGAGCTACTTCTGCTTCCCGTTTGTATCCCTGGACAAGTGTTATTGAGTCCGCGCCTCAAAGTCAGTGTGGTTGTTTTCTATCGTGCGGTTGCACGTTGTGCTCTTGTCGTAATCAGAATGGTGCTTCCTGGATGGAAAGACATTCTTCGACCAATCCGTGATGGCTGGAGAGATAGACAACCCCAGAGGCCGACCACTCCTCCGGCAGAGCGACGAAGAAGGCAGCGTCAGGATGCATTGAGAGGCTTCGTGTATCTTGAAGACTTCGACCAGCTTGAGGCCTGGAAGCCAGACGAGGCAGACCCTATCCAGCGGGCCAATACCCCCCTGCTACCACGCCATCCTCGACAACTAAATGAGGATGCCAACGACAATAAGGCTAATGTCCTCCTGTGCCACGACTACGCAGGCAACTACCAACCCTACGAAGCGTCCCAAGGGGCTGAAGTTACGGCTGAGAGCTACTCATGCGAATACATGCAATTCGTGGATACCTTCATCTACTTTTCGCATAAGCTCGTGTGTGTGCCGCCTCCCTCGTGGACAAATGCTCTCCGTCGGAACGGGGTCAAGGTCCTAGGGACTTTTATCGTCGAACCGCAAACGCCAGGACTAGCCAATCTCCTCAAGCGAACCTCTAGCTCCACAGCCGAGAAGGGCGAGGATGGCTTCGCTTTCGCGCGCCAGCTTGCTGCCATCGCAGACGTGTACGGTTTCGATGGATGGCTCATCAATCTTGAGAAAGCTTTTCCGAAGGGCAGCTGGGATATGTTCAGCTTGCTGGGGTTCCTGAAGCAACTGAAAGCGGACCTAGGCAACGGCAAGCAAGTCATCTGGTGAGTACTTCACCGTATCTGACATCATTCATTTCCATGCTAGAGTCATGCTGCTGTCAACCAAAGTAATCAATAAAGTGTCTGTTGACCGTTCACTGTCCATGTCTTGCGATTGTACATGATGTAGTCTTTATTTATCCTAAAAGCGACGTTCAAAACCCGCCACTAACGCATCTCCAGGTATGATGCTTTGACCTCCGACAACAAGGTTGACTATCAGAACAGCCTGTCTCTCCAAAACTCGTCGCTTGCAGAAGCTGCAGGCTCAATACTAACAAACTACAAGTGGACTCTGGATGAGGTTCAAAAGACGAAGCTGTTAGCTGTACAGAAACAGATACCCCTCAGCAACATCTACTTTGGTATCGACGTCTGGGCGCAAAACTCAAGAAACGACGGCCCCGCACGAGTCACCTACCCGCCCAAGAGCGGCGGCGGTACCAACACTGGTGTCGCCGTTGCCGCGCTTGCCGCTGAGGGTCTGCAAGCGGGCATCTTCGCGCCTGCGTGGCCGTTCGAGCATTGCCCCTCATGTGCCAAAGCCATTCAGCGGTCCATGTGGACCGGCGACCGGTTACCGGAGGAGCTGGATTGTGGATGTGGGAAAGAGAGACCCCACCATACCACGGAGTACATGCAAAACCCCATCACCAAGTTTGCGAGGGAACATCCGGCTGGTTCGGATAGGTTTCTCTATACAAACTTCAGCCGCGCGTTCACGCGACGCGTCGAACAGCTTGACCGATCCCACGCTAGACTAAAATCCCAACTAGCGGCTCAGTCTGTGTTGCCGCACCTCTTACGGCTAGACCAAAGGGCTCAAAGGTCTACTGAGACGGAAGCGCTGTATGGAGAGCTCCATGACGGACCCTTACCACAGGCCTCGTACAAATCGCCGGGGTCTCGACTGGTCGTCTTCAGGAAAAGCGTCGCCGTGCCTAGTGCAATTATCTGCGATGATTGGGCCACACGGTGGCTACCACTTTTTAAGCTTGACATGCCCGCCGACGGATCCTTGAAAATGAAGATCACATTCCGGAAGCTTCACTCCAACGTTTACTTGTCCGGGGGCATCTACTGGCTCTACAAAGACGGCACCCGGCGCAAGTTTACTATGGGCACCATGGCCGATGTCCAGTCGCAAATTATCATCATCAACAAGGTCGACGGCGAAAACACGCAGCATGAAGCACGCCTGGTTGGAATCGGTGTATGGATCAGTGGGCCGCGAGTAGCAAACGCCATGCCGGAGGCCGTGCTGGAGATCATGGAGATCGCCATCACCGTCGTCGATGCCCCGCAGCCATCTCAAGGGATACAAAACATCCGCTGGAAGCATCGTGGCGACGGAGATACGCGCCATCGTAGGCTGTTATGGGAAATCAGCTCCCTGCAGACCGCTAAAGACTCTGCCGCGGCCGTCGCTCTTGGAGTACCTTACAGCAGCACCACAGGACCCTTTGCTCACTTCATAGTGGAAGTGGATGGGATGTGCGTTGGACGGGCATATGCAACGGAGTTCGTGTTGTCTGATGCGCTAAGCGAACGCCTAGAGACGGATGCGGGCATGAGCGTGCGGATTATAGGGGTAGGCTTTGCGGGCGAGAAGGTCGAGAGCCATGCTGTGAATGTTGGAGGAGCGGAAGATGATAATTGGGATATGGTGTCAGGGCTGGAGAAGGCGAAGCTTGGTTGACACGCTCACTGAACGGCTAGAAAGCTGGGAGGGCAGAAGCAGTTTAGATGCAAAATGCTTCTACCGGATAGGTTTCTCAATGCTCAACGTTTCCAGCATATGTCGTGAGGGGACAACGACTGGAACAGCACGTATTGGCAGATTCGGTCTGCATGCTACCTACAAGCGCTCTTGCGGCGAAGGACTGTCTGATGCCATAGAGCCATTGCAATAGCCAACAGAACATGTGCCAAATGTTTGCGAGCCCACCTCCGTCCAAAGGCACACTGCTGAGGTCAAGCGGAGCTTCGGGGAAGCTTCCCGACCACCGAAGCTTTCTGCACGTCGCCCACGTCACGAGCTCCCACGCTTCACCTTCATCGTCTCCTTCGCTCCGTCTCTTTCTCCACAACACTGCTGTTTCACTTCGGTTTGCACGCTTGACGCGTGACCTGATCGCATCATGGCCGACCTGCAGGAGCTCTTCGCTCGTCTGAAGAGCCCATCGAATCCTGCAAACGCGCCACCCGCGAGCTCCAACGACCAGCAGCTTCACGGCTTGCAGCCATCCGTCTCCTCCCCAATCTTCTCGCCTTCACCAGCCGGTCCACAGCCTCATCATTCATCCGCCATCTTGAGCCCGAACACTTCTGTGCCAAACACGCCGGCGGTCGAGATGGATCGATCAGCGAACCTGCTCAACCTGCTCCGCTTCAACTCCAACGCAGGAGCTTCCGCTTCTCAGGATGCTGGCGTTTCTGGCGAGCGTCGTCCTTCGGCCAGCTTGTTCGGACCTTCCACACTCGATGTTGCTGGACATGGTCGCGCCGTGTCAGCTTCGGATCTGGTAGCTTCGTTCATGCGCAAGCCGCCTTCATCGGCCGCTATGCAGTCACCGCCACCGATCGCCTCGCCCACACCGAACAAGCCTGAGAACAGCGGGCCAACTAAATCATCCACTGCTGAAAATCCCCAGGACCTTCTTCTCCGGTTGCTCAACCAAGCGAAGCCTCCTCAGAGTGCCAGTGCCACAGTGAAGCCACAAGACCAGCCGATTCCTTCAGTCGGGAATCAATTGCCAGAGACCGCCGTGGATGACCTATCCCAAGACCTTGCCGACGCCAAAATAGAGAAGGTTGACTCTAACCCAAATGCAAGACAGCCGTCGCCAGTCCGTCTCTTCGGCCAAGACGACCCAGAGTCAGGCACCACCTTCACTCCACCACCGCCGCCCGCCGCAAGCAAGAAGTCAATGTTTACCTATGTGAATCCATTCGAGCAGTTGTCTGCATCTTCGCCTCGCAATCGCACGCCGCAACCCGAGCCTCGCTCCAACAATGCTACACCCAAGATGGAAATACTGAAGCATGAACGAGCTGCATCCCCTAGTCTCGGTGACGCGCAGAGCGGCAACTTGCCAGCATCCAAAGCCCGAAAGCTTGGCCCAGGCTCGCCCCGACACTCGGCTGTTCCGGGAGGTTTTGCTGAAAATGCACCTCGCGGATCAGTGCCCGAAGCTTTGAGCGATGTTGGTGAACAAGTCAACAGAGAGCTGGAAGAAGCTCTTGCTAAGGTCGACTTGAACACCAAGGACCAGGCCAACTTCGAGGCTGACAAGACGGTTGCAGCTGAAGACGCTAAAGAGGCCCAAGAGGCTGTCATTGAAGCGGCCAAAGAGATCAAAGAAGAGCTCAAGAACGAAGAGACCCGCAAAGTGATCGAGGAAGGCATGCCTAAGCCCATGGCCAAGGCATTCGAGCAAACCATTGAGGATGTGGCGCAAGCGGATGTCGCCGACAGCTGGGAGAGCGCGGATGCCGAGGACAGTCCCGCTAAGGACGAGGAGGCCGTTGTTCGGGTCTACAACTTCCCCATGAAGCCTTTTGTCTCCATCGACGTCAAGCTGCAAGATCGAGCTCCCGGTTTACGCCCAGACTCTGTCATGGAGATCGCCCGTGCTAAGAAAGAGTTCGACCAGATCGACCGAAACCTCATCACCGCCACGAAGAACTTCATTGTCTACGCATTGCCCAAACATGGAGGCCTCCGCATCATCAGCCAGGACTCCGGCAACTTCAAGCATCTCTTCCAATCCACTAAAGAGCGTGTCTTCAACGTGTCCATCTGCAGTCCGGCCCCCGGCTCTTCGAATGCCGAATACGAGTCAATCGTGGCCACCGGTGTCAACGGATCCGTTTTCTGGGCTCCAGTCTCGCCTTCGAGAGGTGACACCTTCCGCGAGGATGACATTGAGGGAGCGGGTTTTATCTTCCCGCCGGTCCCAGCAACCGACGACAACATGTCAGGTGGAATGCTCAAGACGCGGGCCAAGCGGAGCTCTCGTCACCCAGAATACTTCGCTATCGGTCGTGGGAAATCAATCTACCTCATCTGGGCGAAGGTAGCTAGCTCGGCCGAGTACACTGACCAGCAAAGCCGTGTTTGCAACAGCGAGAAGTACCTCCAGCACCGTGAGCTGAAGGTCAACGTAGGCAAGGGTTGCAAAGACTTTGCATTCAGCGAGGATGACAGCGCTATCGTTACCCTGGACAAATCCGCCACGCTCAAGTTCTGGGATGTCCGTGTCTTCCAAACTCCGTCGTTCGGCAACCCCTCCGGACCGCTTACACCTGTTGAGATACGCCAGCCGCTGATGACCATCCCTCTGACATCCATCTCCGACAAATCATGGCCTACATCCGTCTTCTTCATCGACAAGGAGCGACAGTATACAAGAGGCGTCGCCCTGCGCTACTTGCTGGTCGGCCTGAAGCAGAACCACACTCTTCAGCTATGGGATCTCGCTCTTGGCAAGCCAGTTCAGGAGATCAATTTCCCGCACGAGAAGGAGTCAGATGCCATCTGCAGTGTTGTTTATCATCCTGGAACCGGTGTGATTGCCGTGGGACATCCGACGCGGAATTCTATTTACTTCATCCATCTATCCGCGCCCAAGTACAATCTTCATCAGATGTCTCAAGTCAGATATCTCACGCGCCTTGCCGACAAAGATCCCTCTATTCAAAAACCGGACTCAACCGCCATTATGAGCGGTGTCCGCGAGGTGTCCTTCGCCTCCAAGGGCGAGCTGCGTAGTCTGGATATTCTCAACAGTCCATCCTCGGATTTGGCGCCCGCATATGACAAGGGAGATGAGCCGCTGTTTGAACTGTATGTTATGCACTCTAAGGGCATGACATGCCTCGCCATCAAGAAAGAGGATCTTGGTTGGGGAGAGGGCAACAGGGTGCTACATCCAGTCGACGGTGAAGCGAAGGGCGACATTTCGGTCAGCCCGCTTCGCGCCGGTCCTCCTGCTCCCGTACCGACGCCAAGCGAGCCATCGATCAGCGGAGAGGCAGCTCCGAGTTCGTTGAAGGCTACTGCGCGCGATACTATCAAGAAGGAGAGCGCCAGTACAGCTCGCGCAACACGGACTCAGACTCCCGAAGCGGGAATGATCGCGTCGACCCTGGCTAGGGTTGAGGGTAAGCAGGATGCGGCTCGCGCTGCTGTTATCAATGGATCAGACAAGGCGGAGAAGAAAAAGAAGAACAAATCAAGCGATACAGCGTCTCAAGCGCCGTCCGTGGCTCCGACTGCTAGTCTGCCGGCCATCACCCCCACGTCTTATGCTGCTGCGGCTCAGCGCGCCAAGTCACCCGCCCCGCAACCCTCGCCGGCAATTGCAGCCCCCACTTCTGCAGCACCAGCCACGCTGGCGGCCACTGCTCCTCAGACCGCAACGGCGGCCACTCCAGAATGGGCTACTCGTCTCATGGAACAGTTTCAGCAGCCGAGACCTATCCCGCTCGGCAACGGCGTCAACACGGCTGATCTCAAGAGGATTGAAGAAGGCATTGCTGCTCAATTCTCGAAGACGTTCACCAAAGAGCTTGACACGTTGTACCGTCGCATCGACGACGACAAGCGTGTACAGGATGCCGCTGGCGCCGCAAAGCAGGATGCAGTCTTGCGTCTGGTCTCCAGTACTTTAACCGACAATGTTGAGAAGAGCTTGACCCGCATCGTCACGGCTAGCATTCAGGACGTAGTCATGCCTCAGCTAGCCGAGATCGTTACCTCGTCCCTAAATCGCCAGGTGGTTGAGACTATCACAGCTGCCTTGAAGCATGCGGTCCCGCGGGAAATTAAGGCGGCTTTGCCTTCAGCTATCAATCAGGCCATGCATGAGCCAGAAGTTCTCCGTATCATCGCTGATCTGGTCTCTAACAAAGTCGCCGCCCAAGTCGACGCGCACCTTGCCAATGCGCTCCGGACTACCATAACCCCAGCTTTTACCAACCTGGCTGTCAATTCTGCTCAGCAGATGGCCGCCGAGGTCGAGCGCCGCGTGAGTGAGCAGCTCCGCCAATTTGAAGCTCAGCAACGCAGCGACAACGGCAAGATTGAGCAGTTGACCAATCTCGTGCGCGGCTTGTCGGAGACCGTGCATGCAATGGCTGCTGCCCAGGGAGAGTTCCAGCATGAGATTCTCAAATTGCAGACACAAGGCGGACACTCACGTGAAAGCTCGACTCGGTCCGCAGCAGCTCCTACCGCAACACCGGCGCCGCCAAAGTCGCCGATTGATATAGAAACCGAGAACATCACAAACCTGATTAAGGAAGGACGGTTCGAAGAAGGCACTATTATCGTAAGTCTTTGGTTTGACCTCTACTGGAGTTTAGATTAACGAAACACAGTGGCTACAATCCCCCTTCCAAGCCGAGCTCTTCGACCGCATCTTCGTGCATTGCCAGCCCACCTACGTGCAGCAGCTCTCCCCGCTCGTCGGCCTGTCCGTCGCCGCAGCCGTGACTGCAACCCTCGAAACCCACGTCGCCGAGCGCCTCCTCTGGGTCGACACCGTCTTCTCAGCCATCAACCTCAAGGACCAGGAGATCATCGAGCTCGCACCGAAGATCATGGCTGTCTTGGCCTCAAGGCTGCAGGAGGCGTATATGCTTATCTCGGAGAAGAATGGCACGGATCCGGCGATTCCGGCGCTGTTGAAGAAGATCTCGAAACTTTATAGGAGGGCTAACGAGATGAAGAATATGATCGCTGGATGAGTCCGGTGGTTGTGTAGCATTCGTTTGCTTGCGTCTATGGCTGTTCTCTGTGACAAGGGGCAGCGTGCTCAAGCTCAACGACTTCTTGCGAACGCTCTCTCACCAGGCTGGAACACGTTTGTGTGAAAAGCGCTCTGCGAAGCCCACGAGCTCTTCGATACTAGACTGGGATTTCCGCCTTCTTTCTGTATTTTTGCTTTCCCACCCTGCACTTGCGCGCTCGACGCAACGTGGAAGGGCTTGTCTTCTTCAAAAGCTTCTTGCAGCGAAGCTCTGACACTCATTGCGGTCTTTACCGCTTATGACGATCCTGGTTTGAGGGTTGTGCTACCGTGCTATCAAGCTGAAAATGCTTGCTATGTTCAGTGGCACTACCACAGGGCTTTGATCTGAGCGTGGCGCATAGCGATGCGAGATCAAACGGCTGTGCATTCATGGTTGCATCCGCGAGCGATCTTTTGGGATGGGTTGTACATTATGACAAAAGTTTCGTAGATTCTAATCAAGTGGGGGTTTTTCAGACCAATACAGTATCTCTCTTACGATGTGTTTACCGTCGGAAAGAACCACCTGAGTGTGCTACCTGCTGGCCTTGTAACGACACGACTCGTTGTGGGTAGTTCAAAGTTGAGGCTGCAGTTCAGATGCTTAATAGAAGCGTGATCGCAGATTCAACTCACTCCGCAACTCTGGGTTGGTCAGCCACGTTGCCAGGAACAGTGTTCCCTAGCTGGCACATGTTGGATCCTCTCAAAGCGGGTTCTCTGGGGCACTGATAGAAAGGCACAACGGTGCAAGACCGGCTCCGCACGCCGTATCTGCAACTTCCCGTCTGCCTCCTGAATTCAGCTCCTCTAGACCGCTAAGCAATCCACACCTCAAGCAGGCCTCCTCCCCAAGCATATCAAAAACGGAAACCCCCTCTCCCTCCCCTCCTCCTCCACAAACTTCTCAAGCACAAACGCCCGCTCCACCTTGACATCCTCAAACCCAGCCTCCCCGATCAGCCTCTCCATCTCCTCGCTCTTGATCCCATGCCGCTCAACCCCCTCCCTCTTCTCCTCCGGATGGAAGTAGACAGCCTCGGGCCCCGTGTCCTCGAAATCCGTCAGCGCGACCCGTCCGCCCGGCTTCAAGCACCCGAACACGGTTTTCAGCACCGCAGCCATATCGGGAATGTGATGCAGCGTCAGATGGCTAACGACCAGATCAAAGCGCGCGGGGCGCTCGACGCGGCCTTGGCGCGCCAGCGCCGCGGCTTCTTGCAGGAGGAAGTCGTCCGGGTCGGCGAGGAGGACGTTCACGGCTGCGATGTTGGCGGCGGAGGAAGCGGAGGCGGAGGTTGCGGGGAAGCGGGAGGCGGCCTTGGAGGCGAAGACGTCGATCATGCCCGCTGCTGTGTCGACGCCGATTAGGCTGCGGATGTGCGGGTGGAGGGAGAAGGAGAGGAGGCCGGTGCCGCAGCCGATTTCGAGCACGTCGAGGCCTGTGCGGGTGGGTGTTAACTGGTGCAGCAGGAAGAGGGGAGGAGAGGGGGGTAGGGGAGGGGATGTTGTACCATCTTCGCGCGGGTTCTTGGTGTTGAGGCCAGGGATGCGCTCTAGGAGGGACTTGTAGGCCAGCGCACTGGACTGCACAGTTACAGGATTGCTGTCCCAGGCGGCCGCTTCGGCGTTGAAGCGGGCTTGACTTGCGTTTGCCATGGATTTGTGCTTTTCAAGCTTAGAGAGAGCTGCTTATTTAGTATCAACCGGCTTCTTCGGCTCGCTATGGCTGTTCTCAGGATAATTCCCCCCAGTGGTATTGCGGTCAGGGTTGCTCTCTCGGGATACTGGGGGTACGCCAACTACCTGTCGCAATGAAGAACGCAATGTAAAGGACGGCGCCGAGAGCGGGTTGACGAATTGGTTGTGCCATCGTGATTACTTGAAGTTCAAGCTTGGTTTGTAGTTTCGGACGTGAGGGTTCGCTGACATCCCCGCCCCCCTGCCGGCAAGGCCGAGCTGGGTATGCCGAACGGCTGGCTCAAGCTTCGGAGGATTTTAACGTCGTGCTTGGGAGAATTTTGAGCTATTCATCTCCATTCATCAACCTGAAGGTACAGGACAATCGACGAACGAGCACAAATACAAGCCCGAGTACGCTATGAACGCCGGTAACCATGCGATAAAATGAAACACAAGCATCAATAGAGCAGAACGAACGCTATCACCGACGACCCCCAGCTACTCCCCCTCTATAGCATTGGCCGAGTCCTTCCTGCATTTCTTAGGGAGAGCCATAGGCTTCAACTTCCGTTCCAAGCGTTTCTCCAGCATTAAGACTTTATTGATGAGCATTGTCATCTTATCGAGCTTCTCTTCATCATGTTCCGAACAGAAGTCCCTGCAATTGGCGATGACTTCCTTCGCCCTCCGAGCGTATCTCGGGTACGCCTCCGTCTTAATGGCGGCAATATCGCTGCGGCGGCCTTTGTCATCCCAGTTGCCAATCACGCGATGGATGAAGTCCTTGAGGACGCCATGCACCTCCTCCAAGTCGCCGATCAGATAATCGTAGTGAATCTTTTCGGCCGTTATTCTGTGCGTCCACTCGAGCCCGGATGTTGGCGCTGAGGGAGAAGTTGGCTGGTCGCAGATGCTGGCTGACTCTACAGACATCTTGATAGTTGAGAGGGAGGCGAAAGAGAGTGTGTATAGTAGGTTGGAGCTTGGCGATCTGAGCGCGGAGTGGTGCACGAGAGAGATATAGTAAGCTGGGGTATAGGTGATTGAGTGATTTGATCGCGTTGCTGGAGACAGGAGCCTCTGAGGTAAGGATACTTTTGTTTTGCTTCAAGCTTGAGTGTTGGATAGACTGATGTGTGACAAGACTGACTTTCAGAACGATTCACTGAGGATACCACGAAGCAGTGTATATGCAACATTGAACACGATTCTAATCAACCTGTACCGAACAAAATCTCTATTTTGTCTGAGCGAAAGTAAACTAAACCGCTATGAGGCTTGTGGAGAGCTCAGTATGTTGACCTCTAGTTTGATTTTCGACAGTTGTTCCACTGGTTCTCATCCGTTGGTTCGGTGCTGCACTTCCATCGTTTGGGCAGGCCATCTCTACTCCACCTCGTCTTACTATCGCACTCAGCTCAGCCAAGAGGTTTCGAACACCGAAGGCTTCATGTTATTCATCGAGGTTAAAGCATTCAGCACCGAGGCCATGGGTAAATGTCGAATCTGGCTTGATGGTTGCGGAGAACTCACCGCTATCATTGCGGTTTTCGACGTCCACGTTTGGTGGTCCAGCAGGGGACCGGCCCACGGTACGCGAAAGTTCAACTTAGAGCACGATTCGCAAACCCTTCCATGGCGATCTTCAAATCGGAACTCGAGCTTGCTTGATCCTACTATAGGATGGCTGCAGGCTCGCGTTTACCGCTGCTCGATCAGGACCAGTGCAGGCGTCGCTTTCTTAGTACGAGCAGCCCGAGCGATGGCAATTTACCGGCAACAAGTGCATGTATCAGCCCTTGAAATATTTGCTGTTTCGGTTTTATCGTAGTACTGCATCTGGAAGCAGCCAATATTCCCAATCTCCAGTAAGATAAGGATGATCCGCTGTCAGATGGTGCAGATGCTGCTTGCTCAAGACTTGCGCAATCCGAAAACCCTTCCGTTGCACGTCTGTCATAACGTCGATAATTTACGCACGTGGGCTTCACAATTTACCGCATGCTACGTATCACGGTCTTCAAAACACTTCGGCGGTAACTCTACTCCCGTACCAGTTTGACAGCTCATCGCCGTCTTCCTCCTCTTGGGCGGCCGCAAAAAAGTCAGTCATCTTCATCCCCTCATCGTCTCCCTCGACCGGCCACTCGACCTTCAAGCTCCCGCCTTTGGCCTCAAGTAGCTCTTTCGCTGTGCCCCAGCTGAAACGACACTCATTCCCCCATCCAAACACTGGGTCCATGTTCTTCTTGAGCCAGGTCGTACACCTCGCATCAGACGGATATCCACTTCCCCACCCCTCCGCCGCCACATCACCCTCGCTGTATGATTCATAGCACACCTCGAGCGCCGCATCTCTCGTGACCTTCGCACAAACCGAAGCTGCCGACACGCACGGGTAGAGCGAATCCGCTTTCTTAGCCACTGTGATCTTGATAGCAGGGAATATGCGTTCGAGTTTCTTCTGATACGCTGCTGGCTGCCCGATTGTGTCGATGTATATCTCCTTGACATTGACGCCCCGCGCAAATACACCCTTGATCAAGTCGACCGTCGCGTCCATGGCCTGCGCATTGAGGTTGTAGGGCACGGCTGAGAGCATGGCGGACGAGATGTCTCGCGCAGAGATAACGCGCGTCGCCCACCCGCAGGTCTGATGAAGATCGCTGCCGGGTGTACATAGCTTCTCCATAAGACTGCTACGTACGGCGGGCGTCAGGACTTTGGAGTCGTCGAAGTGGTGCGTGTCGGCGAGGAGGGGTCGTTCGGACGGGAGAGGAAGGTAGAAGAGGGCGTAGACCATTGGGCCGAGTACTGGGCCGCGACCGGCTTCGTCGACACCGAGAACGCATTCTGTAGAGGTGTTGTTGGCAAGGAGGGAGGGGATGGGGGAGTAGTGTGTGTATGAGGCGCCGGCGAGAAGGGACGGCGTGTGGATCGAGGGCGCTTTGAAGACGTCTGAGGCGGGGGTTTCCTGGGCGATATCTTGGGAATCAAGCGTCATTTCTTCTACGCCGTCCATGGTGTCTTCTAATTGTTCCCTGTAACGGATCTAATAGCGAATTGGTGGAAGTGTCGGATTCTGGGTGACATGGTAAACGCGTGCCGTCGGAACGACGCGTTCTAGCGGCGCACTCTCACGTGATGCTTGACCCGTTTTCGGTCCGGATATTAGCACCTCTGAAGAGGTCTATGAAGAGATCTTGCAACGCACCACCAGTCTTATCCAGAATTTACAATCAATCGGCGTGACTTACTACAATCAACCGCACAGGATGGCCTCCGCAAACACTGTGCTGGTCGATGTCCGCACGCCCGAGGAGTTCGCAACAGGACCACTTCCCGGCGCTATCAACGTGGAATACCAGCTGATTGATCAACTCCTCGACCAGGTTGAGATCAAGGACGATGATGAGGTCGTTCTTTACTGTCGATCCGGCCGACGGTCTGCGATTGCCGCCATGACGCTCAGAAGTATGGGACTGAAGCAGGTTCGAGATATTGGGGGCCTGGAAGAAGCAAGGGAAACATTGCTGCGGGAGAGCAAAACTCCAGCCGCTATGCACGCTATAGCCAATCCTTCGCGAAGGAAACAGGATTCTGAGGCAACCACACAGCAGAGTACATCGGGAGCTCCTTTACAGAAGTCCTTCAACACGCTTCTGGAGGGTCTCAAGTCACTCGATTGACAGACGGGAGAACCATCGGCACAGCTTGGGAGAGCGAGTCAGGCGTCACAGATATGGCACGTAACCTATATAGCAAAGCAAGTTCTGTAGACGCAGTGGGTTCTTAGCCGGCCTTACCTCAGGGAACCCCTCAATGAACCGGACGGGATATAGCATTGTTTGCAATGCGCTGGCACGTTTCTAGACGATATACACCTGTGGGAGGACGCGGCTGGCTGTTGTAAGAGTACAATCCAAGCATGTTTTGTGCAAGATTCATCCCACCACTGCAAAACTCGCAAGGTGAAACGATCTGGGGCAAAGACGCCTGCAGGCCGTCAAGGAGGATCAGTGCAAGCAGGAATGAGAGTGACTCTGTCTCACAGCCCTCAGTTGATCACCACTAGCGACCGATTCGAAGCTGTGTCAATCCTATTCATACGACTATGTCTAGCTCTGAGAGAGGCTGAGCCAGTTGCGCCACTCAAATCTCGCCGAACGGCTGAACAAGCCATCTAGAATTACTCGGTATCAAGCACCCCCACACTGCATAGCAGATGCTCCCCCTCTTCATACTGATTGTCTTACTCTCCGCGCATAGGCAAGAACAGATTGCCCCGACGTTGGTGGGCGTGTTGAGATCAAGATTGTGTGGCACTGCACTTCAGGTCCCCTGGTAATTACCCCGGAAAGATGGCGTGCATCACGGGCTGAACTAGGCGAAGCCGAGCCAATCTCAGTCTCGCATCTCAAGCCATCAAGCACTTTCAAGGCAGGGCGCAGCACGCCCGCGTCATGGCGCAGGACAATGTCCGTATCCATTTCGTGCTTAAGTTAACTATGACTTCGTATATTATGTCCATCTCCCTTGTGCTACGTTCTCCGCCATCAAACTCCTACCTATCACCAAGCGCATCTCCGCTGGTCAAGACGCAACCAAGTTATCCATCTTTTGTATCCCACAAGAAGAACTCATCATGTCTCGCGCCTGTCTCCTCTCCCTCGCCACAGCCCTCCTCATCCAACTTCTCACCCTCGTCCCCGCCACGGAAGCACAGAGAAAGAAAAGCGGCGGCACCGACGTCGAAGAAGAAAACCTAGGCGGGCGCATCGCTCCATCCACCCGCCTCGTCCTCGCGTTGTTCTCCCTCTTTTTCGTCCTTCAAATCCTCAGCCTCGTGCCCACTGTTGAAGCAGCAGGCAAGAAGGGGAAAGGTTCAGGCGGCGGCGCTGAGGAAGAGGCCGCTGCTGTGCGCATAAGCGGGAGCGGAATGGTGTTCATGGTGATGGTTGCCGCGGCGGCTGCTGCTGGGGCTGCCGTGTGGTAAATTCGACCTTACGCATGGACGGGGCATGGAGAGCCGGTGGCCCCTGAGGAGGACACTGCTACAGCTTCGTGGATGGGCTTGGTGGTAGTGCGATACCCGGGACTGTGGCGGGTATCGACAATAGTCAACGCAGACGCCCCCGCGCCCTCCCAGAGTTCTCGCTTCTGGATCGCCTAGGATCTCCGGACCTGCTTGTTACAAGCGCCAGTATCATCGGATCTCATCGAGCCATTAACTCCCACCTCGGCGTGTTACTATCATCCGGCAGGATGCTACCTAGTGCTGTATAACCAGGTTGGGAGGGGGAAAGGGTTTACGGGTAGGGACGACTATACCGCGTGACCTGGTTCTGGGGCAAGTTTGGACAGTCGAGAAGAGCAAGTTGAGCGCCGGAAACAGATCCGGAGGGAGCCAGCTGCTATACCCGCACAGCCTGATTATGGAGGACATGAGCGACTGGTGTTTGGATTCTTTGTTCTTGAAATATTAAATCATAAGTGGGTTTCGGGTATATGTACACAACGTTCTGGACAATTCCATGCTGCCTTCTAACAACTGTCTATTGATGCAAGCACAACACTCAATGTAACAGAGACTGCTGGCTTGCAAATGCTTCGTTTTGACATAAGGCTGCGAGATGAAGCCATGGGCCTACCCACTGTAATTTGAAACTCACTAGGGACGACTGCAACAATTTCCAGCGTAACACAAGATCAGCGTTGTCTCTACGCTGGACTCAAATAATCCATTGTTGTTACAATATCATTGTTGTAGTGGAGAGGGAGCGGGAACAAAGAACGGCTTGGTCAACCAACTTTCATGTGCTTCCCGCTAGCGTCATATTCAAAACTTGAGGTCAAAGACAACATTGTGTATTCTCGCCAGTCCACAACGCAACGCAGCATAAAGGTCCCATGTGCCCCGGGCTAAGTCAAGATGCTAAAACCGCTCTGGCTATCCACTGAACGCCCATCTACTTTGACAACCTCTCGAACACCAATCCCAAAGTCAACATCACCGGTTCCACCACTACTACGACGATGGACCCGGTCTCGCCAGAACTGGCTTCGGCGCTGTTGCAATGGGTGAATTCGTTCAATGAGGTACACAAACCGGTGGGCTCGTGGAAGGAGCTTGAAGATGGCCAGATACTCTGGAAGATACTAGGTACGTAGTTCCCCCCATTCTGAATGCCCCATTTGAAGTATACAAGCTAACTTTCGAACCACAGTTGACCTAGACCCCGCATATTTCCAAGACGAACTGCCCGAACCCGACCGCAAGTCCGCCGATAACTGGATACCGCGATGGCAGAACCTGAAGCGCATAGACCGCATGGTCAGGACATACATACGGGAGGAATGCGACAGGCTGCCGAACCTAAGCAAGACCATGTCGCCGAATCTCAAAGCAATCGCGATAGAGGGCTCGAAGAATGAGACGATTAAGGTAGACGCCCTGACACGCTTCACGCTTGAGCGACGCCTGACAGAGATCATTCCGCAGCTTACTAGGATCATCGTCCTCGCCTCCATGTACTCCCGGAAAACGAACGCACGCATGGGCCAGGTCCTAATTGGGCTTGGGCCCAAAGTTTCGCGAGTAGTAGCAAAGGCTATTCAGCAAGCGGAGGCGCTGGACAAGAGCATGGCCGAATCTGGTGCCGAACATGATGTTAGCTCCGAGTTCGACAACTCGACAGACTCGGATTCGCCATCAAGACCAGGTCCGGGCATTGAACGGGACCCGGAACTTGAGCGGGAGGAGAGGCTCATCCAGGCTCAGAAGGAGAATCAGGAGCTCGGTTCAAAGATCTTGAGCTTAACAGCAGAGCTGACCCAAATGCGGAACCAGATTTCCACTCTAGAGGAAGAGCTCGTAGAGTCGAAGTTGCACCTCGACCAAAAGAGTCGCGCCGCTTACGACGACCAAGCTATCGAACAGTTGGAGCATAGGGCACAGCGCGACAAGGACTACATCGCCGAGCTCGAGTCAGACCTGGCAAACTCAAAAGCACAGGTCGACAACCAGGAGCGGCTGCTCGGCAGATTGAAGGCTGATGCCGCCACGAAGCAGGATCTTCGTGACGAGCTGCAGCTCATTAAGACCGAGCGCGACGACCTCCTTCAAAAGGCCAAGATGAATGAAAATCTGAAGAAGAAAATTCAGGGACTGCAAGAGCAGGAGAAAGCCAACTCGACGCTCCGAGCTGACCTTGCAGATGCGGTGAGCCAGTTGGAGGATCTCCAGCGCATAAGAGATAGATGCGCTGCGCTTGAGAAAGCGAATGAGGAGAACAGCGTCACCATTGCCAATGGAGAACAAGAGATCTTCGAGTCAAAGCGGGCGAAGAAGCAACTCGAACATGAGCTTAGAGTTCTGCAAGGCAAAGCTGAGCAGAGACTGGAGATGCAAATTCGAGCAGAGGAAACCGTTCGAGACCTTCAGCAACGACTTCGCGAGGCGGAGGCTGCCAACACGCGGATCCCGGATAGTCTTGGGAATGAGCTTGAACACGCTGCCGAAACGGAGCAGCTCGAAAACAGGCTAGTTATATCCGAAACCCTTCTTCACTGGAACCGCCTACTCATGCTCCACTATAGGAAAGATCCCAAGCAAACCACTTCTAGTGTCGGCGCGGATGGAATTCTACTCCATCAGAAGCTTGACATGCTGGAAGCCAGGTGCAAGAAGCTTGAGGAGCAATACCTTGACGTTTACCAGGAGAATCTGGGCTTGCAGGACGCTCTCAAGGAGGGTCCAGAGAAGGAAGATGTAGAGAAGTACTTCATATTGTCAGGTACAACCGAGAGTTCTCCCGCTGACTCTGTCTACAGCTCGCAGCCATTTATCCGACAGCGCGACCAGCTGCATCATGCCAACACGGAGCTGGCGGAGCTCAAAGCCAAGTACTACGCCGCCATGTCGGAAAATGCTGATCTGAAGCACCAGCTCACGAAGTTCACATCAGCTGCTGATGGTGCAGATACGTTGGACGAGAAAACTCAGTCCGACTTCAAGGCTCTTACTGCCAATCATGAAGAGTTGCTGACGTCTCAGGCGGAGCTCGAGAAGCACGCCAAGGGGCTGCAAACCGAACTGGTGGAGAAGAGTAGCCTGCTTCGGCACGCACTCCTCAGTCGCGAGGCTGTCGTAAAGGAGCCACGCGAGGCTCGTCAGACAGAAGAGCTGAAGCTCATTACGCAGCGCCTGGATGCCGTCCGGACTGCGCCTACTGAAGAGGCCCAGGACGTCCAAGCGAAAGTAGCAGACGGCTTCTGCAAGCAGATCCTCGACTTGCAGGACCTGGCTGCGGCGCATATGACGGTAAGCAACTTCCTGGAGCAGGACTCCCAGAAGGAGTCTCTGTTCCTCAGCTTCGTTCCGGAGGCCCCCGAGGGCTTCGATGAGGCGATGAGGCCTGTCTCTCCTACGACTTCCCTCTCATGTAGTGCCTTCCTGACGCTACCCTCAACTCCGCCAGCCACATCTGCTGCAGTAGCCTCGTGTGTCAGCTCGACTGCCTCGTACGAGAAAGTTACCACTGACGGGCCAAGCGCCTGCAATGGACAGACCACTACCGCATTTGGCAAAGCCCCTTCTATATCTTCCAGCAGCAAACACTCATCCCATTCAAGTTCCAACCCAAAGAGAAAGTCCATGTTCGCTAACCTAAGCAACTTCTTCTCAGGAACTGAAATACCTCCAAGCCCGCCTCAACACGCCGCAAGATGGCCCGGCACAGCAGCAAGCAAACCAAAGCGACCCATCAGCGGAATCCAGCAGAGAAAATGGCCAGGCGCGTAGTCCCACCGTACGTCTCCTTTCAACCCGTTTCGTTCTTAAAATTTCGCTGGCGGCGCTTAGATGGACCGGTTCGCTGACTGCCTGTCATCGACCTCGCAGCAGCAGGACCTGCAAAATCTACAACGAGAGAATAAACTTATAGCAAGCGCTTGGTACGATATGGGCCGTAGACTGCAGAGCAACACCGTGGTTCTGCAGCGCAGAGTTCAGGACCCGAAGAGCTGGATCGGGAAGCAGAGGATGGCTGTCGGCCAGGGCGGCGGTGTGAGTGGGATACGGAGGTGAAGGAGAGCGATTTTTGAGGAGTTCTTGGCGTTGTGACGTTGCATTCGCACTTTTGTTGTTTCTCTGGGAGGCGCATTTCTGGGAGTTACTTTAGTACTGCTTCATATACCCCCCAATGCATAGAAGCGAGGCGTTTTTGCGCTGTCAGGCCGCTGGCGGCACAACAGAACTTGATCTTGCGGCACGCAGTAACTCAGAGTCCTCTCACCCTCGAAGTGTCCACTGCGGTTCGCCAAATTTTGGGTCGCCTACCTATTCTATCTTAAAGTGGCTGCTTTCACCATGTACGCGGGTTCATCATTGACGAAAGCTAACTATGGAGAGATTTTGTGAAAAATCTGCAAGAGAAATGCGTAAGTGGCTCCGATCTTATTATAAGGCCTGCACAGGCAGATTTGTATATCAAAATAAGCTGGCTGGCGCAGCGGAAGCGTAGGTTGCCAGAATTTCGGTCTCTCCATTCACAGAAAACTAACAATCATCACAGGCGCCGGGCTCATAACCCGGAGGACGGTGGATCGAAACCACCGCCAGCTAAATCTTGTGACTTTTGCATTTTTTTGTAGAACGATTGATTAGGCAGCTGTTGTACGACTTAGCACTCTGCCCTTATGACCATGTCTCATCTTTTTGCAGGTCATGATTATGGAATCATGGAATTCTCCTTGATGAGGTGCAAAAGAAGGTGACTCACAACGGAAATACCGCGGGATTGCCACCGTAAGGGAGCCTGATAAGGTATCCACAACTGACGGTGCACAGGATCTGCAACGGTAAAGAAAGTACACGGAAGGCTACTTACGTACGCCCGATCCTTCACTACGAACATCTCCACGCATCACGAGGAACTACAATATCAAATCTCCTCCATTTCCTCCGCCAAATCATCCAGTACCGGAAAGTCCCCAACCTCGACCCGCTCCGGCCGCACAAAGACGCCACAGTTGGGGCTGCACTCGAAGTGCCTGACTCCAGCTACACTGCCATCGTTCTTGCCCGTGGGCTCGTCGAGCGCGATGCCTATCCATGGCTGCCCAGGAAGACCTGGGATCTGCGGCACGGGGCCGATGAAGCGGATCGTGCCGCGCCGGTCATCGGTTGCTGGGAGGAGGCGGCAGCGCTTGTTGAGGGCGATGCCTGGATCATCAACTCAATCGTTAGCATGCAATTCCTCGGTGAAGCTCGTTCAAGTTACAGGATGTTCATGCAAAGTCACGTGCTCACCTCTCTCCTCAACCTCCCGCTCCAGCGCGCGAACCTTCTGCTCCTCGATGCTCGGCGCATTGGGGTCGAACCGGCCGAGCTTTTGCGCCTTCTTCCAGGCTAGCACGCTGTCGTTGCGAGCCTCGTACTCCTCGGCTGGCATGCTGTATTTCTCGACCAAGGATACATCGGTGAAATCGGTGCGGGCGGCTGCGGGGCGCGTGTCTTGGACCTGGTTCGTTGCGATGTGTCAGATTGAGATCTACAGAGGAGAAACGCGGTCTGGGCGGAGGCGCGGGTGGTTGCATGAGAATTTCGGTCAAAGCGGAAGGGATTGGCGTCGTGAATTGCCGGTTAGGGCTTCTCATGACAATTGGGACTGCCGATGATGTGCAATGCTGTGACCTGCTCTGGGACAGCCCAGCAACAGCGCCGCGTTCGAGCGTGCTCAAAGCTCCCTAGCCACAGGGCGGTTGAAACCCCAAATATCGGACAAAAGCTCATAGATTCTTGAGACTAGCGGTAAACCGCGCATATGATGAATTGATGTGCAGCGCAAAATCTAGACGAGGCACAATAAGGGAAACAAGAGCGAGATCAACCATGAAGCTGATGAAGTCCATTGACGTTATCCATGTCCCTTTCTTTGAGACAAACGCTTTGGCTAGAAGACAAGATTTGGGCATAAGGAGAGGCAAAGGGAAGAGATATCGGAGTTTAAGTTTTTTGCTGGACGTGTATCTACTTAGGGCAGTGCTCCCAGCCTCGAAGCAGATAATGGTTGAAGTTGCGATTGGATGATTATGTCAAATCGATGCAGGTCAATGATGTTCACCGGCTACTTACATAGATTTCTGCATACGGCTGCAAGGGGAACGTTGACAGTTGCACGTCCTCCTCATTGGCAGCCTCGATAGCCGCAGCATGCTGCGAGCCGAGCCGAAGGGTGAGCTTCTGGGCGGTTGCCGGAATACCAGTAATCGGTTCAAGGCGAGTTTTGAGCTGGGCTATGCTCCAAGAGGGAGTAATGCGCCGCTCTGAGGATGCGTTTGGAGAGGTGATCAGGAGTGGGATGTCAGCTGCAGGGCGGAGGGACATTGTGTTGACTTTCTCGTGGGCGCGACAAGTATATTCTCAGACACCGTTGTGATGGTAGTTCGAATGGTTGAGGTGGTGAGAAAGGGAGTTCAGTTCTGCCGCTGTGTTTTGTTTGCTGCCTTACCTTTGCCGCAACGTTTGTGTGATTGCTTCGGTCCTTCTCATAGCTGTGGGCCTTACCTGTTCTGTTACTAATCCCAACGCAGTTATCCACCTCCGCAGTAATCTTTAACCACATCAACATCGGCCTCACGATGTATGAGGTCACGTTCCAACGCGCCGTCGTCTCTGGGTCGTGCCGCTCCAAGATCACAGCTGTGCCTGAGGCTCGACTCACGCCTAAGTTATCCACCAGTTACAGCTGCGCGCCCTGACTCGCATCGTCCCGAGCAATGGCTGGCATGAACTGCAGCAGGTCTCAGTTGCAGGCAGATGTCTGCAACTCTCTCATCCCGGAACGTCCTCGCAAGCCTGCCGGGCTATCGTGGGAGCGTGGCTCTTTCGGAGCAGTCACCTTAATAAACTTGACAACATCACACGCCCGCATAGGAGCATCAGCAGGCGGTCTGCGCCGAATTGTCGGCTCTTGTCCTCCCTACTGCATAGTTTAATGCAACTCTGTTCCGAGCGATAGGGTCTCACCGCCCTTAAGGAACCGCACTAAACGCAGTTCGCGACCAGGATCCGGTCGTCCCGCGTATCTGAGCTGTAGTTATGGACTGTTCGGTGACGACAAGTTCATGCCAAGGCCATCCAGCATTATCGCCGAGAACGACAATTGGTGCTCGGCTATGCGAACGACAGCTGGCAGACTAGAGACTTTCTGCTGCCCGACTCGTCTGACGCGCAGCAGAATCCGTATTCTTCTCGTGGCAGAGGCCTGGCGCGGATGCTGAGTCGCGATTGAGGCCGTGCTGCACTCGCCCGTCCAGTAACGGCTCTCATGCTCGCAGCCAGGAGGCAGACGGGTTTCAGCCAGCTACCAAACGAATATCACAACGCTCTCTTCGTTGTCCCGAGCACAACGCTAGCACTCGAACGTCGTCTGTGCGCATCGACAGCTAAGTTAATGCGTTCGAGCAGCATGGCGTGCATGGTTGCTGGATCGACCTTCGTCATAATCCCTAGCCTCGACTGCCCCGAGGTATCTCTCCACAACGCAGAAGTCTGGATGAACACGCGCACCGCTCACCGCTTCAATCGCATGGCAGTCTGAACCATGGTTGTCGACCATCACCCAGCAGATGATCCTGCTTGCGCAATAAGGCAGGCAATCACCCTGAGCTGCTGGCCGATGCGTTGTCCCAGCCCCCAGCCCAGGACAACGTGGTTCCGTAGCAGCACGGCTTCAACGCTCACGTGGGGTGTGCGACTACTGCCGACTTCATCTACTGCCGCACTTGACGCCGGGAGCCGGCCACCGAGATGGAATGACATCCTGAAAGGCAAGTCATCGCCATTCACCGCCATTACGTGACCTGCCGAGATCAGCGTCAATGTGGGGTTCAATGGGGACTTGTTGCGGCTTCAAACAAGTTGTGGGAGGAGCCTCCGTGGTCTTTCGAGCATCTGGCCCCTTTGCCCAAGCGACTGCTAACGCCGAAGTCAACTTAAGATCCAGAGCAAGCCCCAGATGATGTGTGTAGATCTAGGTTTGCGCCGTCTGCCAGGCCGTTGTCGTGCGCTCCGATCCGTGCAGCCGTACCCCAGCGGTGGTTCTGTAATCCGTGACAGCGCTTAAGGTCCAATCAAACATGGCGGCTGCCATGACTCGTAAAGTCGACTGTTTCGGTCAGGGAAACCGTTTAGAGGTCCACGAGGTAGCGTAGATCTGCTAGTTGCTCTTTGACCGGCGTTTTGAGTAGACCAAGCAAGACGGACACGTCATCAGAGGTGGCATAGCTGGCGCAGCTTCACTCCTCCGAGGCTGTATCCCTCTTTCTTGGTGGACGGCTCCCGTGGGGTCAGCTGCCGTTGTCGTTGAGCTTAGGTCCACCCTAGTAAATAACCTTCCTCAGACGTGCAGAAGGTGGCGCATCCGTCACTATCCACATATCGATCCTCCGGCAGTTTGCTGCAGGGCATAACTCTCTGCTCGCCAGCTCGCATACTCGTTCTCTTCGTCTACTTCCTCCTTCATGTTCGGTGCCCATGCTGGCCATGAGTCTCCCGCGCGATTGGATGCACCATGTTTCAATCCCCGGTCAGATTTCCCTGAGCGTTTCCTAACTCGTCCGTGTAGGCGGCCACTGAGGGACCAGTACCGGTGTACATAGATCTTGTTGGTCGTTCACCCAGTGCCGGACCGTTTTCAAGCCTAATCTCAATTTACTGTCATCACCAGTTCACACGCTTGAATTGATCTTCCTTTCTGTCGCGGCTGAGCGAGGCTTTTCCTGTTACCCTTTCGTCTGACTAAGAGCCCCACTACAACGTATCAGAATCTTGGATAGTACTTCGCGAGAGGCAACGGGCTCGTACCCAGTAGTGGCTGAGTTCCATCCCCTCACAAAACATCGGACTGTTCATGTCAACATTGGACTCTGTGCCCAAATACACAGCTAGGCCACTCAAAAGAACCAAGGGACAACAGGCTGTGGACGTGGGCTTTAGTTTCGCACGGAAAGTCGTCACTGCCAAATCGCTAGGCAGGCGAGCTCAAAGAAGGCGGTGTAACCGGATCTACGTCTCTGGCACAGTGAAGAGCGATCATGTCAACCTCACAGTCAAACAAGTCAGGATTCTAGATTTCGACTACCTCATCTATCATCGCTCGGGATGACATGCAGACCGTCGCACGAGTAAGAGAAGGTCTAATCTCACGTCGCAGAAGGCAAGAAGTATCATTTTTTCCCACACGGGCTGGCCTTCCCAAGGCTGGCCCAACGGCCCGCATCGTGGATATCTCACTCCTCATCGAGTCGAGAGACTCGGAGTCTCCGCCGGGAAATCAGAGCACCAAGAGCACCAAGAGCGCCAAAAGCACCACTTCAGGGGCAACGTCGTCTTCTGGTGTCATAAGGCCTTACACGACCACACCAACCCCTTACACCTCAACAACGGCTCATGCGACGGCTCCTCAGCTCCAAAGACCTCCGACACTGGCACCTCAGGGCTACAATGGTCCCATGCTCATGCCCTTGCCCGTCTTCTCACAGCAGCTGCCGGCTGAACAGGTGCAGGGGCAAGCTTTTCGTCCCTTCTTCACAGGACCTCCTAGCGCGGCACCCACGCTCGCATATGGATCGCCCGCCGTCGCTGCTACTCAAGTCTCTAATGTGAACATCAAGCGCTCAGCTTCGCAGACTCCTTTGGTTGGAGAGTCGCCTGCGAAGAAGCAATCTAAATGGAACAAAGACGACGATGTGATTATCACCGAACTTCGAGGCAGTGGCATGAAGTGGGAGGACATCTCGAAACGCTTCCCTGGACGAAGCGCGATGAGTTGCCGGTTGAGGTACCAAAACTACATCGAACGGCGCAATGAGTGGGATGATGAGAAGAAGAACAAGCTGGCGAGGCTGTACGAGAGGTAAGCAATCGCCACCCTCTTATCCTCTTGCGAAGCCATATCGAACTGGTTCCGTGTCTGGAATTGTAGCCTGGATGAGTCGCGCTTAGACGCTCAGCTCTGTGGAGAACCATCGTCTGGTAAGGTGACAGCTAACACTGCTCTAACAGGTTCAAGAAGGAGATGTGGGAAGGCATCGCCAAAGAAATGGGCGTCCCATGGCGCACAGCCGAAGCAATGCACTGGCAGCTGGGCGAGCTCCAGATGGCCGAGCGTGCCAATGTGCCTCTGTTTCAGATGGCCGCCAGCACCACCAACCCTCTAGCATCAGCACCACCGCCGGCCACTGTTAACCACCAAGGTCTCGGTTATCCGCTACCGCAGACTCAACCTATGCAGCCACAGGCGCAGCCGCGACCACCTGCTGGCAGGAGAAACAGCGCGGCAAGCGGCGGCCGCAGACGAGCCGACAGCGCGAAGAGTGGCGCGCCGCCATCGTCAACTTTAGCAGCGGTCCCGGAAGCTCTGGCCTCACAGCGGGCCAGCACCGCTCCGACACCGACTTCACAGATAGGACCGGACGACCCGACCTCGGCGTCAGGCCCGTTCCCGGCCGAGATGAAGCAGGAGAGGGCCTCGAGGAGCCCGTCACAGCAGTACCGGCCACTGCGTCCGGCAGAAGCCACCGGAACCGACACCAGCGAGGAAGAAGGAAGGCGGCAGTAAGGGTTCTAGAAATACATGATTTCATACGTCGCATGTTTGGAGGAGGAGTTGTCTTTCGGGAATGAGCAACAGAAGGGGCAACAAGGCATGGTGGTGGTGGTGGTAAACGGCTGCATACCCCTTCGGTGATGATCTTGCATTTAGCGTGGGTGGCCTTCGTTCTCGATCTTGCATTTCGGTCCTAGCGACATTGTGGTGCGTGGTGTTAGAGTTCTTGTCTTTTAGAGGTTCGTTCGCGCTGGCATATATCCGCTGAGATGTTTTTTGCTTTTTCGTAGATGTGTAAGTATATCAGACATTCGTCATCAAGCGCGTGTTTCAGTCGTGGTACCATTGACGCGACACTACTTTTTTATGTCGTAATACGTCTCACAATACGAGGTTTCGGCGGCCCTCCATCTAGAACCCTCCCTCTACGGCTGCATCAGCTAGTCCAATACCAGGGACTCGATAACGTTGGAGGTAAGACTCGCATTGTCTTTCATCGACCAAGCCAGCGACCTGAACAGGCGACTTTCAGATCATTCGAAACGTTGCACACGTTAAAAAAGAATGCTTTACTTGATCAAACGGTCAGACACTAGTCCGAATCGCCCCTCGTAAACCCTCAAGACAGCCAGCTCGGCAAGACTTCCAAAGAGTCGCTCACACAACGAAACCCTAGCTGCAACAAGCGACAAGGGCGCGGTATCATGAGGCTCGCTCCATCCCGAACACGGCACTTCAAACGCCAGAAATAAAAAACGCCATCAGCACGCAATGCCCGTCTCAAGTGTCCCCGCCAGCCTCCCCCTGCTCGAAAACCTCCTCACACCCCTGCGCGAAGAATATCCGCGCAGGCTTGTCGCCACGATTCGCAATGCCGTACGTGTTACCTGCTCATAACCACACACGTTAGCAGTTGGACTCCCAAACGACAGAAAACGGCCCGTGGATCGAGGCAGCCACGCGAGGCGGCCCTGACTCCCCGCCCACACCGCCATAAGCCGCAGGATGCAGAAGAGCGCCGTCTGCCTCCTGTTGCCTGGATGCACGAAGACGCACCCCGGCAGCGCAAAGCACGGCACCACAACGAAGAATGCGGTGGTGGGAGGTTCGTGTTACACAGCAGTCCTACCCAACCCCAGTCCCTGCCCCGGCCCCTGCCCCCTGCCCCTGTCGCTCGCAGATCGGCACCCGCAGTGTAACATCCACAGCAAACGCAGACCGGGCGCCGGGGAACAGGAACCAGCGCTCGCACCTCGCCACGACGCCGTGCGAGCGACCTTGTGCGTGCTTTGAGCACCTTATTGCGACCGCCGTCGTACGAGCAGGGGTGCAGGGACAGAGATGGCGGGTGGGGAGAGGTGCAGCGCTCACCGACTCTTTGAGTCTTTTGCGCGCGGTTTTGCTGCCTAACGGACGAAGGGAGACGGGGAACGTGGGAGCTTCGTCCGCACGTACAAGCGAAGACGCGTTCGCACGGACTGGTGGTTGGAGAGGAATGTGCGCTGCGCAGGCCCCAAGGAAACAAGACGAGCTGGAGAAATCAGAAATAGCTACTAACCTCTAGGAACCTGCCAAACGCCGCCTTTGCTGATGGAGAACTCGTTCTCCCCTACGGTGACCGAGACCTTGCCGTAGTGCACGAAGAATGCTAATTGCATGCGCCTGGTGTTTTTTGCGCGCTTGAAGCCCCCGGCCGGCACGTCAACCATACCGATGCCGAAGAAGGGCAACGAGAGGATTTTGGCGTATTGGAAGTTTGCGTTGGCGACCTCGCGGGTTTCTAGTGCGGATGCCGCGAAGGCGAGTTCTGTACTGATTAGCAGCTATCCCAATGCCAGGCGATTCCTAAAGCCAGTCCGTGACTCACCTTGCGACTCTTGCTCTTCCGTTGCGACGTCCTGAGTATCATCCCACCCATCGACGAAGCCTTCGATGACGCCGGGAGCCTGCTCCCACGCTTCTAGCTCCTCCTCTTCCTCTTCTTTCACCACGCTCATTTCTCGCTTGCCAGCTCGCGGTCTGCGCTTGACGCCACTGTAATTCCCGGTCCGCTTCTGTGGCTCGATATCCTCCGCGCGCACAATAGCTTGGATGCCACCATCGTACGTATACTCAGCGCGCTCATTCCGCCAATGCGCAAGCGGCTTGATGACGTGTCTCCCGAAGCGCGTAGTCTTTGCGCCATCGTCCTCCATAGGCGTGCCCTGCCGCAGAATCTGAAGGCTGCGGACATGACTTGGCTGCTGACTGCTGCTCCTGACGGACCCTTTAACGGGACTCTGCTGCTTTTCCATCGCTTTCTTAGATTTTATCTTGGCGTTAGGATCGCGTTTTGAAGGCGGTGGTTTTGTGGCCGCTCCTTTTCGTCGTTTGGCGGGTGGCCCCTCTGCTGATGCTTCGTCGAGCTCGTTGTCTCTGTGCACGTCCACCTTCGATCCCTTCTTTTGCTTCTCGGCGGCCGGCTGGCGGCCGCGTTTTCTCTTAACGGGATCCGCGACTTCGGCAACAGACGGCTCGTCAACTCCCGAGCCTGACTCCAAGAGTGCATTCACCAGGCTTTCATCCGCGGTCTTCTTCGCGGCAGGAGGACGCCCGCGCCGCTTTGGCTGCGCCGGCACTACGCTAGGTTCCTCTGGGGGCTCTGATACCGACTGAAGCGACGCCCTGTTCTTCGGAGGTCGGCCTGCTGCTGGCTTTCGCCCAGGCTTTCCTTTTGTATTTGTTGTCTCTGCGGCCGCTGCGATGATGCTTGTGTCGCTTCTCCGCGGCCGGCCTCTCCTCTTCGTAGGCGTCTTTACTGCTGGCGCAACCTCCGGCTCCTCGTCGACCAAGTCCTCGTCTGCGCCGCCATTCGCTTGCAGCAACTCTAGCGAGTCGTCGCCATCCATGTGCACAGGCTCATCGTCCAGGGTGCCGTCGAGTGGATTGTCAGTTACCCCCTCCACCTCCTCCTCTTCCTCGGCGATGCTCTCATCAAACGTCCTTTTTTGTCCGCGCTCTGGCGAAGCTTGTATATCGTAGATATCCTGACGCGCTTTCGCTTTGCCTCGCGACCCAATCCCGTTCGTCTGCAATGGGCTGCTGTGCTCGATACTTTCAATGGTGTCATCTGCGACAAAATCGAGTTTTCGGCTTACTACCGGGTGAGACGATGCGCGACCCGGCGTGTTTGCAGATCTGCGCGCTTGCGACGGGGGTCCCATGGAAGACTGCCGCCGCGGGGAGGAACCGAGGGATGTCTTGATCGGTGAGCGAGCCACAGGCGGTGGGAATCGAGTCTTGCTGCTTCCCTTGAGTAGTTGTCGTGCGCTGAGGGCTTCGGTGGGTTCTGGCATCGAGCCTGCGCGTGGCAGAGGTCTGTTAGCGAGGGTTGAAATTGCTGCGACGCGCGGTAATGCGGCATAGCTAGGGATCGAAGGGCGCGAAACGCACTTTGCTGTACTTCCATCTCCTCCGATGTGAGCGTAACATCTGTTCTGCGGGAGGTGCGCCTCGGCGAAGGCTTCTCGGGCGACGAGAACATCCCTTCAATAGGCTCAAAGCCATGTTCGTCGCGGATTCCCGTGTCTTTTAGCGTGATGCCGGTTTTTCTGGACAGTTGTGTAAGCGCGCTGTCGCATCTGAAGCTTTGGTTATGTGCCCGCACCTTCCTTGCACTCCGATATCGTGGAAGTTGTTCTCGCGCTTCTTTCTGCCAGGCGTGCTGGCGGGCGCCATGGCGACTGTGGGTTGGGATAACGGACGCAGAGGTATTGATTGTATTCGCGACGCGTAGGGGGTTTTCGAAGGAGCGGCTGCGCGTCGGGCGCGGTGGTGGATGCGAATGTTTTGATGCGGGTCGTGTCGGCAATGGTGGTGGGCACGGGAGACGTGATGGTGTTGATCTCACAGAGGGGCTAGCGCGCAGACTTCCGCCGGAGAAATGCCGACATCTTGGCTTCATATCTCCAAACGCATCAGTCAAACTCTGCTTCGTTGTATATAAGACATGGCCACAAACGCGTCGAAAGCATCCTGAGGCTGTGCTGTGGGAAATCCCGTTCGTTGTACATGCTTTCTCATCTCTTCCATCATTAAGCTTTCGTGTACTGCGGACTGTATCGCTGGAGACATGCCAGCGCCCAAAACGGAATGGCATTACGTTCGGCCACTAGATTATCCACCGGTAATGCGCGTTATCTGTTATGTTAGCTATGTCTGAATAGAATTATTGAGCAAATGACCCTCAGTGTGAAACAAACTCTCCGCATATCTCTCCAAAGTCCATCGTTTTGAACAACCAGAAACGCGTAGTGATTTGTCAATCATCGACTGTGGCTCTGCGCTAAGGAAATCACATTTCACAGAATTGCCCACGAAGACCAACTCGACGAGGCGGAGGAATTACTACTGGACCTCTACATATTTGCTGACCGACACGATATCAAGCTACTTCGAAACAACGTCATGGAAGCGCACGTGTTGAAAGATCGAATCGGTGTGCCGGACGTCACGTTCATTGTGCGAGCCTTCAACAACTTACCCTGCAATTCAACCTTTTGCCATCTCCCTGTGCAATATTGTGGGGCTCGTTGGCGACCGAGCGAGGACAGCGAAGAGGAACGTCAGCTCTGGCCAAGTCTTCCGATGGTTTTCATTATCAGAGTAATGTTGGCGATGAGTGAACGACCCACGATCGGACACAAGCGCGACCGGGGTTCTTGTGAGTATCACGAGCATCTGAATGACAAGGAAAGGGACGCATGTCAGAAACAACTGAGGCGAGGGCGCGTGGGGTAAGCGGTTCTGCAGTGAAGAGCGTGAGTGGTTCAAGGGGACTTGTTGCTATGTAGCTGGGCTCTGTCATGTCAGTACAAGATGCGGTATCGCTCCGACCCGTTTCTTCGCTGGTGCCCGGGTGGGAGCTTTCTAACTTCCGTTCCTGTGAGTTCCATAAACGTAAAGATCAGAGGGAAATTGAATCCTGTCGTAAAGAGTTCGAATGTAGGTAGGGGAGGTGGAAGCGTTACTATAATGAGACATAGCACGTTGTTGTTTTCACTCGAGCTAGGAGTACCGGGCTTTTCAAGCATCACTTCGGAAATTTGAAAGTCCCTGTCTCGTCTGAGAAATACGGATCTCAAGCTGTTCGATCTTCACTAAAATGGTCACAAACGCAGGGGCAATGGATCTCATCGCCAGTTTTGGCGACCTTCTTATGGCCAACGTTCGCCGACTTCATCTATCTCTCTGCTCAGGGTTTCCGACTCGTCGCCAGTGAAGCTATCAGTTTTAGAGTAGCACGCAAAGGTGATTCTGGGCACTGTGTACTCTTTCAATACATTCTACTTCACCGTAAGAAACGTTACACAAATTGAGACGTACTCGGTGAAAGGCGGCACACTTTAAGATTGCGCGTCCACGCCGGACAGACCACTCGTTTGCACACATCAGAAGATTGTTCCCTTCCACTGAAAGTCGGCGCGAACAGTGCTACAACCCATCGGCGTATCAGAACTACTTTCACTCGCTGAAAGATCACCCAAGCTGAAGCTCGAAAGCATCTCACCACCTGCTCGTCTCTCACACCTGCCTCTACAAGCAGCAATCCACAAGTGCGCAGTCGAGTGATGGCGGACGAGAATCGCTCTGAGGCTCCAAAAGTGGCTGAGCCTTCATTCTAGTAAGCATGAACAGCAGAGACAGCTGTATCTTGTTGATACTTACGTGTGGATAGCAACCTCGGCGCGACCGTTGTCACCATCCACGTAGGAACCGGACGAGTGCCCTTTGCTGTCCATAAAGATCTCCTCTGCTACTATTCTGCTTATTTTCAAAAGCTGTTTAATGGGTCGTTCCGCGAAGCCAAGGATCTTCTCGCGAGGGCGGAGGATACCACCGTTTCTACATTCGGCTACTTCATGCAGTGGCTTTACACCCAGACGTTCGTCCGTTACAAAATGCATGCCTGGGAACGAGTCGCAATATCAACTACTGATCACTACGCGAACTCTTTCAACCCGCCTTACCTTCATACGCTCCTCGACTTGTACATTTTCGCAGACCGATATGACATCCGTCTACTTAGAAACGATGTCATGAGGTCGTGGCAGAAAGACGAGACTGACTGGGATGAGATCTCTGACGAAGACATCATCATCAAGGCGTTCGACAACCTGCCTCATGGCTCACCGCTTTGCCGGTACATTGCACAATACTACGTCGCACTCTGTGGGAGGAATCTCGATTCAGATGAAGAATTCTGGTCAAAACTCCCGAAGGGGTTTCTTTACGAAGTTGTGCGCATTCTCACCAAACGGCTTAACTCGGATTACAAGTTCGACCAGGAGTCTTGTGACTTTCACGAGCATGAGGACGACGATGAGAAGTCTATGTGCACGAACGAGCGCAAGTTGAGCGAAGATGCTGAGTGCGGGTTTTAGCTTTGAAGCACGAGTGGAAAGACGCAGAGGCCTGCCATTCAAGTGGAGGTTCTGCTTGGACGTTGAGACATTTTCATGCGGAGGATTTACGACAGCTATGCGAATTGTTTCTTTTCTCAGCTCTCGGTTACTATATCTCTACATACTATTTCTCTGAGCTCCTGGAGGTGATGCAGCTCGCCGATCCACCAAATCGCAAACGATCTTAGGTTTCAAAAGGAGTGGAGAAGGTTTC